AGTGAGTGCGGATCAATATATTTAAATTGTATATGATAACGAGGGGTGATCAATAAGATTGCACATTATATTTACACCACAACCATGCTATACTTCAATGACACGATCAATGTGCTTCCATGATAGACAGGTTCCAATTCAAATAATTCAAGTTTTTGAGGCATTTTTTAGAAAAAGCAACAGACCTATTTTTACTAGATCAGTTTTTCATGCTGATAAAGATATTAAAAGATGACAGCTCAACGGGGTGGTCACGACACTAAATTTTGGCATTTTTACCCCCCTAGGAAAATATTCTAGGGGGTACTATGAAACTAGTTCATAACTCAAAGGATATGTGAGCTATTGTTCTGAGTTGTACACCATACATTGCTAGTACAAATATGAATACTATCCTAAAGTTATGGGTTGATACCCTTATTGGTCTCAGAAAAATATAAAAAACAGGAAAAAGATACGCAATTTTTGTCTTGCCAATTTTATATTTGTAGCTTCAAGCACAATATGAGAGCTTTAACAGCTCAAAGTAGTATTTTAAAAACATTTCCAAGCTATGTGTGGTATTGTAATACATCTATTTTAGTTATGAAGTACTATTTTGTAATTTTAATATGACTTTATAGTGCCCTACCCCTGGAAAATTGAAGAAAGTGAATGTGGTGAATTTTATCATTTTGCAGCATTAAGTTAGAAACATGTATTGATAGACACCAAATCAATAAATTCATACCATCATCAAATGTTAGGTGACATTCTAATTCATTTATTACTAGAATATAGGACTTAAGATATTTTATATGTAAGTTTTCAATTAAGTACATGTATCATAATGAAATCTAGTGTAATCACATACTAGAGAGGTTGGCATACAGTCTGGACATTGACATAAAGTCTAAACATTATAATCATCAATTGATCTCATTTGAGCAACTAGACTATGGTGGTCATCATGCACAAGTAATGTACAGTAGAACCTGCTAAGTGGAACACCTCTGTAAGTGGAACACCTCCTAAGTGGAACGCCTTTTCAAAGTCCCGTTTTAAAAACCCATTGACTTAATGTTAATTGAACCTCTGTAAGTGGAACACCTCCAAACTTGAACAGTGAACACCCCATATTGAAAAATTAACCTGCTAAGTGGAACAGTCAATTTCCATAGATTTCAATATTGATATATGTAAACAGAATTAATCTCCCTCAATGATATCTGGGTATGAAAACAGGTATTACTGTGATAATTGGCAAATTAGGATTTAAATGGATTAACCTCCTGTAGAGGTCAACATGTGATGCAACCAACAATTAATTTGATAATCAGCAAATTAGGATTTCATAAGATTTTCATTCAGAAAATTGGATTAACCTCCTGTAGAACTGGACACGTGATGCTACCACTAATTAATATCCCTTGCTGTTTGTTTCAAACTTAATAAGTAAGATTAAAAATGTCATTTAAAAACAATTGAATTATTAGCAGTAGGAACAAGTCTTTAAAACTTAATTGCCTAATCCTTGTACCTGAGACTGGCACAATTAGGAGGATTAAGAATGTCAGAAAACATTTTTGGCAGAATGAGGAGGATTAAGAATGTCAGATACCTTTTTGAGTAAAATAAATGGATTATTAATGGTATATACCTGCCCTGTAATGAAGGGAGAATCATATTTCCAATGATACATATAAATCCTATATTTGATCTTGTATGTTCCCTGCGAACCCAAAACCTCCGTAAGTGGAACACCTTCTAAGTGGAACGCTTTGTGGCAGAATGGAGTGTTCCACTTACACAGGTTCTACTGTATTTACATAATAATGTTATAAAGGAGCATGTAGGTTATCGCAAACAACTTCAGACAATTCTAACTTGAATTATGAATATTTTCTGACCATGAACATGGGTATATCTTTTAGATCTATTCATTATCTTCAAGAAAAGTAGATATAATGATTAATCAGACCTAAGTGATATTAAAGGGAATGGCCCAATCAACATACTTTTTACTAAAAATGGTGACCTAATTTTCACCAAAGATGCAACCTTTAATTATATTGTTGAATGCATAATTAGAATATGCTTTGAGACATGTTCTATTTCCTAAGAGGAAAAGTGGATTGCTCCTGGGACTTTAAAGACACTGAATTTGGATGACCAAAATGAACTGAAACCAATGGATAGCATGAATTATTTCAAAGGGGAAATAACATGGGGAACACTAATCTTAGGGGAATTCAGTTTTCTTTTCAAGAGCTATTTGATACATTAAAATAAAGAAAAGTAATGCATTAAACATTAATAAAATGATAGCATTTTTGGTGAAAATGAGGTCAACAACTTTGAAAAAATATATTGATGGGTTGATTGCTAGTGAAATATCTCCGAGTCCGATTGACTTTATTATCCCTGTATACCCTGACTTCATGGTCAGAAAATAGTCATAATCAAAGATATAACTGTCTGAAATTGTTTGTGATAACTTACCTGAACCTTTCCAGGTCAAATCAGGAGTGACAAAATTATTTCCACCAAATTTTTGACATGTCTTCAAATACGATAATATTTTCTTCATAAGATAGAGTGTCACTTGTGAAATTTATTGATTGACCTGAGATCGTACCATATCTTTATGACATAGAAGCGAAATAGCCATATTTAATTTTAATGATGTTTGTTTAATTGTTGTTTGCCACTTTTCGACAATTGTCAAAATTTGGGGGTTTTGGGGGAGGGGTACAATTAGGTTAAAAAATTCACCTGATTCAGACTATCCTTAAATGAGCACTGATTCACCCGAGAGCATAACTTTTTCAAAACATGTAAGTGTTTCATCATCATTGTCCAAATCGTATGCCATATTTGTTGAGATATATGAATGTTCATTATTAAAATCTTGGCTTCATTTGCAGTTGGAAAGGATTCGGCATTAGGTGTTATAAGTCCCAGAGCACGATAAATAAAAAAATAACAACAAAATGACATAGAACTGATAGATGTTTTCTCCTGTGCGTGTCAGCCTTGGTCTACCAAATTGCTATTCAGTAGGAAGAAACTCATTTTTCAGTTTCCATTTTAATTTCCTGACAAATAGGGCGATCATCCCAGGATTTTTTCTATGATCTATGTGTCGCCATAGCAACTTCTGTTTTAGAGAACAATAGAACAATAGAAAAGATTACTTTACCATAATTTTAATCATCCCACATTGTAGACATATTTAGAATTAAAAATATGAAGAGAATGACAAAACCCCTTAAAACACATTTCTTAGGAAACAAATAGTGTCATATTCTTGTTACTATGGCAACAGAGTTTTTTCTTTTTGTCATTTTTGTCATACAGATTACCTATCATACCAGGACCAAATCCTGAAAATTTGAATTCAGTATCTTCATTAGTATCTTAGATATATAGGTTTATTATAGTGTCCCCTGCAGATTTTATCGGATTATATAAGGAAAATGCTCTGAAGAGGGTTGCCCAAGGATGCCACTTAACAGTTCTGGTATTTTTGAGGTCCCAACCCTCTATTCATGGGAATAGTTAACCATTGTAAAGCTACTCATGGTTAACTGACAGAATTGATTGTATCTTCAACTAAGAAGACAATAAAATGTTAAAACCAGAAGAAAACCACACCAACTTTCTTCTATTTACCAGGGGTAGGGCACTATAAAGTCATATTAAAATTACAAAATAGTACTTCATCACTATAATAGATGTATTACAATATCACACATACCTTGGGAATGTTGTTAGAATACTACTTTGAGCTGTTTAAGTTATCATATTTTGCTTGAAGCTACAAATATAAAATAAGCAAGAAAAAATGACAAAAATTGCATATTTTTTTCTAATTAATTGTATTTTTCCGAAACCAACAAAGATATCAACCTATAACTTTAGGGTAGTATTCATCTCTGTACTAACAATGTATGCTGTAGAACTTAGAACAATGGTTTATATATCCTTTGAGTTATGAACTAATATTATAGTACCCCCTAAAATAATTTCACAGGGGGGTTAAAAACGCTAAAATTCAGTGTTGTGACCACCCCGTTGAGCTGTCATCTTTTAATATCTTTATCAGCATGAAAAACTGATCCAGAAAAAATAGGTCTGTTGCTTTTTCTAAAAAATGCCTCAAAAACCCTATCCCTTGAGATATTCTGAAATTGGAACCTGTCTATGATACATAATTGTTTAGATTACAGGAAGAAAAGAAGATAGAGACGAATTGAGATTAAATTTAAAAATGTCATAATTTTGCAATACATTTTACCTGAGACTAACATAAAATTTCACGTTTGTCTCAGATTTTACTCAAAGAAGGGATGTCGTCTCTATTTTCAATGTATTTTGAGATTTATGCATCTTAAAAACTTCAGATTCAAAATAAGTATTGTGAAATTGTGACAGTTTTCGACTCTATTTGCTTACATGTTTCAATTTTTTTCAGAAAATAAAATTAGGATTTCAAAATGTCTGCCATCAGGACCTGTGAACATTTCGTCCAGGGTCTATCATCCTACATCAGTCCGCTCAATAAATACTGAATCAAGTCAAGCAACATTGATAAATCGTGAGTGTACAACAATGTATTTGAATAATTTCGCTAAGAATAGTTACTGTTGTATTTGGTGTATTGTTAGGTAAAGATGCAACCTGCGGTGCCAACTTCAAAAGCTTATCGTTGATTACAATCCATGATTTACTCATATATTCACGCGGTCCTAACTTCGACCGTTAATTTTAATTTTTGACCTACCAGGTGCTTGAAAATCAAGGATTGCGAGTCTCATACTGCACCGTTTTTCTTCAAACGTATACCATTAAAAGCCTTTATCGTAAAGAGTCCCTCGTTCTAGCAGCGTTTTGGTCCCCAGCTGTTAGAAGGACTTCCTACAGCTGGAGACCAAAATGCCGCTGGAAGTAGGGACTCTGTTGAAAAGAATAGTGTACCAAAGGGATTTGTGTTATGCTTTGAATGGAACAAGTTTGAAGAAAAACGGTGCAGTATGAGACTCGTAATCCTTGATTTTCAAACATCCGGTAGGTCAAAAATTCAAATTAACGGTCGAAGTTAGGACCGCGTGATATTACTACGCATATACAAGGAGGATTGGCTCCCAGAGTGCACCACCGATATTCTGTCCCATATATGGGTATGTCGTAATACAAAATTCGAATTCAAACAGCCGCCATTTTGTTCACTTCAACATTTAAATCGTGAATTTTGGTCTTATTTCCAAACGGAAAATTCCAAAACTCACAAGAAATGATCGAGATATTGGTTCGAATCTTTTGAACTGTTTATTTTGAATTTATAGTCGGTTTTAATTTCAGAAAATAACGACATTTCGACGTTTTCATTGTTGGAAAATATCGAGTTTCGATCCTGGGAGCCAATCCTCCTTGACGCATATACAAATAAAATAATCCGTTGATCGGAAGTGACGTCAATATAATGCCTGGGTGTGTTCGTGGCGGACATTTTAAAATATAGGCCGATTTAAAGATTGGAGTGTATATCAATGCAATTTCTGACAGCCGCTTCTTTTTTGGCTTTGAGAAAACGTTTAGGCCGGTTTTAGAAATTTGTGCGTGGCCGTGCGGCGTTTTTCGACTTTTCGACTTGACCACTAGAAAAGAAAGCATAACTTGAATCAAAATTTACACATTTAGACATACAATACACCTGTCATTGTCTTTTTAATTGTTCCAAATATTTCCGCTCTCAACATTATGTATGCCTTCCTGAAACTTTTGGGTCTCTTCACGAGTCAATATTCAATTTACTAACAAATAAGATACAATTGAGAATTTATTTAAGGATTCAGTACCGGGTCTATTTTCACCTCTGTTTGCGCAGGTTTTACTTCTGGTTTTAAAAACTTTAATTTGTTTTGATATACAATGCGTATTCAACCTAACATTATAATGAAGGTCCATTTTTAAATAGTCACGAAGATTTCACGATTTTTTAATTCTAAAAAGAATAATAAGAATTCCAAAAGCTTTTTTGAGTTAACGAGTCATATTCCGTCCTTAAAGAAAAAAGTGAAAATTTGTTTTATTTGATTTCAAAATCATATACATGGACAGAACTATTGAAACTTTATACTCTTTAATTGTTATGACAGTTGGTTCAGATCTACTTTTTAAATAGAATATACATGAGTGTGTCTATTTTTGAGCCACTCTGTATATCTGATACAATTACTATGACCTTATTTATCGCCCCTCGTATACGGCTCTTTATACTTATAGTTTAGAGTTCATCATAGAACAAGTCGTCATTAGATACAAGTACGAGAGAGCCGTCAAACATTTACGCAAGAGCATATACTGGTAAGTAAGACGTTTAAAATGTAACAATATATAGTTTTATGTATTTAAAATTGACAACTTTTACCCAATAGTGAAAACAGTGATTATCAAGGAATCTGCAGTAACAAGGGACTACCATATAGGGGCAAATTTACGATAATTGATATTTCCGAAACCTGTTGTTCTAATAAAGCCTGCGTCATGTGTGTTGATATCAACGACATTTGATGTGTGCTATTTTGATGTCATCACAACTTGTTATCATAATCATGCGATACATATTAAAATATTGCTAATTATTTCTCAAAACAGCTAAAATTAAACTTTTAAACAAAAAAAACAAAGTTTTGTTTTGTTTGTGGTAATACAAACCCGGATAACAGCACAATCATACAATGTTTTGATTTCTGAGCGGGCTGTATTTGATTTTAGCTATTGTTTGCGATCATATTGCACAATATAAGTACATGTAAAGTATTTATCACAAAGTAAGATAATTCTATCTTGCTGCTCAAGCAGGCCTCTAATACAATATTCCTTTGATAGTCCTTGTGTGTATATATAATTTAGTTTGATAAATGAGACATCGAATATATATCATTGATTGTTGTGCTTATTTTGATAATATTGTTGATTGCATCAAATGTCACTACTACTGTATGTCTTACTTTTCTTATATGTGTATTGAGGGGAGAATCAGATCTCATCGTCGGTTCCCACGCTCAATCCCTACGTTCTATCTCGTGAGGACAGGTTCGAAGCTTATTGAAGCAAGATGATCAGATCTAGCGAGTATTTTAAAAACAATTCCCCCCATTCAATATGTTAATCACTACAACAATTTATAACACATCGCGGATAGAATTTGTTTACTTCTTTTTGCCTTTCCAAAATTGAATATATATACTGGTATTCATTAATTTCGTTATAGCTCTGCCTCACAAGTTTTGTGAAGTTTTGACAAGTTTTTCCACAAGTTTTGAACAGCTTGATTAACTTCATTACAGAGCAGCTTTAATAGTCTCAGGTACAATTCATGGCACGCGTAAGTCCAAATTATTCAAATGTCTAAATTGGAAAACATTGACAGAAATTAAGAAAAACAATGTACATACTAGTACTGTACAGATTCAAAGTCCGGTAATATTTGACCCCTTCTTAAGTTATTTCATGAAAAACTGTTAAATCCTGGTGTAGAAAGAGAGCTTCGTTCCAGAATAGAATTATTTATGTTCTGAAATAAATCTGAAATCGCCAGCAATAATCAGAGATAGCGAGCAGGCTAAACAAAAAATTGTTTCAATTTTAGAATATTTTTGGCTCATTTCATTCCTTGTCATGTCTATTTTCTAAAAATCACAAAAGTGCATACTTTATTCAAGGAAAACGAAAGATTTTTACAATAATGTATTATTTTTCTATAAGAATGGTTACCATTCTTATTATTTGGGAGAATTTAAACATTTTTCACTCATTTTTGCACTTTGAATCATTAATAACTTCACCAATTTATAACATATTGTGAATCTTTTGGGAGATATTGTATTTGATATGGTAAGGAATAGATTGGTAGGTCAATTATGCACGTTGCTTGTAATTTTGTCACCCCCTGTAGATCTGATTCTGCCTTTAATGTCAATCTCAAAATGGTCTAAACTCTCCGCCGAAATAAAAAACTCGCCAACTTTGCCAATTTACAAGAATAGCTATATTGTATTGTGTGTATGTATATATTAATTGCCCTTTATATAAAGAAAATCATATTGTATTACATAATAATAAATATAAATTCCATAATAAAATTACATTAACCAAAAATCTTAATTTTAAAAAAGATATTCAGAAATAAAATTCAACAAAATGAGAATACTCCTGACCCTTCTTGCCCTTGTGGAAACAGAGATCAAAATAAGTTACACCTTTTCCTCGACTGACCGCTGAGCATAGAAATAAATACATACAAGGCATCCTAAAACTATGTAATTTCAATATCATGTATTATTTTGGTAAGACAGTTTTATACTTTTTTGGGGGATAGGAATCCAAGCAATGAACAGAATTCTAAATGTCTTCAATTACGCTCTATCGACATTGATAATGTTTTACAATGACCCATTTAAATCAACTCACATCGTATCATCTTTCACTAACATTCATATTCATAAACAGAACTATGGGCTAAACCTGGTGGCTGGCAGTCGGCAGCAGTCACCCACATTTGGTATAAATTATATTACCATGTATACTTTCAAACCAGAGAGGAACCAATAATGCGTAAAGCCTCGTCCCTCCAAAATAATGTATGAATTTATGTATAATTTATCATGCAAATAACAATTAACATCGCGGATTGGGTGATATTGTATTTGAGATTGTACCAATTGTTCGCAATTATTGCACGAATCGTTTATCATGCACGGACCTGGGGACAATTCGGGAAATACGGGCTGATCTCAGCTTTGAGAGTTAATTTTTGCCTTATTTAAAAAGCTAACTAGTTGTTTTATATATCATTTTGAGGTATTTTTTATTCGCATTTCAATAAAATTATTTTTCCTTCAAAATGTTGATGGGATCCAATATATTTTTAAAGTTAAATATACCCCGACATCGTCAAATACGCTGTAAGACGTAACACTTTACGCTTACAGGGCTCGTTGAAAAAATGATCAAAATACCACTAAAATTTCACAATTTATTCAATGGAGCATGCATTTATGACGTCACAATTACTCAACGGCTACAGTTCAAATTGTCATATATGAACGCTTTTAAAAGTTTCAAAATTGTGTAGCCTAAGGTTTTGAAGGCGAATGGGACGAGCAATAGGGTTACCTTCATTTTACCTTCTAATTTAGGTCTGATTTGAAAGAAAAATTAACTGCATAATATTGTCATGGCGTTTACAAAACAATAACCAGTTTGTTTATTTTGCAAATAATATTAAAATAAGAGCTGGTTTTCGAGACTTGAAAATAATGTGACGCATCGATTTTTTACCACAAATTCAATACATATCAATTTTTACTAACGCCCCAAGTGGATTTCTTGACCGTTTTTCAAAATTCAAAAACATTTTAGAAATATTGTCCTCGAGATCTTGCTACCCTGTGAATTTTGTCATGATTAGATAAGAATAAAGTATTTTATATTTAGGTTGACTAAACTTGAAATAATGTTACGCTTGTGGTTTTTGACGTTTTAAGGCTGTTTGCGCCCTATACTGCTCATTGTTTTGTTCTGATCTTTGACGCCATAATGTTACGCTAATGTTTTGATCTTTGACGCCATAATGTTACGCTAATTGTCCCCAGTTTCGTGCTACGTGTCTACCTGATTAGATTGGCTGCCTTTAAGTTTGACAATACAACGAGAAAATTGCACTGATAATTCGGACAAATGATAACCTTTGGATTAATAACTTGCACGAACCTAAAATGTGATTCATCGGCCCTTTACCTATCTTCAAATACAGCAACATGTTTTTCTCGTAGAAAAATCGTAGGATTTAATAAAAACTTAATAAAAATCTAGTATTGAAATACTCTTTGACCAAAAGGGAAAACGACTACAAAATAAAATTTTGAAGAGAGCTGGGTAAGGTAAAAGTTCTAGGAAATGACGAGTGATTGGTCAACGCAGATTTAGATTTAGATATTTATTCCTCTTCACCCAATTTAGTGGCAAGTGCACTATTAGAACAGGCAATGTTATCTATTAATCCAATGGGCGGGCCACCGTACGAATTTGAACTTATATATTTCTCAAGATTTCAGAAAATCAACCACGCATATGTTCAAGAACAATATGTCCTCTACCTCTGTTAAAATTTGTAAAGATTTAGTCACAGAAACCAAAAGTTCTGACCTGCTGTTCCCGCCATCTATTCAAATTCCTTAGAAATTGGCGTATGCATCTGGTCAACCAGTACATGTCACAATGTTCCGATATTCTTAAAACATGTTCATTTCTAATGATTATTTTTTATCATAATACATTGTTATATTAGGATTTAGTTACGTGCGAGATGTTGATACCGTAAAAATGATTTAACATAAAATAAGAAGTAGTGTTCCATGTTTATTTAATGTTCAGGATTAATCCTACTCTACGACGATGATTATGTTGATTGCATCCTTGTTCTCAACATACGAGGGGTGATCAGGAATTTCTGGACCGATGGCTCTATTTTTGACATTTTTTATCCTTTCTTACTGATTTTTTCACATGATATAACCCAAATATATAGGATCACATCCTGAAAATTTCATTGTTCTATGACATCATTATCCAATTATTTTTGTTACCATGGTAACTGGTGACGTGGCAAGGTGGAGCTCAGAAAAAATACCAAATTTGAAAAACAACAGTAATTTTATATGATGTTTGGACACTGTATTCATTGCTGAATATGTGACATACTATATAGGTTGTATCATTTCATTAAGTATATTCATTAATGTTCATCTATTAGTAACTGTCATTATTCTCCCATCAATTCTTATCCTTCAAAGTAGTTACCAGTACTTTGTAAGTATTTGTTATGCCTTTTCAGCCAGTCCTGAAAGACGTGATTCAGACTGTCTTTGCCTACTTTGTAACATTGGTGTGTGAATTCCTGAATGATCTCATTACTGTCCTCAAAGTGGATACCTCATAATTTGGTCTTCACTGTTGGGAAAAGATAAAAATCACAGCCAGCTAAGTCTGGGGAATTTGGTGCCTGTGGTACACGGCCACAGCCGATGGAAACAATCACACTTTGTAGGCAAAGACGGCAATTATCACGTCTTTCAGGAATGGTAGAAAAGGCATAACAAATGCTCACAAAATGCTGGTAACTACTTTGGAGGATTAATAATTGATGGAAGAATAATGAAAGTTACTATGAACATTAATGAATATACTTAATGATATAATACAACCTATTTCATGTCAGTATGTTTGTAACATACTCAGCAATGAATACAGTGTCAAAAAATGGCATATTAAACTACTGTTGATTTTTCAAATTTGGTATTTTTCTGAGATCCACCTTGTCGCGTCACCGATTACCATTGTAACAAAAATAGAAGGATAATGATTTCATAGAACAGTGAAATCTTCATGGTGTGATCCTATATATTTGAGTTATATTGTGTGAAAAAATCACTTAGAACGGATAAAAAATAGCAAAAATAGAGCCAACGGTCCAGAAATTCCTGATCACCCCTCGTATGTTGATCGTTTTTATATAATTTAGAATTTTGAGAGAAAGTTACGTAGTTTTGAAGTTTATATCTAAATGAGAAGTCAATGTTGCTTAAACCAAAAATATCCGAAAAGATGCTATCTTAACCAGATTCAAAAGAATGTTAAGACCGCCTTTTTTCCACATAAGGAATGTTAACGAAAGTAACTCTCTTAAAATTTGAACCATACAATAACATACCTAACATGTCAACAATTCAAAATGTTTCACTACCACATTTTCATTCAAGCTGGCGCTGCTACAGATTACTTTCAGGAACTATATTCACAGTTTTAAACATAGATTTTTTGTCCCCTCCATTTAGCGGAGGGATATAAATGTGTACTGAGGCCTTAGGGTATTAGAGGTGTCACTACGGTAAATACCACTTCCACTTTTTAAATGTATTTTCTAACGATTGAACGTAGTGAATAAGTTCGAAAATGATTTAATGCATTAACTGAAGTATTATAACACTTTTTGAATTTGGCGCTAAATGCGATACCGAGGCTCGAATTTGTTTGTTAGGTGTACTGTCGTGTGATTGGTTATGGTTATGGTTATGGTTTGTTCAGGTAAATTGGTCACTTCGGCTTCTTATGCGGACCAGATAGGTCGTTCACTTAATTTACCAGATATTTTATTTATTTTAAGATAAATATTTTTTAATTTAAGAAAAACATTAGAAGGCATTTGTTAAAGACAGTTAATATATTCCAATATTTTACTTTAGAGCTTTGGAGCCTACACCATCGTCAGTTGTAGGTAGACCTCCTATCTAAATACAATAGATTAGGTACTTCTTACACTTCGTGAGAAGGGTCTCCGCGAAACTGACAAAAGTTCAAAACAACTTAGATATGTTATTCATTATCTCATTTTATCAAAGTAATCTTGAAACTTGAAAATTTGAAGTCTTTAAATGTGATGATTACTGTTAATTTTGACAGTTCATGTTTGGCTAACAGTTAAGTTACAGGTATAGCCGCTGATATATTTGTTTCACATCATTTAGTAGAAAACGGAGAGATAAACTGTTAAGTTTAGGAAACAGGTCAACGATTTATTGACTGAAAACATTTATTGCACATATAATAGTGTTCAAATGGCAAAGAAGCTACGTTAATGCTCGGTGCATTGATTAAGGATACTCGAGTGTTTTGTTAGTGTTTGAGAACGGGTGTTTCTTTGCTTTAATACTTTAAATACGAAGCCATGCCAACTTCAATGGTGTGTGTAGTAGATTTAAGTGTATGTACTGTGGCCATTTGAGGTATGTATGTAAAGCTGAGGTCAAGTACGTTCTCCATGTACCATTTTTAGAAAAAAATCGCAAGAATATAGTCCCGTAAACTGGAACTACTTTATTCGTTAATTTTCATCAGTGAAGGATGGATTTTACCGAAAAATGGGTCCCCATGTTGGCGTAGTGATATTTAAAAATCGATAGTGTCACGATGAAGGTTATGTATAGGGCAACACAGAAATATAGTCATTGTATAGGCTAATTCGTTCGAAAATGGCGATATGTACCCCAGAACTTGAATTTTGCGATATTTTTCAATATTTTTCAATCATTTACCGTAGTAACACCTTTGAAAGCAGTGGCCAAACTGCCCTAAGAAAAAAGTATTTTTAAAAAATGAATGAAGTCCCAACACAATTGTGATCATGACGAGTCAGTAAGCTTGTATGAATTGTAGGTACAGTTGTCATCTATTTGCAATGATAACATGCCATTTCTTCTAAAAAATGCGGTTATTTGGGTTCTGAAGGAAAATTTCGAGTCAAGTGGCGTATTAATTTTGGCTTCATTTTTGTGAATTTCAATATCTGTCGGCAGAGATATGTTTGACCCCTATTGAGTTTCGTGTCAAAATGTAGCATAGACATTGCTTTTGAACTTCAGATAGGCCAATGGGGTCCCATAAATCCATAACTCGAGATAAAAAAAATCAGGTGTTTGCGCTTTTGCCCATTGACTAGTATGGTGACGTGAATAAGGGCTGTTTTGCCAGTGTTGTGCCTATTTGTATTACCTCCAAAACAGAAGAGCCCAGGCTTGTGAAGTCCGATCTTGAAGGATGGTTCTTAAGATCCCAACCTGATATCGTGTGATATCGTGTGTAATGTGGTGGACGAAAGTGTTTCGACATTTGTCATATTTTATTAAAGGTTCTGTCATGTTAAAACATAGCAAGCCGGTTAAAATACCCCTAACGATTATCTAACGATTAGACAAACAACAAACCATGATAATTTTGTTCTTGTTACAAGAATATCATCATAACTTGAGTCGTTATGAAACCCGAAGTAAAATTACATTGCTTCAGCTGCGATTGTGTGCTTTTCAGTTTATAAGTTTTTAAATCCTTTGCGACGTTTTTATATAAATTATGCAGTGAAACTATAAAACATGAAAAGTTTTTTTTATTTCAAATTGATTCAATTACATAATGATAAAGATTTTAACAGGAGACACGTGTTTATGTGTATATACTGAGTTTATAATTAAAAATGTATGAATATAAAATAGTACCTTTAATTTATAAGAAAGAGAGTATGAGCAACTTATTGGGAGCAGGAGCAATGGGGACACCAAACTGATACTAAAGATATTGTACGTATAATGTGTAACATAATGACATCTACTGAGGATATTAATATGATGAGTTAACAAATAAGGAAGAATAAAAAAAAATGTGTACTATGCCCTAATAATGATTATTTGGAATTTTGCTGATCAGGAAGTTTTTTAGTCTTGATTTAGAAATACTCAGAGAAGGGCTATTTTTTAGATACAAAGGTAGATTATTCCAAATGATTTGTCCTTGGGTTTTTATTGAAAACAATCCTATATTCGTTTTAAACGTTTGTGCATGTAGCTCTTTGTTTTGTTTTGTAAAATAATTATGAATTTGGTCATTGCGATAATAATAGTCACCGAAGAGCTGTTGGTAAATTGTGAGGTTGTTATACCATTCATACACAAATTGACCAATGTTATACTCGAAGATGCTTGCAATTGGGAAAACTTTACTAAGCTATACTGCCTGAAATTCAAATGTTATATTACACTGCACAATTTTGAATGATATTGTACAGCGAGCTGCACAAAACAAGAACATTTGGAAAAATACATATATCAAACAAATTGAAAATGAACGATAATTCACTGTTCTATATTCATCATTTATCATTTCAGACGATATAACAACCAAAAGAACATGAAGTTTGGGAATACATTGCTCAGACTGAGTGAAAATGACAGCAAGTATGGCCACCAATACATGCAGTATAAACTTCTCAAGATGCACGTTAAGGAGCAAAAAGGGAACAACGACCCACAGAAAGAAGTGGAGTTTGTCCGCATGCTTGAAAGTGAGCTTCAACGGATCAAGAAGCTTATCTCTGCAAAGTAAAGTTATTTTTGTTAAAGAGTTTTAGATTCTTCATATCAGCAAAAAACGGCAGACTGCTAACAATCATGCGTCACAAATGTAAAAAAACATACTGTTGTTCTTTCTACATTTGCACATATCATCAAAACAAGAGAAAGTTATGTTACGCTTTGTACAATTGTCATCAATGCACGGAAACGTATTATAGATCATCATCCCGATTAAAGTGTAAGAACGCCAAAAAGTAAAACAAATACTAAATTATCTACTCTAACGCAAGCAAGGCAACACGTTAAAATTAATTTGCTCAGCATCAGGACCTTTACTTTTATTTTATGTCATGCCAGAGACACAGAAAGATACATTTTGGAATATGAACTAAGTGCAGGTAGAATCTGATAGATTAATAGGTTAAAGGGGATTCGTTAATGATTTAAAGCGAAACCCTGTTGACGAGAATGTTTGCGTTTCCTTTTTAGAAATATCAAAGAGACAATTCCAAAGCATCGAAAGAAAAAATAAAACAATAAGGTTATATCGCAATGTTATTTATTTTATATAAAAATGCCGAAGAAAGTAGGATGTAGGTACTATGTGTATAAAATTTGACGCGAAACAACTAGAGTTTTATAAAGTATATGAATTAATTGACCAAAGCATGAATTTGAAAATACATACACATAATGGTCCCAAAAACAAGCGAAATGCTTGGCCTGGTAAGTCCTCACACCTCTAACGATTAGTATGTTATTTTAGGATAGACGAACTAAAGAGTGCAGGACAAGGTTTGCAAATGTCGGTTAAAATGGCGGATATTTCGAACGAAATCCCTGATTTGCAACGTCTGGGGAACCAAGCAGATGTCTTAGCGACAGATATGGCTGAAATCGAACGTTTTGTTTTCTACAACAAAGAAGGATTCCGTAAAATTGTGAAGAAGCACGACAAGGTGACTGGAACAAGATCGTTTTGGTTCGAAGCCCAGAAGCACGCAGAGTTTTTCTCAGACTTAGCACACGAACTTGAAGGAATTCTTATCCAGCTCAGTGACATCTATGAGTATATACGGGAGAAGCAGGGAGGTAACAAGGTGTCAGCAGAGCACAAAGTGTCTCAGGTATGATTGACATAGACCTAATTGCTTATCTTATACAATTATATGGACACATCTCGTACGAAATAATGAACCATTACAAACAAACTAGATATAGCTAATATCCATGATAAAAATATATTGAATTTAAAATACATTTCAGGAAACATTCGAACGTAAGAGTACAAAATATTGGATAGCAATGGAGGATGCATTTCTACTGAAGACAATGCTAGTGAAGCACATGCCATTGTACATCTTCTCTAGGACAAAGCAAGAAGATAACAAGAGGATGGCAAACAAAAGGACAAGCATCTTACTTCAGGTAGAATTCATTCCAATCAAGTACAATGTTTTAAGAAGTGCAAGAAACTAGAAAACAGAGTAAGACTCTTCTCTTCTGTCTCTATTTTCAAAAAGTATTTATTGTTAGGAAAGCCCTCGATGTGCATGTAGAGAGTAAAAATCGGTTCATAGAAAACACTATCTAAGCAAAGGGAAAAGACCAAAAACTGTGAAAAGGCTAGCAAGAAAAGCAAACTCTAATTGTTAACCTGTCATTAGAAAAATAGACCATTTTTATCCCAAAAACCATCATGATTTAACGTGAAAAAATAATGTCTAACATTCTCCTTCACCCCTTCAATCAAGAACAAATATCAGAATCCAGGACCAAAACACCAAAGGACATTTCATTCATACTGAAGACAGTTGTTGATGAAAGAAATGACGATAATCATAACATCAAAAATAGTTGTAGACACTAGTACTCGTAAAAGGAGCATTCGGTCTCAAATGATGTGGGATAGACGAAATCCAGTCTCGAAGCCCATAGACAATTCAAAAGGCCATCATCCGTTCGCAAAGCCGTCGCCTAATCCATAAAACACTAATAATTCACAATCACACAATAAAATGGTCATCGGGAAAAAATGTAAATGCTTTCGATCCCTATTTCTCAGCTAATGATATTATAACAAATTTATTTCACATAGGACCATGGTAAGAAGTTTGAAGAATTCAAATTTCTCCAAAAATCAGGCTGGATATCATCGGTCTACTTCGACAGTACAGATCTCCACTCATACCACAGGCGAGTGGCCATGAAAGAAGGCGCTACTCTTATCCGTATACGATGGTAAGATTTGTTCAGTATAAAGATATCTGACCAAGTTTTCCAAGAAAGAAACATTAAACAAACATAGAAAAAGAGAACAACGCAATGGCATTTTTATCATTCAACACATGTTTCAACAAGATGAATCTTACTGTAGAAGTATTATATTTCATCCTGCATCAATAGAACCTGGTCAGTTATTCCGGTGGGAATTTTGAAATAAGGACCGGACCTCTCAATTCTACGTTGGTTTAGTACGTGTAACTATGAATCTTGATGAATTGATTTATCTCTCCCTTTTGAAAGTTAATACTATAATCAATATCTAACTATATTAGTAGTTAAAGTAACCAGTGTTGGATGACTTATTCTACAGAATGAGTAACATATACATATTTCAGCTCTATATGCTCTTTACATATTACTTTTTCCATTTCCGTTGTTCAAATGCTTTCCAGTGTTTCAGGATAGGTTATGATTGCAGGTATGGTGATCCAGATGAATCAAGCGTTGCTGGCGATATGTACCTTCCACGTCCCCCAGCAAAGGGGCTCTTCTGTGAGCGGAAGACCCACCACGAGTGTTGGGTTGCAGAAGACAGTCTCAAAGAAAGATTCCCTATCAAGAAAAATAACATCACAGACTTCATAACTGGTGAGTTGTTACTTAAAGTGCATCTTTAAATAGCTTTTGAAAATTGTTTATCAACTTCGAAAATCTTTTTTTTTTGAAAATGTGACTTCCAAGTTCTGGGAGATTCCCAATAGACCTCATGTTATAAAATTACTAAAAGTTAAGTATTTCTTGGACAGATAATATTTTCTTTTACTGGACATATTTTGATTTGCATAACTATTAGATACATATGGGTGATATGAAAATTGAACCGCTAAAAGTGATGAATATTTAATTAACAATAACTGTCTACTATACCTGCCATGCTATCTGACCCGAATGAGCCACCTGGTGGTGAAACTGGTAGCTACCTACTCATCTGAGTTATTATGTGTAAATTAATGGGTGATTTAATTGACCATAGTTTAATCTTGAATGAAGGGAAAAAACCAGCAGCTGAATGTTGTTTGAGCTCAGGAGATAGTGCAATGTCTTTGGCTGAAGAGATACAGAAAGAGATATTGGATAATAAACTTGTACCGATGGTGAGAACTGTCTATAAACGATCAGCATTTCAGCTAGAGGAAACCAATGATGTCCGAATAACGTAAGCATAGATACGGAAAGGTATAATTTGTAGAATTGCTGTCAACATCTTAATTGTTTATCTTTCTTGTCATTAGCCAGAACTAATCTTTTTTATCTTCTAGAAACGACAACATCAAAATAGTTTTCCATCTGTTTTGTCATTTATAGCTTGGATCAAGCCCTATCGTTTGTCAATGAACATCCGAGTGTCAGAGATGATGCCACGTGGCATAGAGATGAGACAGAGCTTGAGAACAACGAGGACTGGATTAGTTTCCATGCAGCTGTTTTAGAAGTTAAGCTGAAGACTGCTTCCCCAGAATGGTTAGAGGAACTGCTGAAGTCTCCGATTATTAGAATGGTATGGTCCCTCTTATTAAAATCAATTAAAACCACAAAATGTACGTTGTATTACCAACGGGATGTTATTCACATATTCTATTTTTTCTATTATAATCGTATAGGTGAACAAGTTTTCAAAGTTTCAACAAAGTTGTACATCATACAATGCTGATAAAGTGAAGATATGGCCATATTGGTTCGAAGATGATGAAATAAAAGAAGCAAAGAAAAGAACAAAAAAGGTATAGGAAAACTTCGTATTTCAGAAATTCTCTTTCCAAAATATATAGGATGTTACTACATTATGTCATCATATTCTATACTGTCACAGTTTGCCATCGTCATTAAATAATTTGAATTTTTGTTCAATACTTGTCCGAGGCATTGTTGCGGAAGAATATAAAATAGCTGAGCATTAGAAACTATTCAGAATTGCACATTTCATTGTTTTAATGCTCAGACTATGTTATTAGATTTCAATGGCAACTCAGATGAACAGTTTGAAATTTAAAAGGTGTTTGCTTAAAAACTTGAGTATTGTAATCGGTCTTGCTAGCAAATACCTCCTTTGATACTGGTTTACATCAATTAGTAATCTTTTGTTTTATTTAGATTAGACAAGCAAAGGACGAAGACGAAGGAATAGTCAGGGAGGAAAACAAAGAGCAAACATTAAGAAAGCCAACACCGTCATTTGGCCTTGAACCCGACTACGCATATGATAATAAGGCTTATGGCGATGATGCACTGGGTGACATAGAGATGGGGATGTTTGAGAAAAAGGCTCCAAGTGTGAATGATGTCCCTGGTGGTACGATAGGTAGGCAGACGTTGATCTTAAAAGTAAAAACACATTCCAAAATAAAACAATAAATTCAAATATTACGATCCAAAAACATATTCAAAAGGTAATTGCTTGTTGCTATCCATTGAGAAATAGTTTCTTGGGCACATAACAATATACTGCCAAAATCAGATGAAAAGATGAGAAATAACAAACTATGAAACTGAAATTTTCACATCAATAGTCTATGATCATGATCCTATTTTGATTTAAAGGTACATTTGTATCAACTGTAAATGATAACCCTCCTGGTATAAAAACCATCGATATGACGGAGCACTCATTAAAGAATGGGACAAGTGCGTACAGCAATGGAGGTACAGCCATTACGAAACAGAGAAAACGATTAGCCTCCGAGAACAAACCAGAAGCCGTATACAATGACAACGATGATAACACCAACTGCTTTGGAAAACCCCAAAAATTCAAGAAGGCTACAAAGCGCTTAAAGATTGAACCGAAAACATATTTTGCCAACGAAAGAACATTTATGCAATGGAGTACTGCTGCATTGTTTCTGATTGGTATAGGTGGCACTTTGGTTGGAACGCAAAGTGAGGTTGCAAGAGTTGTAACAATCGTCTTTTTCGCCCTCGCTCTTTTCATGGTGTTGTATGCCTGCGTGGTATTTTATGTAAGTACAACTTCATTTAATTTCTTGAAGTTTAACGTTAGGATGAATTCGAAAACTAGTGAATCCTGATGGAATTCCCAATGGTAAGTTTGGACCAAGTTAGAATTACTTGAATCTATTTCACTGAAGCAAGACATCAGTCTGGCAACGTGTTGTATTATACTCGTATAGTTGACATTGATTAATCAATCATTCCAGGTGCGCATGGTTCTAATCAAAAGAGGAACATCGGGAAGATTTGATGATTGGTTTGGCCCTGCGCTGTTGACGTGCTTACTCATTACTGGCCTTGGTTTTTCATTCTACGCCTTTCACTATTCTTGGACCATGCTACGTGAGTGGTGCATTAATTCATATTTAAAACAAACACTGGTTAAATGCTCTCATAATTGAAATGAACACCCTTTCCTAATCTCCTTGTGGCTGAAAATTGTATAACTATATTCTTAAGAACTGAAATGGAAAGAACTTGAAAATAAATAGATGTTGATCTAAAATATTTCAGCGCTTACCGTCATACCAATTCAGTACTGGGAGTCACCCGTGTGTGTTAAACTTCAATTGAAGAACAATCCGGTGTTCTTCTCTCCGAGTGGATTATCCACCAACGATCCAGAAAGGCGTTTGGCCTGGACTTGTGCTGACAACAGAATAGCTCAACTAGACCTGGACACTGGAGAGTTCCTGCAGGTTCATACGATTGGAGGTCTGTTCATAATGATTTATAATTCTTGTTCGCTGAAGGAATATGCATAGTTTGCATACCTTTCAAATTCGTACAAGTCCGATACTGATATAAATCCCAGGATCAAACAAAATGCGGTAGATGTGTGGCACGTGTTTCAAGATTGTTATTAATGATAGATTAATTTTCAGATGAGGGTGTGAAAGATTTCGAATGTGTGACATTTGCAAAAGACGCAGATGTGATTTGGATTGGTTCTGAGGAACCGGAGAATGAGATAATTGAATACAACATTAAAACGAAGCGGAGACTTCGAACTTTGTCTATGGAACCAGTATCAGGTCAGACACTGTTTGATTTTACTTTTTTAAAAGAGAGGTTTCTCTACCTCGGATGTACATTAGGATAACTATCATGTACAACATACAATGCATTATCTCAAATTATAACGTAGATGATTAAGCATCATTTGTTCTATTCTAGGGAAAAGTACCAAATTAATGGAAGGGCTTGCCTTCATGGACTTTTACTACCCTCTGCAAGATTTACCCCAAAAGGTGGTTGGTAACGGGACATTCTTTACGCCGAGACCTCAGAGTTTAGGGTCATTTTACATCCCTGTGGGATTCGGAGGTGTTTCACCAAGATCGAAGATAAAGGTTCCAGCTGACCTAACTACTGAAAAGATTGGTGCCATGACAACTCTTGGTGATACATTATATACAGTGTTCGATAACGCTCACGTACTTGTTGGCTATGATATGTTTACAGCGAAAATGGTGAGTATTGGGCGTTCTTTTGTCGTAAAAATATAATGCTTTAAAAACTAAGACTTTTACTATTTCATCAGATTTAAATATTATAACGTTTTCAAAAAGCTAGAGGTTGAGACAAATGACTTTTACATTTAGTAGTTGTTAACCGCTGCTGTTGGGAAATCGATACGAGGATCTATTATTGTTTCAGACGCGTTACCAGATTCCAGGCAACGAGAAGAACTGGGAAGGTATTTTGTTCAGGCCACATAGCTCTGGTATGTGGGTTTACTTGGCCAAAGACAACCCACCAGAAATATGGAGATTTGACTTCGATACCAACAGTGGTTTCAAAGGATGTTAATTAACATCAAATAACACATTTTGGATTGACTTTGAACTTTGAAGTTTTTGCATTTTTATAACGGATACTGTTGAATAGGAAACAGTTCTAGCAATTTTGATAAAGGCTTTATTTGAATGGCGATTATGTTGAATAAAATATCGGATGGGGATAAAAAATGGCCGTACTTTGACACTCAATATATCCAAACTCCTACATATACTTCTAAAAATCTGCACACTGAAAATGCATCATGTCCTTAATACACAGACTAGATTTCAATTTCATCCATCATGATTTCCGTTCATGGTAGCAAAATCATTTCCTGGTTTCACTTGAAAAGGTGATCATTTGGTCCTCCATCTTCTCGATAGATGATGTGCAAGTGTTTTCTCCATGAACTGATTGAGCCTTAAGTCTAAGTAAATGTTCACAACAGCCTCTTAACAATAATTTCTCGTTTTCGTCTACAATTAAGCGTGGTCATCTGGCTATTGCGTGCATCTGGCTATTTTTGGGCCCCTAGAACCAAATTTTGAAAAATTAAGGCCCATTTTTTGATAAATTGGCCCAAAAGATCAAATTATACCCAAAAAGGCCCATTTTTGAGGCCCTACAAAATGTTAGGGCCCATAAACTAATTTATTCTGGGCCCACTAAAGGGGGAGGCGGTCTCCATGGCCTCCCGGATCCACCACTGAATTCATTAGCAATTTTGCTTATCTTCAACCCTTTTCATTGAAACATGTTGCGATCAATTCCTTGTCCGCCACAGAGAAAAATATCTTGATTCAACAAAACCTGTGCTCACCTTGCAGAAATTTCTTTGACACTAACTTTTACTAGACATCACTTGACTAACGCGTGTCACATGGGTGTAGTGCATGCTCTACTCATGAAAGCTGGCAGGTGATGGAATGTGAGTAAGTGAACGTGCGTTTTTGAGGCTTTGATTTCATTTTGACCATGTGTACAGATTAATCAAGCTATGAACTGTGTCAGCACACAACATCATGTCATTTAAATGTCTAAAGTTGAAAGGGTTTGGATAAAGATTGTAACATCATGAGAGTACGGTCAATTTTGCCATCCCCACCTGATGTAGTTTAAGAAAGGAGGAATTACGAAGACAGTGGGGGACATTGATACTATAATATTTTAGTAATTATGACAATTTTCTTCAATTAAAATAAGATACTATTATAAAATGGATTTGTCCTATATTTATATTTCACCACATATAAGTATTTAGTGGCCCTCTAGCTTTAAACTATATAACATATTGCCACTATGGACGAAGGTTTGACAATATTTGGGGAAATTTTTTTATCAGGTCAGGGTCAAAATTTAAACTGAATTGAACTTTTGCCGTTTAGACAAATTTTGCCTAGAATTAGAGATACTGAAGGTCAAAATAGGTATTTTTAACTTTCTTCAAATCGAACAGATTGTTTTCATCAAAAAAGTTCTCGGAAATTCAAATATCACTGGTCAGTATCGAGCGAAGGTTACGGCCGATCAAATAATCATACTCCGGAGTTTCTGTGTCATATAAGGCGGATCAAATATCAAAGCATCACGCCAGCTATAAAGTAGTTTACTTCGATGAAAAGTAAAATATCGAAATCGACACTTCTCGTCCGCCATCTTAAATGCGAAGGTGACGACCGTAACCTTCGCTTGATACTGACCAGTGAATATGATCTTAGATTTGAGATTTGACCTCCAGTGATATTCGATGTTATCTCAAGTTTTCAGTTCGAGAACACAGATTTACATTTTTGGCTGAAAGTCAGGATACACAATAATGAATTTATAGTTTTGCACCAGATATAAGAGCTCAAAAAATTGAGAAAGGTCAAGATTTTCAAGATCAACGTTCAACTTGCTTCAAATTAGTATTAGTATGTATCATATACTTTCAGAAATGAAAATATACATGCTATTCCTATGTATTCTACACCGTCCGGTGTTGGATAGATATTTTTCTTATTACATTTTTTCAACCAGGAGCAGTAAAGCCAAGAGGGACAGAAATCCCCGGAACAACTATTTTCGTCACGCAATAATGTAGCCACACGATCACGTTCCTTTGTTCAGATTTCCTCTTCTACCTCTCTACCATCTATTTTACTCGTTGCTTTGTATATTTTCTTTCTGTCCCTTAGAATCATCTAGTGATATAGGGCCAAACCCATACGGCAGTAACTCTTTAATTGTCACTTTCTTCCAATCATTATTGATACCGGGTGTTGTCATGACCAAATACCAATCAAAGCCGAACTAAAAACAAAACGCACAATTGCAGTTCAAAATGAAATATATTACTTACTGGGATCATTCGAAAATCTGAGAGTAAATGTTTCTAAACACTATAACTGCTTCAGTACTTCGAGCAAAACTAATGTTGACCCTCGAAGGAGAAATAAATGCTGAAAATTGCCCCCCCCCCGACCATATACAACCGTTCCACTTTTATCTGTTGTCTATAGGTTCTTGCTCAGCTAAATGGCAAATCGCCTAATTTTTTTTATTATATGACATGTCTTAAGTTTTTCTACACTGTACCTCTGCCATGACTTGTCTGCACATCCCACAGGAACCGATAAAGTAGGGAACATCACTACAAGAATAGGGTGAATATATTGAAAGTGGTCAGCCTTACCTAGGGTAGAGGAGGTCAATGAGCTAAATGGATGGGTACTCATTTAGTCAGTTGACTGCATTATGAAACTTTAGTCAAACGGGGCTTTATTATGCTATTTTTTCCTACTAAATACATATTCGTGTAATGTAAATGCAAGTTTATTTTTTAAAAATTCACACGACTTCAAAATGCTAATTTAAAACTTAAAATTTAATGTTTATAGAATTCCAGTGTTATCGTAATTTGCAATTTCTAAAACAAGATACCAGCTTCAAGCTTCTGTAAACAAATTCTAAACAAATGGTTGCATTGTTAATTATCTTTCTTTTAAAGAGACGATCGGTTGACTAACCATACTAAAATCAATGCAGTGAATTGTCTATGTCCTGCCGATACAGCGTTAGCAATAGAGACTCTCTCTGCACACATGCACAATCCATATGAAGCGTTTTCCACATTACAACCTGAAATATTTGAACATAAAATGGCAGGGCTATACATAATACATGTAAACTGTGTATTGTCACAATTCAATAATGCATATTATTTTCATGATCAGTCGTGGTGAAACCTATAAAAAGTCTGTATTACTTTTATTGCATTATTTTTGCTTCTGTATTCATTAAATTCAAATTATATTAGATATATTAAATATTTGTATTCGCTAAATCATTTTTCCATTCGGTAAAAACGTTTATATGTTTGTTACAGCAAATGAAGTTTTCAAAATAGGCAATCACTAATTACTATGTGCATTAAATTACATATTTCATTCGCTATGATATTTTTTTGCGTAAATTGTTATGTTATTCCTTAAGAGTAACACATTATATGCACAATATTGAATTTCTATTTAATTTACCAAGTGGTTTACTTTTCCATGACATAGTTAATGCATTTTACTGAAAGCTAATTCGCTATTTACAGAATGCAATAAAGTAATATTCGATAACTTTCGTTGTTGTTCGATATTTTCTCACCTGACCTCGAGATTTACAAAATGGTCGCGCAGCTATTCTACATCGTTCAAATATATCACGTGGCTGAAAGTCTCGCAAAGTATCGAAAAATAACGAAATTTATCGAATGTGGCATTCGGTATTTACCGAATATAAATAATTTAAATACCGAATGTACAAATAATTAATTGAATTATACGTGCGTTAAGGAAAACAAATTGATTCGCTGCATCACACAAATAGCAGGTCGTTCAATAAGTTCACGGAAAAATGCTCTCATTTCAAGGATTTTTGATATTTTCTCATGAAATATTCACACAATGTATAGAAAATACTTTCTGATTGAATCTTAAAATATCAGCGTCTCTTATTTGATTGGTTAACTTGACTTTTGGGTAGGCGGGGCACTTTTTACGTCACATTATTCATTAGAAAAACTACAGAATAATAGAAATTTATGAGTATATCACCTGAATTTCTTCTCCGCTTTCTACTTGTACATGATATACACTCCCCTCCATAAGTTTGGCAACCTTTTTTCCCCCATTGAACTACGTGTTAAATTACCTTTGAATTTTTATTTACTTACCCTGCGATGAAAATACTTATACTATTGATGGAAACGTAATTTGACTTTAATTCCAATACCTCCAAATTTTCTCAATTTTTTCCCTCAATTACAATAGGTCGAAAATTGATGATAAATTTGATGAATTTTTGAAAATCGTCATTCCCATGTTATCCAATGGGAAATGGTAGGTTTGCCGCAAGTCATATGACAGAATATCCATCCATCCGAGTCCTTGCAAAAATATGAGTTAGGCAGGCAATTGAATTTGCTAACTTTATTTAACAAAAATTTGATATGTTTCTTCAGGTTCAACAAAGTTATAGGGCTTTAAAGTCAAAATTGTTTTTCAAAAAACCTCTCCCATTGAAATAACACAAGAGGCGAAAAATTATTTTCAAAAATGACTTTGAAGCGCTGTAACTTTAATATTCATCAAATAAACTTAACACTTAGTGTTCAAAAAAGTTAGACAATTCAATTTTCTATATAAAAATATTTTTTGCTGAAACTTTTACTGAAAACATATCCTGATTTCTGATTTGCCCCGAACCCTCCCTTTCCCATTGGATTACATGGGAATGACGATTTTCAAAAATTCATCAACTTTATCATCAATTTTCGACCTATTGTAATTGAGGAAAAAAATTGAGAAAGTTTGGAGGTATTGAAAATAAAGTCAAGTTACGTTTCCATCAATATTATAAGTTATTTCATCGCCGGTTAAGTAAATAAAAATTGAAACGTAAAGAGGCTTTAACACATAGTTCAATGGGGGAAAAAGGTTGCCAAACTTATGGAGGGGAGTGTAACTTAATGTAATTGTTACAACTATTGTCCCCTAAGGTTTCAGAAATATTCTCCCTCATGTTTAATGCACAGTCTCTTGTATTCAACCCATTGACGATACAGTGCTCGGAAGCCATTTGGAAAACTTGTTTGAATGGCAATCTTGACTGCAGTCGAAAGTAGTTTCATTGTTCCATAAAGTGCAATTAAACTCCTAGCTAATCCTTCATCCCAGTGAAAAAGCAAAATCAAGGATTGTCTCATCTGGAGAGTATGTAACCTAGGGCAGCCTTGCTTTCTATTTTGCCAGTCATTTGTGATGGTTTCCTGCACAATATTAGCCATGAGATCGGCTGCATTATGCCGATGGAAAAAAGTTTGGCTGAATGGTTAAGTTTTAATCAACCTACCATAGCATTACTCTTTGTTGATTTTCTGGTCCACTGGTATAGCATTGACTAGCACGATTTCTGAAATTTTCGGGATAACAATGAACATCAATTTTCTCTCAGAATATTTGTAATTCAAAAAATAACAAATAAAAAATGGGGATCCTTCATTTGCACATATTGATAGATTTCTGTAATGCTAAATTGTGTGACGTAAAAAGTGCCCCGCCTACCCAAAAGTCAAGTTACCATAGTAACCCTTATTTTTGACCAATCAAATTAGAGATGCTGATATTTTAAGAATCAATCCGAAAGTAGTTTTTGCACATTGTGTGAAAACTTTATGGGAAAATATCAAGAATCTTTGAAAGGAGAGCATTTTTCCGTGAACTTATTGAACGACCTGGTACATGTATAAATATCAAATTTGAATGCCAACACAAAGAGCAAGTGAAACTATTTAGCGAATATAAATTGTATAGATTATTACATTCGATAAAATAAAAAACATTCGATAGATTGGGTAAAGGTTTGGTAAATTGTTTGTTTTATTTGGTATTTATGGAATATTTAATGTACCGAATAAAGAAGCAGTTTAAATACCACTTTTGCCATGACTATGACCTGTCTGAAACAAAACTTAATTATTTACCACGATGTTATATCAATTAACCAAATGAAATATCGTACAACGGGGTATATATCCTCATGGACATGATCAATACGAAAATAATAGTAAGTAAGTATTAAAAAGTGTAAATATCAGTAAAATACTGTTTTGTTATCTTGAAACAGATATTATCTATATGTACCAATATACACATAGGTACGTAGTACGTACCATGTGAATCTAGATGATCAATTTGTAGTGTCGTCGTGAATGCAGGTTGTATACACGTATAAATATATACAGCTTGTTTTGTCTGTGCAATATGTATTGTTATTTTATTATGATACTAAATAGGAACCATCCATAAAGTACGAGATGAAACGCGATATAGACACTTTAAAGTATACCTGTGAAAATGCTTCCATCTTCACATAAAAGGGCAGCTCCCACTTTAAAATTGCTATAGGGACAGTATGCCTTCTCTCGAGCATCTCTCGCCTTTTTGATCAACCCAGGAATCAAGGCGTCTTATAAAATATAAATGTATAACATTTTAATTATGGCACATCAGGTTACTGCATTTGGGCGAGCGTATCAACAGTTAAACATGCAGGTCACGAATCCGTATAAAGTGAAATAAAAGGTGCCCTGATTTTAGACGTGTTAAAACGGGAGTCAAAATGGAATACAAAGGTAAAACATTTTTACATTATATTACTGTGTTACTGTGTGTTAGATATTGAATTGTATACCAACCTAGATCGGCGTCATTCATTATATAGATGTATTGTTCTTTCACTCTTGTTCCTTCTACCGTGTTACGGAATCCTTAATGTCCTCGACTTGTGACCTATAGTATACCTCAGTTCGTACTAACGTGTACATCGTATATTCTGTATTCTAGAAGTATATATTATGTCCCAACACCTGTCTATAACACCTGATAAGGGTTATTGAACAGATCAGCCACTTGTTCAAGTTCTCGATTATGACAAGACATTAAAGCCTATTACTTCTGATAGTTCGTAGAATTGACACACAGTATGATTAACTGTACATGTACGTATATTTGAAGTAACTGTAAAAATGGTCCCATCTATCTTTCAATGATGAAGTTGCTAAAAGGATGCCTCCCCTGTACCAAATACAGCCCAACATTATCGATCAACTCTAAATTCCAGGACTATTTTATATGACTCGATAGTTTTTTCTATGTGGCTGGTTGAATCTGATTAGTCGAGGCCTAGTTCCATGACCGATTTGATTTGTCTCAAGCGTTTGATAACGTCATTATTTATTGCGCTGCTACGTCGATTAGACGATTGATGGCGAGATATATAACTCTAGACAAGGAAGAGAAACAAGTGAAACAATCATATCTCAATATTATAAAGATATTAGAGAGATTCTCATGTTACGAAGCGTTTGATTACGTCATTATTTATTGCGTGGCCCTATACGTCGATAGGTGTGATATTCTTTATAGGCTATGTATTAGACAACGATTTATAAAATTATCGACGTATAGGGTTGGGCATTAAATGATGACGTAATCAAACGCTTTATAAGTTATACGTTACACGGGAATAATAAATATACTATAAGTGAGTTGTGAAATCTCTTTGGTCATCCGATGACTAACACCTTAAGCAATCATCTAAACCATACCACTCCTGGTAAGTAAAACGTGAACATCACACCCGTCGAAGTGTATACATAAAACAAGTTACACCTACCTCTTTAAGAATAGTAAGGGGGGACGAAAATGATTTATAGTGGTCGTTGCTTTTCTTTCACCTACTAACCAACTTCCTCCCCCCTCTGACAACCAGTAAGGGGTGCCGTAACAAAAATCAAACAAACATTGGATGACACCATATAATTTCTCTCTAGGTTTTCACACGTTTTAATTCGAAAAGTAGAGGAAACGACATATTACTTGAAATAAACATGATTGCGATTTTATCTTATGAGACACAAACAACCGGGTAAAAGTATTGTACAGCATCTCGTCATTTTGGCACTTTGAGTATTGTTATTCTATACACTATGCAAGTTAATATCAACGGAAAATATCAAGGCATGGTTGCTGGTCATCGATTTGTCTTTAAAGAATAAAGACATAAAGTTTATGACAAGTACAAATAGAGGAATAGTAAGTATCGACTTTACAATGATTACCATAGCGAATTAGTCTGATATGTAGCAACGGCCTTATAACAAAGCCTAGGCGTATGTGCTGTTTTCTAGATATTATAAGCTCTGATTAATTAATTCCATTATATTCATTTCGATTCCAAGAGACATACCTATGCAATAGGTATTTGTAAATGGACATCATGCTTGTTATACGGAGATTGGCAGCAGCTTCGAGACAACACCTTTGGATATGATACGGTTTATGGAAACGTACCAAGTTTCTCCACCGTTTACCTGACGACGCTCTACACAATCAATTACAGCTCCATGTGATCAATCAGTCGGCAAACCATACCTCGAAGGGAACTTACTCCTATTGTATGAAAATGTGTTATTGGTTGAAGAAAAAAACGCTCTATAGAATCGTGTTCTATCAAATGCCTTTGATCGTGTAGGCTTAGAAACATATAAATGACATGTCTCATTGTTTTGTAATACCAGAGGATTCCAGGTTTACTAATAAAGCGATGTGTTACCTGACACTAAAGAAATCTGAGATTTAAATTTATCGATAATCACTTTTATGCTAGAAATAATGTATCATATGAAATCGCTTTTCGTAATTAATGAAGTCGATTCGAATGTGTGTTTCGTGAAAATATATACAGGATAATGTTCGGATGTTTACACAGAGATCACAGTAGACACAAGGGAATTGACTCATACAACTGAATGATAAAAACAAATGTTTCGCTGTACATATTGTAGGATATGAGGAGATATTAAAAGCATAATGGGATCAGGAGCATCAAAAAGACCAAATACAACAAGGAAAGTACAAGCAGTAAGTGCTTTCCAAGCTATCCCTAAAAGTCCTAAAGAAAAGGACAAAATTCTGAATGATGAGATAACTGATACTCAAATAAAACTAGATGACGTTAACCACGATAATGAGAAATCAACTGACAACAGACGAAGCATAACCATTAATGAGACTAGCAATGCATGGAACGCATTGAAGCAAGGAATTATTTTAAATGCAAATAGTCTTCCAAAGACTACATTAACACTTGATGATTTTACCAAGGTTATACGCAGAAAAGCAAGTGAGATCAAAAACGATGATTTGGAAATCCCTTACGAATCCAAAGAAAAGGTGATTGCACTTTTAATGCTATATTTAATGAATTCTTTTTATTTTACTCTTCAATGTATACATGCATATCCACTATAGTCGAGTCTGAAGTACCCTGCGTGCAGAGTCTACATGTAGTTAAACTACGAAACTCTCTTTTAGGAAGCTCTCTTTTAGGAAGTGAAGTCAAACGAATGCAAAGGGTACGTCTGAAGTGATTGAAACTCAAAATACATTGTATCTAGCTGATCCTTATATGAATATATATCTGGTTGAACAAAAATTATGACACATACAGTACTTCTCCCTTATACTAGTACACTGGGGGGGGGGGGCGGCATCCTCTCTTGGTCGAGCCCACAAAAAATGTTGGGCCTTACATTTTTCAAAATTTGGGCCAAATTTTGGTATTTTGGGGTCCAAAATTTTTAAGCGCATGGGCGCGTTTTTCTGATTTGAAATGTGGACGCACCCTAATTAGCTTTTTGATCCGCCAGTGATAGACACCATGTCACAGTCATAAAAAGTGAAATATATTTTCTTGTATGTGACAGACGATATTTTCTATGGTAATAGAACGACTAAAACTGATGAAAATTCAAGTTTAAGGGAACTTTCTGTATACCTGCCATGTTATCTGCCCCGAATTAGCCACCTGTTGGTGAAACTGGTAACGATCTATTAGCATTTGCCGTATTGACTCGATAACCTTTGGTTGAGTATTGTGAGCAACCCGGTGGGTTTTACCAAAGCTACTTTAATGATTCACAACTCCTGAGCTTACTGATGGAATCGCAGCTATCTTAATATATCCATGTACAAACGTAATTTATAACTTTTGGGGTAGGAGGTCAATCTAAAATTTCTAAATGATATACAGTGTAGAATATTTTACATACTACATGTCAAAAAGCGATTTTGTCCTGGTTTATTTTCTGTGCGACCAGCCTGTGAGAATTCTGGACAAATATAAAAAAAACACCATTGACTCATGAATCGGGTGCAATTTTTATTTCTAGACATTCTATTCAAACATATTGTCGACTCGTACTACGACAATGTAGATATATATTGTTGTATATTGTTTAGTACTAGACTAGGTATAGTAATACATCTATTCTGATGCCCCGATTGTAAATAAATCTGATATCTCGTATTGTAATAATTATGTTAGCGCTATTAGATTAATACAGTGTTTACACGGATTGAATGTAACATCTCATTTTCCCATGATTTATTATAGCCTAACCTTTAAAGCAATTTCTATTCTCTTCATGTCCGTTCTGTGTGGTTTCTGCCATTTGATGTTAAAGCTCTATTTTACATAAATCGAAGGTATAAACCGAACTGCTTAAAAGGAATATTTTGCATTTGAAAATGCTATTCAAAAAGCCCTGAAATGTAGGCCTATTGAACAAAATGTATATTTCTGAATTCACTGTCTTGCATTCATAAAGCGGTAATGGATAGGAGGAACGTGCTGAGGATATCTGATAAAATTGTTGGAACAATTTCTGCCCATAAATTGCCTTTTTCTAAACAATTACAGAGTTTAGATTTCATTTCAACATGCTATACCTTTTTAATCTCGGAAATAACAATTGCTTTAAGTAAATTATGAGTCAATTGATAGCTCTAGTCAAATGCAGAAAATAGAGTGACTGGCATTGTGTTTCCCAATGCAATCCCCAACACATGGATCCATGAAATCTCTTGCAATTCCACAATCAATGTTTGCACCTTAATTCACATTAGTTAGATATCTCAATTTTTTCAAATATTAAAATGGAAACACTTATAATTACTTTTTTATTTAAAAATAATTATGTATGCTTTCAAGAATTCACATTCTTTATCGATCCTTTGCTATCACTTTAAAATGAAGCAATTTAGATGTATCAGAAGACGAGGACTGTATTTTGAAGGTTTAACACGTGTTTTCACGTTTGAGAGGCTCCCAAGGCTCGCACGCGTGTTTACTGTCTAAACTGTAATATAGCCTATACTAGGCAGAGGGTAGTTTATATAATTTGCTTATATGTGTGAGGGACAAAATGTTTCTAATTTCCTGTTGAATGTCGAGTCTTTCATCATACGAATGTAATTTTAGGCGTCTGCATAGAATATTGGGAAATAAGCGTTACCCTTTCCAATAGTCTGAGTTTGCTTTTTAAGAGCTTCACCTCCACACTCAGTCAGGGTAAGCAAGCAGAAGAACAAAGGGATTTTGGGTCAGGGTACAAGTTCGAAATTGTTACGAGAGCTCTTCAGTAATTCTGCACTGAAAAGTTATCTACTCAATATATTGAAACAGTTTCTTGATCACACCCTTTGCGGACCGAGCCCACAAAAACACTCGGTGCGGATAACAGAGAGCTCGGTGCGAAACCAATTGTTATTTTTGAATGTGAAAATTAAAGCATGTTGGGATTTTACTTATATTCATATATTAAAAAAACGACATGGAACCCCACACCATCGTATGAATATTGAATTGTCGTTATGCTAATTATTTATTTTTCATTCATTATCATTAAATTAACATGATAAATAACGAAAGTTGTCGTTTTAAACATTATTCTAAGCTTTCATATACTATTGTCAATAATACAAATAATGTTTGCGTCTTGAATGTACTAAATGTCACAAATTCCAATTAAAAAATATATTGAATCCGTACCGAACGTGTCATCTGCACCGGGCGTGTTATCCCAGCCCCAGGCTCAGTCTGCATGGGGTTGTTAAGGAAATTAAAATTGACTTAGACATCGTAGACTAAATATGAATCAATGGCAATATCCGATAAAGTCTGCGAATCTTTTGAAATATAATTTTTATTGCATGTCATCTTGTCTTTCTCGCCATATCCTAGTAAATGTTATGGGCACTCAGTGTGAGTTCATTTGGCAATCAGCCAACCAACCATTAAATCAGTAGGGTATAATAACCAACTCCATCGTTTTTCTATTTTTAATAAGTCGATGGGGTTTGTATTGTCATGAACGACACCATTCAAAGTCAGAATGATATTGTATTCATGGAAACTCATGATTCCAGGTTAGTAATTTTGATAATTTATGATATAAGTACTATTATAAATGTGACACCTCGACTTGGCATTGCTTGGCACTTAACAAAGAGCAATCAACAATTACAGAGACAAACGAACAAATAAACAAACAAACATATAAACAAAGAAACAAACAACGAACAAACAATCAAGTAAACAAACAATCAAATTGATCATCATCCTCATTTCGGGCATCTTGTGCTCAATAGCACAATAGAATAATTATAGTACTGAGCAATAAAATCTTAAAGTACAATCACATCCATCAACGTCAGGATGATGGTCTTCAAGGACACAATTTTTATGTTTAGTGTGTCTGTATGGGAATCAAGTACCAGGTACGGTCTCTTCTTGCAGTGATCCATCTTTCCCGACTTACATTATCGAGTACCTCAAGAGGCGGTTCTAAGAAAAGTACATTTTTCAAGCGCATGCAATGAGTAGATTAGAACTATATCCAGCGTTATTATGGTCATTATTTTAGTATTAAGATGTAGCCTGCTCGAATCTCGTGTTTCTGTTTTATGTTAGGAATCTTTAAATCTTTTCGCAAAGATACAGTAGAGAGTTATTAAGTATTCCTGAAAAGTGTTACTTAGACTGCTAATGAATATTTCAAAAAACTTTTCAAGAGCCTCAGTTCATATGATGTCTAAGTGTGATTTTTTAAATCCAATGAAATTAATACTTCATTTTCATAATTTGAAATAACCTCTTAAAGAGGAAAAGCAGGGCAGGTGCTTATTGAGGTCAAATATCTAATGGTTAGTGTTGTCCTTAGCTCAATGAATTGTGGAATTGATTTAACCCACTCTTGTCTTGTATCCTACCCTTTGCATTCGTTTGACTTCACTTCTTAAAAGAGAGCTTCGTCTTCGTCTTCTTGTAGTTTAACTAGACTCTACACGCAGGGTACTTGTATCCTAGACTTTAAATTCATGTTGCCGTACTCATTCAAAGTCTGGAAACGAGACATTCGTTGATAAATCATAATTCATTGAGTCCTGGGCTTAAATCATTAAAACAAAGATATTTATCTGTTCAATGCATCTGGTAAATTGATGGAATACTTTCAGACTACACTGTGTAAGAATAAAAAAGAAAAAACATGATATTTTGACATTGAAGTATTGGAATTTCACGAAATATTTTGCAAAAACACCTAGACCTCAATTTCAACTTGTACACATAGTTGCTTGTGCATTTTAAGCTAATCGAGGCAGCCATTTTCAATCTTTGCGACATATTTGCCGAAAACTTGTAGACAATGTCTGAACGTATAAAGTAAAGCACATGTTCTATTGCAAGCAAATTGATACATAACTTTATGACCAAAAAGAGCTGAAAACATGATTTTCGGCAATAAACGTGGCTGCCATTTTGAATAGAGGTGTGAACTTTTGAACCGAGATCCTATTGTGTGGGGGCTTTTTGTATCGATAATTAACAAAAATAGTGAATGATTTCAGTAGATCACGATGTGAGCTAAAAACAATATCCATGCTATGATTATTTGACAATGTATGTTAGAGTGAGTGTCAATAATATGTATATCCTCCCGAAATGGAGGAAAAAATATACATGGAAAATATGCATCATGCAGTTTCGGGTCTCTATTGTGTGTCCTTTTTATTGTGAAATATAAAATAAGGGTCATTTTTAAAGTGCCCTTATCTTGATAATATTATGTTGCAATAAAGCATTTTCCGGTTTGTTTCTTTAAACTATTGATATTTCAGTTGTGTAGATGTTGTTGTATATAGTAGTAGTAGTAGTAGTATTTTTATTTATTTATGTCTCACGCACTAAAACAGATACTGAATACATAATATCACGTTAAAACAATACATAAAAATTAAACAGTGCCTGGCCGATGCCGACCTATGAGAGACAGTGGAGTGTTACATTATGCTACGCCGTTTGGCTTGCATTTTTATAATTGTTTTACCAAGTGTTCGTTGAACAGTCTTTTCATTCATTATCAAACAGTATTTCACTAAACTTGTTTGCATATCAAAGTCATTATAATTTAACATTTTGGAAAACAGACTAGATCGTTCATATATTTTATGTTATGGTACTACTTGTTTTGTTGTTGTATCACAAAATACATAAGGTAACGTACATTACCTACCACGTACATATGACGATACGGCATAAAACAAAAATTGACTACTTATTGGAAACTCAACATCGAACATGTTTGAGAATTAGTGCAATTAAGTTACTTTAGAGAGATCTCGCAACTCAATTATAGCATGTTTATTTTTGTCGTATAACGTATAACTTATGAAGCGTTTGATTACGTCATCGTTTATTGCGCGGTGTGATATTCTTACGTATATAGCTGCGCAATAAATGATGGCGTAACCAAACGCTTTATAAGTTATACGTTACACGGGAATAATCAACATGCTATAAGTGAGTTGCGAAATCTCTCTAATATTTTGCTAAATTCACTAACGATTCACAATAATATAATCTTGAAAAGTGTGTATGTAAAAACGATAAAATATCCCATTTGTCTAATTAGCAGTAAGAATTACAACTTCGTTGTTGCCTGAAAGCCTCGGAGACGTAATTACAAATGAATTAGTGCTTTGAATAATGATGGAACGCGTATTTAAGGCAACATTAAAGCGAAGTATTAAGTTTATTATTAGCTTTTCTCAAACACACTTATCGTAGCAATAATGCATACATAGGACATGGCTTGAAATTACGCAAAGAGGTTTTCAGACCCTTATATAACATAAATCATCTTAGTATGATTATTTTCCATTTTAAGATGTGAACAATAGGGAGGGTAAGCTACACGTTCTTAGATGACTTGCACGTGAACGTGAAATATCATGACTATAAGGATTACTGTTCCCCTCTCAATATGTTTTCCAGGGACCTAATTACAACTCCTCATAGCTCTAAACTCAGTTGGGCAAGTTATTATTACAAGGGGAGAATGAATTCGCAAAGGACAGTACAACTAGTTCTGTCACGTTTTATTTTACTGTCCTTTGGGATTAACTGTCCTCCTGTGTGACAAAATGTCGTATTGGATATCAACTTATAAGAAAAAGTGTCACTCTGTATAATCCAAATGATTAATTCACCCTGGGATGACGATTTTTTCAGCTTCCGATACATTTTTACTTATATACAACTTATGTTCCCAGAGTTTAGTGAAACATACAGGGTGGGCCAAAAACCAATACCCAAATTTAAAGATGAATATCATAATGATATATGTTAAACCATGTCATTTATTATATGCCATTTTAAAAATAAATCATTTTCTAACAATATTACACAATCCATTGAAAACCGTTGTTTTCTTTCGGAGTTAGAGGTTAAAATTTACATCAGTGGTGTCATTGGAGGGACCAAGAGATTATTCACTGCGGATTTCCAAATTGTGGAGAATGGAGGTAAATTTGAACTTTGGCACCTTCAAAAGAGGTACATTTATACAGGTCTAGTGCAAAATTCATCACCCATCTTTTAAAATATCAACTGTGTATTACTCTTAAATAAATTCATAATGATTCAGTCAAGCATACTGAGTGCAGTTGTGGATGTAATATTATTACATAGTTCACTTAGGTTTCATGTCTAAAAAGCCTAAAAACATTAACATATATATTTTAGATCCAGACTTCGAAATTATTAATAAGCTAAATTTCTAAATTAATATAACATAGTTAATCTTTACTTTTATCCTCTCACATGCCAAGCTACAGTTATCCAATAATAAAGAGGGAAATTTGGGAATTTTCATTTTTTTTGAGTTTTGGACACTCGTTACACCCCTGGTGTCAATTTTAGCCTCTAACTCCACAAGAAAACAATGGTTTTTCAATCTGATGGTGTCATGTTGTTAGGAAACGACTAATGATATCGAATACGGCATGGTTTAAGATACATCTTTAAACTTGGGTTTAAGTTTTTGGCCCATCCTGTATTTTCTTTTTAGTTCATATTCTATTAGCTATATGTGGCACAAATGCCCTCTTAATTATTAAAAATAATCTATTTCAGGTTGAATCGGAGGAACTTTGTCACATATGTGCTGTATATACGGGAAGCGAGACGTACCCCTGTAGGATTTGTCCTCGTGTATATCACGAGAGCTGTCTTAGGAAGATAGGGCATTGTTCGAGTCCAGAGTCCAGTAACCTGCTACAAAAAGCACACGAACCCATTGGATGGAGCTGTTACAAATGTGTAAGTGAAATGATCAGTGATTTCGATTGAAAATACCATGTGCAGTATGGCAAGTGATTTTAGACAGTCATATCTTTCACCGTGAGTACTTTCTGGACATAAATACAGTGGTTTTAATTAAAACAATATGTTTTCTTTCAAGTGAAGTACCCATGATGATAAAAATATCGATCGAACAATTCGAAAAATTATGAATAGGGACCCCATGTCAACATTTTTTTTCAAAATATTGAACCTATATACTCAAAAGAGGATCTCCTTTTTCTGATTTTTGTTGCATGAAAAGATTATTCAACAAGGGGCCTAAAACATCTTCAAAAATATAATGGTATTGAAAGTCTAGTCTTGAAGATATCAATTTTTGATGACCAAAATGATGCTGAAAACAATGGATAGCGCGAGTTCTCCCTATGTGAAAATAACATGGGATATGTGGTTTTTAACTTAACGCATTTCAATACGCATCCCATTTTCAGAAATTGTCAATATAGTGTAGACGAAACTTTCGATATGTTTAAATTGAGAAAAACAAAATAGAAAATAAGAAAATAAGCCTAACATTTTTTAAAAAGTGCCAGGGTGGGGCCCTAATCCATAATTTTTCAGAGAGTTGAATTTATATTTTACTATCATGGGGACTTCACTTGAAAGAAAACATATTGTTTTAATAAAAACCATTGTATTTATGGCCAGAAAGTACTCATTCTCAGATATGACTGCCTAAAATCACTTGCCATACTGCACATGGACCTTTACTTCTTCAAAGCTTAAAAGTGTTAATTTGCCGTTTCCAAAAATAACACAATTCCCAATTACATACGCGTGATCTTTAATGCCACAGTTGGTTGTATTCTCCCAAAATACTTCAGAGGAAGAAATTCAATTCCATTTCAATAATGACTTATGTTTCGTTATACAGGACAATCTAAGCAGTGTTCTGGCTGAAGAGGAGATGTTTCAACTAATGGAAGATTTTGATATATATGACATAGACAAAGGTGGGTTAATATGTATGACTTTAAAAAATGTTACCTTTATTGGTTAAATTGGTTGATTGGTGGTCCTTTCACGTGCATGTTATTCAAATATTCTCTTTATCTGATATAATATGATATCTTCGACTTTGTGACATCCTTGGTCCAATGCTATTTCAATTCTTACGATAGCTGCTTTGGCAGTGAAGCCCGATCTTGGAGGATAACTTTGTGATGGTTATCATACATGTATTGCTCTCGATAACTCTATACACAATGAGTATATATTAAACCACAATGATTGACTTAAGTGGAAATATCTTCACATATTTACAAGTATATCATCTTTACGACGAGATCTTAGTATTCAGCAGTTGTCGTCGGTTTGAAATCAAATATTATTGCTTCAGAGGTAGATGTGGGATGAAAGATCGAAATTTTGCTCGTATTGCAGTGCTCACTTCCAACTCTGCCATCTTGTGAGATTGCATACAGGAAATGATATCATTGACTTTTAACTTTTATAAACTTTCCAATATGAAATTGTTGACGTATTGAATACGATATTTACTGTACGATTAGTAATACGGATTCACATATTTAAACTATATTTACCAAGGAGGTATATGTGGGATGAAAGAGCAAAAGTTTGCTTTAATACCTCCTCCGTTGCATTGACCAAATTGGGCGATGGCATCCCGTGAATACAACTCAAAACCGTATCATATCAGATCGTAGCATTTGAAGTGTCGTCGATACATGTATATCACGGGGGTAAAGCAGACCCGATGATGCAATGAGCTTGCTCGGCGGTATCATGACTGTGTAACGGGTCTTAATGTATAATTGTGCTCGGTGGTAGGTTCAAACAACGCGGATCCTCAAAGCATGTGCTCATGGTATATTCGTGTTTTAACACCCGTGTATATGAAATAGTAGACAACCATTTAATGTGTTATAAATCTAGTCGCTGCGCTGATAGCCCATATGATACAAGCATCATTCACCATTAGTGAAATTAAAAGGAAATACAATACCATCACATATCACAATGACAACTTTTGTTATAGACGTGCCATTATTAGAGGGATCTATTAAGCAAAACATGGAAAATGTTTTGATATAGTCAAAATTCATCATTTAATGCAAGTTTATTTAAAATAGGGTGCCATCTTATAAGATTTAATACAGGAAGTGATGTTATTTAGCTTTTATAAACTTGTCTATAACAGTATTGGCGAGTTGTAGGCCAGTCAATTGGTGAAAAAAAACAGCCTAACCTAGGACAAATTGCAATAGTTTGCAAACTTAGTTTAAATTGTTGATCAATATTCACCTTATATCATATCAAAAATATAGGAAAATATAATTAGTGGACAAATGTCAAATTTTACTTCATAGGTACCCCCTACGACCCACCCCTAAATTTGACTATTTGTTTAAAAAAAAATTTTTTATCAATAATTAAATAGTTTTTTCAAGTTTTCTTGTTATATTATGATAATAGAATGACAAAACATAAATTTTTACCGAAGTAAACTTTCATTTGAGGCTTAGAATTTTTTGTTTCACCCTCGACAACCCCAAATGAGTCATTAAATGATTGACATTTCATGTATCTTTTCTTATATTTCTAGACTGGTGCATTCCAAAATGATTAAAAAAATCATGGTGATACATGTATATATGGACATAACATATATGGGATACCAGTATCATCAGTGGCATATTGGGGAAGAAAAAAAATATATAAGTTTTACATTTTCGCCCCGCCCACTTTTGGGGTGACCTTACTTTTGCTAAATAATTTTCAAACTATGCAGTATTTCCTAACAATTCTACAACTTAAAGAATGATTTGGACATATTCCATCCAATATTAACTTTTATTAGAGTTTGGGACTCCTGTTTTGGACAAAATTATAACTGCAATTTGAAAAATCTGGAAAATGGGGGGGGGGTATTTTGTAAGGCTAATACTGTATGTTTTGACATATATTTATATCAAATGTGCCAATTATGGGCCATTGAACTTATTTATGTGCTTATGTGAAGGTATAATAGTGTATTTGTTTAAAATGAAAGTACAATCACTGATTTAGAAAGATTTGTGATATCTTAAAATACTGTTATCTCAGACTGCTACAGGGCATTGCAGATTTTGGACTTCAAGAGAGATTGCGGTTGGCAATAAGTCATCGTAATTTATATTTGCACATATTCCTCTACATTCACCACATGCCATGGAACAGTCCATTCCATTCTTTCGACATGTGCAGTGCATTGTTGTGCAACCTGTCTTACAATTACATTTGATCACTTCTAAGAGTGAAGAAGGTCCTGCCGGTAAAGTTGTAGCAACTGGGAGATAGTGGCCATTGTTCATTTCCCATCCCCATTCTTCTGGTGGAAGATTTACCCTCATCCATGATTGTACTTGATGATATACCCTTAGGCTGTGGTGCTTTGCAGCATCAGATGTAGGTGGAAGCACTTTTGGATGAACAGACTCTCGACTAGAGGCAGCTTTCTCATGAAACTTTTGTAATCTTAATTTGTTTAAGGTTTGCCCAAGCTTACCTCCTAATAATGATACAAAGGCAGCTTCTCCTTCTTTTGATATCATGTCTTATGTGGCATCATGCAATTTAAATGTACAAGCGCTTTTCTGAAAGACATCAGATTTCTTTATCTGCCTTTCTGGGACCCGTTTCCCAACTCCAAATAGCCTTGATGTAGTATCACATCCAAGAAATGCATGAATGAATAGGATGTTGCTGCACACTATGTCACCTAAAGATAGTCTTGTATCTTTGGTGTTCCCTCCATTTCTACGAAGATGAGTTGCATCTTTTGTGCTAGGGCCATTTTGGTACCCATCAAATACTATTTTAGCATTTTGGTACCTCATCTGCACATAGTATACATATTGGCTTAAAACGTTCTCCCATGTAAAACCTTTTTGCCAAGGAATGCGATGAAGAAGGGCGCCTCCATCAATCACATGTTGAAGATCTTTGTCACTTGGTCCTGGTAAGGAAGATATTTTTGGTGTCCACAATGCTTCTGCCAGTGATTTTACCGCTGGTCTCATTAAAACTTTTGATTCAAACAAAGCCAGTGGGAAGCTTATAACCTAGAGGCTCTGACAAATCACCAGATCGTGTACCAGCTATGGTAAGGCGTTGATAAAGCAAAATAGGATCTATGTGTATTTCTTCATTGTTAACCTTGACTGCAGTTTTTGATCCTATGGTCACAGCTTGGCTTTTTCTTTTGAAGAAACACTCAGATACCTTTTTCCCAATCATAGATGCCACAATCACATTGCCTAATTCTTTTGCGTCATATGCATTGGCAGCAGAAGAAGCTGCAACTCTTGTTGCAATGTTACGTAATGACTGTTCAGGAAAAAAGGGATTTCTTTCAACAAGGTATTTCAGGATACATTTAGCATCTTTGGTGATTCTTGTTGGTGTTGCATCTTTATGCTGCTCACTTGTGGCATATGTTATATCAGTGAGTTCTTGCATTGCACTGCTTATCTCTCCACATGCAGGTGAGGAAAGAATCCACACCAGACGCTGAACTTCAGCCATGACCCGGCCTCTCGTGAGACATCCTGTTGACTTGATGCTTCGCATCAGGCATTGCTCAATTATGAGATCTGCAGATAATCCTGCCCATGACCTATCTGATCGACGAATGACATGTAGCCCATTCATAAAATAGGCATATACCTCTTGGCTCTGTTTTTCAAGGTTATTCATTTTTTGGAGAAAGATATACAGACTTTAGGTATAGATTGTGACCTGCTGCTGCAAAATATGGCAACATATCGAGCAAACATTGGAGATGAAGTGTCCAACTCCCAATCCCTTCTCCTTTTATGAAGTTCCTGAATAGGTCGATCATATCCATATATTGCAACCATAGCTTTGCTGTTTTTAGATTTTGAAGTGAGTCCTTCTCAGCTTGAAGCTTTTCTCCAAAGACTGTTGCAACATCAATTTTGTCATCATTGTCATGAACATGATTTATTATCTTATCAAAGACAAGATGCAATTCCTTCAGGTCAATATGAGTAGTATCATTCTCTACTTCTACAAATGGTTGTTCTTGTGATTTATTTTGTTCTTCATTGGTCTGATCAAGACCAATGTCATATATCTGAGCTGCTAAAATAGTATTCAATGCACTATCAATCAGAAGGTGGCCTCTAACTGCCCTAGAAACTGCCTTACCAGATAACATATGACCAATTGTATTTTCAGCATATACCAAGCTTAGGACAGAATCTAATCCTGACCCCTCCATGATGTGGCCTACAGAGCCAAGAAAACTCATATCGGTATGAAACCTAGTCTTGCAACCATTTTGTGAGCATCACTGTCTTCTGGCTCATTTTCTAGAATTTTGTTTGCTTTCCACCAAAGTGGCTGAGATGCAACAAACTTCAAAGTGGAGTAGATACATGACAGGTCCATATCTATCAAAGGTAGAAACATGGCTGAAGATTCACCAGGATGTTCCCCCTTATAAACCATCTGCATAAATCCTGACCAAAGTGGACAAGGAGTCTTAAAAAGCAAGGATGATTTCCACACAAGATCAAAGCCTGTTAAAGGTTTATCAAATGATTGTCTCACAAGCTCTTCATACCTCAAACTACTAAACATATCATTGTCATTTGAATAGTAGTGAGTATTGATGCGTCCAATTGCCTCTATGTCTTCTGAAGACACATTGTGTCTGATCACTGGCCGAGTTGTTCTCACTTTAGGTGTGACTGTTGCAATAATGCCCATTACATGGAACGTATTCTTGCCATCGGGAGTTCGAACGTTGTGATCTACACTATCTGCAACATGATGTACAACATGATTAGCAGTAATGTTAGGTATGTCTGTGTTTTGCATCAATGCTGCACTCCTTTGGACACTTCTGGACCTCAGAATATGAGCAAGTAAACCCATGTTTGTTAAGTGTGTCAATCAAAAATCTTGACTGGAAATGATGATGAAGCTGCACACCTAGACCAAGCTGTAATGGGGCCAAAAGGGCATTTGGACGAGTGCCCTGCATAATAGCTTGTTCAATTGATGCTACTTTGTTTCTAACATCTTTACCAACAAACAACTTGCTCAAAACATCAACAAAATGTCAGGTAAAAAGTCTAATGACTCATTGATGGAGGACATTGTGTCATATTCAGGATAAGTTTGGGGAGATTGCTTTTTGTCCTTTAAGGCACTTTTATCAAACTTGCTGCAGTTTCTATAATTTTCTCTTTTTCATCTACTTGGTCTCCTTTGTGTTGATGAAAAGCATGCAATATTTTGGCAGCATTGTCATGAAACATTTTGTATTCCTTGGATATCACTGATGATAGGTTCTCACCAAAGAATGCTTTCAGCTCTTTCTTCATGTATTTAAAGCTATAGGGTTCAATTTCACTGTCATTTATGAAGTCTTTCATCTTGCTAATCAGATCAGTGACAGTTATTTGTTCATCATCATTCGCTTCAAGAAAGGTGACAACTTTATTGAAAGCATCCTGTCGTTGCATGTCTTTAGGGCGTCCACTCATTCTTTTCATTTTTGGTTGCCTTTCCCCATCACTCAGTTGAAACTGTTGTGGTATGCCCTTGCCTGATCTAAAGTTACCACTACAAACCTTATGGTACACTGCATCTGCAGATGGTAAATCGTTAGTAAAACTAATACGTGATTTGACCATGTCAGACCAGCTGATGTTGTTCTGAAACATGGCTGGTAATATTGATACAATATATAGAATAAATATATGTATATTTATATTAAATATATATTATTCATTTATATATTCAATGTATAATTGTTATTTTGATATACATTTTGTATTTTTCTTTTTCAACTCCTCTATTCAAATATATTAATTTGGAAAAGCTAATTTTGCAATAGATGAATGGTTGGATTGGTCAGGTGTTTATTGCAACAAACGTTTGAAGTCATTTTTGAAGTCGACCCTTGAATTTTAGATGGCACTAGTGTTTCTAAGTTTCATTTTAAAACTGTTTAATGATCAAATAACTAAGAGATAGTGTTTATGGGTCAGGTAACCATGTTGTATTTGTTTTGTTCTCAAATTAGAGTTGATTTAAGCTATAGAGATGTGATATCTCAGTTGTTATTAAGTAACGGTAATTGGACCCTAATATTTCATCTTGCATCCAACATATTATGAGATGTTTAACAAGACAGGGGAAATAACTCCAATGAAAAGTTATCTACAAGACAGAATGGGTTTATATCTGTATTTTTATATCAAATTTGAGGACATATGTGGTATATATTGGAAGTTATATTGCAAAAGTAAGGTCACCCCAAAAGTGGGCGGGGCAAAAATTTGAAATTTTAAATATTTTTTTCTTCAACAATATGCAAATTCAGAAATCGGTATTCCATATGTGTATTACCTGTATATAGAAGTATTACCATGAGTTTTTCCATGGCTTTTGGATAAAGCAATTAAGAAATATATACATTATTATAAAATATTTTGGCCATATGACAACATATTTTGGTGTATTTGGGAGGTAAATTGTCAATTGTTGGCACAAAAAAGCATTAAAAGTAGATTTAAATCCACTCTGAATCTTTCCCATGAACTAATACAATATAAAAACATGTAAAAAATATTCAAATATGGAGAAATTATTTTTTCCCTTACCCCTAGTCAAAATTGGGGTGGGGGTACCTAAGAAGTGAAATTTCATATTTGTCCACTACATATATTTTCCTATATTTTTAATATGTTGCTACATATATATCAATTCACCAATTAAACCATGTTTCAAAACTATTGCAATTTGTCAGATGTGAAATCACCAATTGACTGGCCTATTGCTCAAAATCACTTCTAGAAAATGGTACTGGTATATTAAGCTGGTTTTGTGCTTCTTTTTTTTATTTTTTATTTTTTTTTTATTAAAATCAATGTAACATATTTACAGGTTGTAGTGGCTATGACCCACAAGAGGGAGTATTAGGTGCCACATAATGGTATTTACAATGATTTGTGAAATATTATGAGAAGTGTACATGTAATTGTGTAAAGTATGATATTGTACATAATTGAGAAAATAAACTGATTTAATGGAAATGATTAAAGGTCTCTTCTACAATAGCAGGTGCAAGCAGTAAAAATGTGTACAATGCTTACATACCGTCTTGCCTTATGTGATATGCAAGAGAGAAAATTCGAAATATTTTACCTTTTCTGAGCTATCAGGGCAACATTTGGCTTAACATCTTCTTTGACATACCTATTTTCTTAAAATGTATGGATAAACTATCAATTTCAGCATTAAGAAGTGTAAATTCATCAGTTCAAAATAGTGAAATGATTCATCACTGCCACATATTAATAATTCAAGTACTAATATACCTGGTCTGCTAAACACAGTGCTAAAGCTATTATCATCAATATCATCGTCATTCTTGTGCGGAATAAAAGTAATTCATGTGACAAATATGACGACATTCCCAAATGGAGCTGTTGTGTTGAGGATGTTGATCCAACTCAGACTAATTGAATTTCGAGCTTTATGGCAGATGACTGAGCAGAGGGGCGTTTGGAAAATTGTGCTTTAAAGATTCATACTTTAATAATTGTCCTTCCGTTTTGCCACATTGAGAAACAACATAATACTTTCTAAATCTTGGCTTTGTGTATTCTTCATTGTAAAAGAATACACAAAGCGGGTCAGTGGTCACAAAACTTGAACTTAATTGAATTGTCATCGATTTGAAAATAAACTATGGTCAATGACTGTTCTATTTCTCAGAATTGTATATAAATCATGTTATATTTGTGTTGCGCGTGACGTTCGGGTCTACCCTGCGTGCAGAGTCTAGTTAAACTACAAAAGGGTATTCGGGTCGGGGGATTCGTTTACAAGCACTCGATCGTCTATTATACCTGTGAATACTATCTCGATTCCACCATATATTTAGATTGTATCAAAGAACTTCTCATTTGAACGTATACGTTTACCGAGGTTAATTGTACTCGCTTTTAATAATGACTGACGTACAAGAAAGAATAATCACCCGATATATTTATCATCGCGAAATCTACCTACTGATCTCATACAGATATATTATTACAGGCAATTAACCCAGATCTATAAATATTGTTTAGTTGCCACGACAGAATGATGATTTGCCTCTTCGGCGACATCTTGTTTAGATGAACCATTTTATAAATTAAAAGGCATTGATTCTACTTCAATTTTTTATCAAAGGGAAACAATAATACGTGGTTACCCTATATCGTTATGTTAGGCCCTAGATGTTAATTTTTGGAAAAAGGCATATACCAATTCATCTAATTTACTTTCTTAATTACATGTCAAAATTATAAAATCTAAAAAGTCATTAGATTTAAGTTGTGCAGACCCAAGTATAATTCTCTAAGGGGATCACAATAATACATTTTGCATATAAATAAAAATGCTCTTAATTTCAGATTCCACGATTTCATTAGATGAGTTTTTAAAATACAAAAATGAACAATACCAGAAAAGGTTTGGATGTGAGATGCCATTTGAAGATGAAGAAACAGAAAGAAGAAGATTTAAAATAATGGATAAAAATAAAACAGAAACCCTTGACTGGTGGGAATTTTTGAACTATGAAAGCACTCATATCTTAACAACCAGGAGTAAGGTAAATATTGAATTGATTAAGGTAACTGGAAAGACCAATATGCTTTTCATAAGACGGGTACTATTGAATTAGCAAACAAATCTGTCTGATCGGATTTTGTCTAAGACATATTTAAGATTCATTGGATCAAATTAATGATGCCATTTCGAAGTGCAGATTCTGAGACAATTTTCAGTTTCTTTATGAGTTAGGTAAACTATATACCTAGTTTCACAATTTGACAAAATCGCCTCTCTGGCATTTTTTGGACATAGGCTATTTTGATTTCTGTCAGTTCTTCAAATTAGCAAATTCACAAACTTTCACTTTCATGTCAAAAATGGAAAGCAATTTTTAATGCTATGGCCACATACCATGGGTTTTGAACGAACATGTTTTTCATAGATGCAACATTTTATCCCATGATAACAATGGACGTGCATGTCCTTTGGTATGATACCTTTGTATTAAAGTAAACCATGCCATGAAGATGCAGATGCTTTCCTGGATATCCAGGCACGTGAATATAACAATAAGTGAGATATGCCAAGTGGCTGTGGAGATCCCTATCGGTCGGAAAATATTCACACATGATCACTGTCTGATATCATTTCCCTTATTACCCACCGGGCTCTTTTGGCAAAGTGAAAAATACTAAATGCTGTCTTGCTCTATCTACCATCGATATTATAGATATTTTTTTTTATAAAATATTGAAAAACTATACATACACACATAGGGATCTCCACAGCCACTTGGCATATCTCTATGTGTGTATGTCCAGCTATTAATTGAATATAGGTTATTTGCTGGGAGGTATTGAATATGGGTTTTATTCCGAGGGACAATATGATATTGACCGAAGGGTGATATGATTTTAACCGAGGGAGCGCAGCCGTCATTTCATGTTCTGTTACATTCAACTCAGTTCGCACCCGTCGCCTCTATTATCCAATTAAACGGAGGGCTGTCAGTTCATTTCGAGAATTTGCCCGATTACAACCTGTGTCGGTAATTTCCGGAAAGGATAGGTACTGTATATATATGGTGAACTGAATTCGACAATGTTTTTCTCTTAAACCAATTATTGAAAACATTCTGTAAAAAACACGGTCCTTTATGTAATGTTGACTGATTGGCAACAATTTAATGCAAAAATTATTAATTACAGAATATACGTATAACTGTTTTTTTTATTTTAGTGCAATTGTTTTTTTGTTCCTTTCTACCGATTCTTAGAATGAAATAAAATGTCTAAAGTTCCGAACCTTGTTGGAACAAAATAGCATATACAACATTTTCTTAGACCTCTCAATATTATAGTTATACAAAGGAAATTTTGGTTGATTTAACAAAAAGTACGCAAAAACAAATCACCCCAAAATAGATAAAAAATTAAGATAAACCTTTTAGTTCATTAACAAGATACTTTTTTAAAATCAACCAAACTTCCCTTTGTACAATTACTATATTGAGAGACCTAAACACGTTGTGTTTATGTCGTTTTGTACCAATGAGGTTCGGATAGATGTTTCATTTCATTCCGAACATATGATACCAAGAACGAAAAAATTGTCTGATGTGTTTTAAAACAATATAGAGAAAAGTATATATATATAATTCAAATTATCATGTTACCATCCAAAGGATGACCATTAAATTGACGATGTGTAAAATTTTCAGAACGTTTTGATGATTGGTTAAAGAGAAACGCGTGTTCAAAAAGTTCACCATATCGATACCACTCCTTTTGAGTTGATGGCCCTTAATCGAATAGGGGCCCCGATAGTATCACCAATTCTTGGATGAGTACTCTTTTTCTTTTAAGAGCTGAATAATACCATCAAGCTTATTTGAATTTTTCATTAAACATCTAAACTAGGTTGCCATTTAGTCGGAATTAGGTCTTGAACATGTTTGAAAGTACAACCAATGAAAATAAAAAATATCAACAATTCAATACATAACTGTTGGAAATGATTTGCCTTATCTTCCAGGGTCTTCATTTTCAGACTTATCCGAAGCGTCTTATTGAAAATGCTTTATTGCCATATTCATCACGTTAGTTGCTTAAAGATTCCCAAGGACCACACACTGAGATATTGAACAAAAGAGCAGTGCCGGATAGTCGTTTTCTGATATTAAAAAGTTGTTTTGTATTTATACAAGCCTGTGGTGATCCCTGATTGTCTCGAGTACATCTTATCAATAACTCTTTTCATTTAACACAAGCCTCTAACCAATTCCTGTTATGATGGTGCAGAATATTAAATAATAGTAACAAAGAACTCATTCATTACGTTTTTAGTACATAAGCGAGTGATACACCTTGCTAGAATCATTGAAAATGAACAGGTAGTCGGTCGTGGATAACTCCATCACCGCAGGTACATTGATCGAAGGTAGAATAAAAAAAACAAATACAACGTACCAAATACCTGTGACCTATTATTCAATATCAAGCCATGTTCAGCATTTAGATTTCTTTCTTAGAATCCAACAGATAATGATTTTCAATTGAAAATGTCAAACCCTAATTTGGAGCAACCATATTTGAAAATCTCATTTCATCTGACCGTATCTAGGGAAAATATATGATATTGACATCAGAAAATATCACATTGACGCTCGGGCTGTCGCCCTCGATCGATCAATATGATAGGCCTATTTTCGTTGGTCAATATCATATTTGTCATTGGAATAAAATTCATATTCCATCCCTCCCATTAAATAACCTCTATGTGGAAAATGACGTGTAGGTTTGCTATGAATGCACTCTTTGAAAATGTATTAGCTATTCATTTTATAATGCACTCGTGGTTCAAGATGTAGTTAGATATTTCTTTCAGAATGCACTGTGGAAAATGGAGTAAATGTTTGATATTTATTTCAGAATGCACTGTGGAAAATGGAGTATATGTTTGATATTTATTTCAGACTGCACTGTGGAAAATGGAGTATATGTTTGATATTTATTTCAGACTGCACTTTGGAAAATGGAGTATATGTTAGATATTTCTTTGAGAATGCACTGTGGAAAATGGAGTATATGTTAGATATTTATTTCAGACTGCACTGTGGAAAATGGAGTATATGTTTGATATTTATTTCAGAATGCACTGTGGAAAATGGAGTATATGTTTGATATTTATTTCAGAATGCACTGTGGAAAATGGAGTATATGTTTGATATTTATTTCAGAATGCACTGTGGAAAATGGAGTATACAATGTTTGATATTTATTTCAGAATGCACTGTGGAAAATGGAGTATATGTTTGATATTTATTTCAGAATGCACTGTGGAAAATGGAGTATATGTTTGATATTTATTTCAGAATGCACTGTGGAAAATGGAGTATATGTTTGATATTTATTTCAGAATGCACTCGTACGACTTCTTACTGAGCGGGAGATAGATGAAGCTAGAAGAACTTTCCGGGTTTTCGACCGAGATGGGAATGGCGAGATATCGGAACATGAAGCAAAACACGCATTCACAAGCTGGTACAGTCAGTTCCTGCATGAAACACCAGGCTCCTTGAAAATGTAAGTATTGATGCAAGGGATGTCTCATATAATATATATAATTAGGCTCCTTGTAGGTACTATTTGATTTTCGATGGCACCTACGTGTAGCTCTTTGGAGATGCAGGTACAGGTATAAGTAACCTTCAATCAAAGGCAAAAAGGTCGTGTACTTTTAACAAGTTGTGTTAAATGCTGGTATTCCGTCAGCTGTTGGCTTATTGTATAGCTTAAAATACAGTTGTATTTGGTGCGACCAGGCTCATTGTCGGTGTGAGTATTGGCATGCGACCTGCGACAAGGCTTGTTGAGTATGTGAGAATTGGTATGCGAACAGGCTCAACGAGGGTGTGAGTATTGGCATGCGACTAGGCCTATTGAGTGTGTGAGTATTGGTATGCGACGAGGCTTATAAAGGGTTTGAATATTGGTATGCAACCAGGCTTATTGAGGGTGTGAGTAATAATAATGCGACCAGACTTTTTTGAGAGTGTGAATATTGGCATGCGACTAGGCTTATTGAGGGTTCAAGTATTGGTACTATGCGACCAGGCTTATCAAGGGAAGAGTATTGATATGAGACCAATGTTGTGAGTATTGGCAATCCGACCAGGTTTAAATGGTATGAATATCGGTATGTGGCCACGCTTATGGAGAGTATGAGTACTATTGATGCACCAGATATATTATGAGGGTGTGAGTGTTGGTATGCGACCAGTCTTCTTGAGAGTGAGTATTTGTATGCGACCATGACTTATTGAGAGTGTGTTTTGGTATGTTGCTTCATCATTTGTATTGTAATAGGATTCTACATTGTGTGTTTTAGATTAGACACAGATGATGTAGATGATAATTCAGAATTTGCTGTTCATGTAAAGGAAAACACAAAACTTATTATGGCTGCTGATACAGACAAAAATGGGTAGGTTTATGCTGATTGCTGAAATTGGTTATCTTTAAAACCTGGTCAATGTTAAAGACAATTTCTTCAAATGCGACAAAACATTTCCGAGACCTCTCTGTGCCGTTGTATTCACACTTCTATGAATAGGAATAACTTCTATGATCTTGTCTATTATATATCTCATGAGAAAATATGTGATCAGAAAATCACAACGCTAAAAGGTGGGCCAAAAAACCACATACAAGTTAAGTTTAAGGATGAATACAATGTTTTAAGCCATATACCATGTATTATATTATATCATTTTAAAGATCAATAATTTCCTAACAATATGACACTATCCAATTGAAAACCCTTTCTTTTCTTGTGGTTAGAGGCTAAAATTGACATCAGGGATGTCATGAGCCACCAGAAAATGAAAATTGCAGTCACAGATGCACTCTATGTGGTTGACTGAATCATTATGAATTAATTTGAGAGTAAAACATAATTCCAAACAATTAATTAAACAGATTATGTATTATGGGTGAATTTTGCACCAAACTTGTATAAATGACCTCTTTTGAAGGTTGTAAAAATACAAATTTCTCTCCATCTTCCACAACTTGGAAATCTGCAGATAATAATTGTTTAGTCGCTCAGCCTCATGACACCCCTTGTGTCAATTTTGATCTCTAACTCCACAAGAAAGCTTTTCAATCGTATGGTGTGTTAGGAAATGATTTATCTTTAAAGTGATACATAATACATGGCAAGGTTTAGGATATATCATATGACATTCGTCTTTAAACTTGTGTATTGTTTTTGGACCCCCTGTATTTCCTGTACAGGAGTAGTAAGTTGATATTCATTTCACATTCTATATCCCATCGCGTAAAGGCCATGGATTGCAAGCCACGTGAGCATTGAGATTGTACAGTATATTACCACCCATTAGTCTGATAGGACACTCACTGTGAATTCCTTGGATTCCAGCAAAGTGTAATAGAATGCAATAGTGTTAATTTTGAAAAAGGAGATCTAGTATCCATAGTTAACCGAAAAAATCAATGGCAATATCAGGTCTAGTAATTGGCACTCCAATACTCATGCAGGTAACAGTACCTAGTCATTCCTGGTAATAAAAGCCTATAAACACTCCATATCCATTTGATTACAAACTTAACTTCAGATTTCAATAGTTAACTCCCTATTATCATTGATTTTCCAGAGTCATCTCGACTCTACCTGTTAACATTATATTTCAAACATATATGTCTAAAACAAAGATAACATACCGGTATTATATTTGAGTATAAAATGTTTGGAAACTGTTGAATAGTTAGAAGTTTAAAGGAATATTCCTTGCCAGACCCTTTCTCTCTTGATATGGTAGCTATAATCATATATATAGTTTCCATATTTAGCAAAACATGGGAAAATGTTTTAATATGGTCAATATTGATCATTTAAAAATCTAGTGCTTATTTCCAGTGAGCTGTCATCTTTCAAGATTTCTTGCAGGAAGTGATGTCATCAACTCTCAACTTCTATAACCTTGCCCATAACAGTTTAGGAAAGTAGCACAAAATCACTTCTAGACAAGTGATCATTACTCTCTGTGCAAAAATATTTTCAGGGCTTGTCAACTTAGAATAAAAGAAGAGATTTTCAGAAGGAATAAATAAGATACAAAGTTGAAAAAGAATATTTAGCTGGTTTTGTAATTCTTAATAGCTCCTCACCTAATGCTATATGCAAAGTTGAGAGTCGATGACATCACTTCCTGTGTGAAATTTTAAAAGATGGCAGCTTACTGGAATTGAGCATCACATTTCTAAGTGATCAAATTTGACCATATCAAAACATTTTTGCGTGTTTTGCTAAACATGGCAAGCATATATATGGTTATAGCTACCATATGAGGAGAGAGATGGTTTGGCAAGGAATACTCCTTTAAGGATTTCGCTACCCGGTAATTCATGAATGGCCATTGGGAATAACAATATTTTACAAATATTTAATTCCATTGAGGTGAATACCTGTGCATCTTTTACAAGTGGTATTCCACGAAGCCCGAATGGCTAGTGGAATATCATCTTGTGAACGTGTCACAGGTATTCACCGAAATAGAATTAAATATTTGTTTTATTCAGTCATGTGACTTCCGTTGAATATCGCTTATTATTTTTAGTCACGTGTAGGACATGGTCAAATCAGAGAGTTAGGAATATGACAGTGATATAATAATGTTTGTTATTGGTATATTACTTTTTTTGCTCTCTTTGATGTCAATAACTCCTCATATATTTCTCAAGCTAGTAACCCATACTGAATCGGATGCAATTAGTAAGTACATAAACATATAAGGTATACGAGGAAAGGCGACAGATAGCATTGCACATTTTAATAATCTATTTCTAAGATTCACTTAAAGAATAATATCCATATAAATAAATAATTAATATAAAATAGATGGATTAAACCCAATATGTGAACAAAAGTAATTTCATATTGAGCTTCCGTATTCTTCTAATTTTATCAAATTGGTTCAGGAAGATTATCGCCCGGGAGTTATCGCAAACAATTTCGGTCGGTTTTATCTAAAGAAACGTATATACACGTAGAATGAAAGTCTATTTTACTTGGAAATATTAAACTAGTTATCAAACCATCAGCATACTTTTCAAAGATGTTGACCTCATTTTCATCAAAAATGAAATCATTTTTTACAATTAGCGCATTTCTATCCTTTATTTTGATGTGTATCAATTAGTTCTTGAATGGAAAACTGAATAATGAGTGGGTCTAAAAGATAAACCTGTGTTCATGACCAGAACATATTCATAATTTAAGTTAGAATCGTCTGAAATTGTCTGCGATAACGTGCTCCTTTATATATTTATTCTGCCCTCACAAAATAATTGTTATATGGGATGTCAAGTTCCTAAATAGCATTGCCCAAGTCGGTATTTTTTTTACTTATCTGATCTTGAATCATAACCTAATAGAAATCAAGATAATTAAGAGCGACTTGGGCAAGTCTAGTTATTAAATTACCAGTCACAATATTATTCTGTTATTCTTTCTATACCAAAGGCTATATTTTTTGCTCTTTGTACACGGTGTTGTGATAATCTGTTTATCAAAATATTTTTGAGTATCCCAAGTCCTATGGAAGGAGTATCTCGAAGATCAATATTCTAATTAAAAGCGATCCCAATCCCGAGACTCAAACATGTAGATGCTCAATACCATTAAGATTATTTCCAATATCAATGGTGTTTCAAATTGCCTTTAAAGCTTAAAATGCACTGGTGATCCGCTCGATTACGCTAGTTACCGAAACGGTCTCGTTTCGGTAACAAAATGTCGGAACGTCGAAGGTAAGATTTTTCTTTTTCCTTATTTCACGCGTTGTAGGCAGAATAGCCACGACGTTTTTTCTCACAAACGTGTATCAGTATCATGTTTTAGAAAATGTATGTTTGCGATATGGTGCAGATCTTAACTGTTTTTCGAAATACCGTTTATGTAACTTAAGTGAGGAATTAAATCTACGATTCTGCTGTCTTCTGAACTATTTGTTCGCAAATATGTACATTTTCTTAAACATATGATACTGATACACGTGTGTGATACAAATGTCGTGGGAATTCTGCCTACAATGTGTGGAATAAGGAAAAAACAAAAATTGTGCCTTCGACGTTCCGACATTTTGTTACCGAAACGAACCGTTTCGCAAACCAGCGTAATCGAGTGGATCACCAGTGAAATGGCTGTTGGTATTAATGAGATTTTGAACGAAATTTGGAAAATGAGTCGATCACAATTCTGAGTTCTCTCAGACACTCTTCTCCTCCCCTCTAGATCTGTTTGTGTATAAAGAATCTATATTCTTTTATTTCAGGAGGGTTTCATGGAACGAGTACCTAAAGGACCAGGCACTATATATCATAGCATCAAGACCTAATAGCTGTAGTAACGCACCAGAGGATGACAATTTAACAACAAAAAACCGAACAATATCTAATGATGCAAAAATCGTTTGATTTCCCAGAATTACAGAAGTTACTAAAACGGCTGCATGTTCAATTTAAATTGCCTGGGTGATCATGCGTCTGAATTTCATTGAGGTTACACCAAACATGTCCATTCGAGGAATTTTATGGAATTAAAACATGTCTCATCACGATCTGTTGTAAAAGTCCTAAAATCTGAAATTGAACACTACCGACGACGTATCTACATTGAGTTTGTATTTTATTCTTTTGTTTACAATTTATATACGAGAGGGCTATCCAAAGGCATTCAGCAGTGACTTACACTCATACATACATGTAGTACGAAAAAATCTGTGGCCAATATTACGAATATGCGCCAAAACATTCTGAAGTGAATACTTTGGATAAACGATATTTTGTATATATAATGTAAAAATGCACACAAACTATTAATTCGAGATTTTCATACAAAAAATCGTTCCTGAATTTTAAATCAATCCGTTGATAAAATTAAGTGGGATGTCCACCTGTCCAAATGATCACAATATTATAGCACCCAAGGATAAAAAGTATCTTTGACGCACAAAATTATTTACTTGTGCCATTGGAAGACTGACACTTGATTTGACAAACACGTAGGTCTGTTGCTTTTTCTGTTCTGAATGAATCACATCAAAGACAATATTGGAAATGTATTCCTAATATAAATCATTCAAATGTGGCAATGTATGTTGGCTTGACTCCATAAACCTCACAGAAACTCATGATATATGTAATATCAGAAAATATTTATTTTTTCAGTCTTGCTTGTTTTACACCATAAAGTATCAATGATCATTGTGTAACTTTATCAAAATGTAATTAAAATCAACAGTGAAAATATATCATTGTATGCATGATGTGGCTACAATAAAAGTATGTTATATAACATAATCAGTGTTAGTGATATAAAACGAAAATAACAGTTTTAAACCAAACATGGTGCTTGAGAAAGACAATAAAGATTAAGAGACATAATACTAACAAAGAATCTCAGAGTCAAATGATCAGTAATTATGTAATAAATCTTACAAATTATAAGGTTCCTATCAAATTGATCTGTTGCTAAAGCAACAATAACAAAGTGTCAACACCTATATAAGACTACATTATACTTTGATCACTACAGATTAAAAACGAATGTTAGACCAGAAAAAATATTCTTGTTTCTGGTCGCCTGCCATTCTAATAATAAATAAATGAGCTAAACACATGCAAAATGTTTTTACAATGTATCAAGCCTGACAGGGCATTACTCATTTGTTTCTATATAATCTGAATAAGTGTTTGGTAGGGATCCTACAGGACAAACTTTTTTATGCGAACAGAAACTATTTTTCATTGTCTGACCAACCCAAGGTTAAGTTCACAAAAGCACTGTTATTCAATCCTCATTTATACTTGATGCAATTGTAGAATTCTATTAAGTCAGAAAGTAATAGATCTGTTGTATTGATTGGTTCATCTCTATCAATTGTTATCATTAATTATGACATTTTGATGTATATATTGATCCAGAGTTCATTTATTGTTAACAACACAACATTGTGTCCTGCAGTATAAAGAGTTTAATGATAATATAATTGTACTGAAATTAAAATAATCAAATTAAAATCTGCTTTCTTCGTGGTTGTTTACGGTGGGTGAAAATTACTAGTAGATTGTGTTACCTGGCATACATAAGCAATTACTGCAAATTATGAATGACATAGTTCAATTGTACAACAACTTTGCAATAGTGAACATAAAGGTACCTTGAGAAACCTAAATATTTAAACCATGATTCCAATACATTTGAGAAATCATCCGTTGAAGTTGGACATTCTTCACATAGAAAAATGTTATACATTTGTTCTGACACAGAATTCCTTACATGTACACATTGCATTCACACAAAAGCAATGCTTAATGATCATTATTGATATGTGCAATCATTACCATACCATTACCAACTGCAATTAATTACACTTAATTACAGACAATTAATTAAAAGGTTTACATGTACCGAACAATCTCAAAGAGTAATCTAATATCAAATTACTGATAAAGTCAGACTTTAAAAACATAACAAATTATAGAATGAAAGGTTCTTGAGTACTCTCCTCTCTTATCACATTGAAGACAAATTACTAGGAGATTTGGCATCTGCATGTCTCTGGGAGGCTGCTATTGTAGAACAGTCCTCACTATGGTTTCTAGCACATCTACTGACTTTTTCATATCTTCTTCCTTGAGTTCAATATTTACTGTTACACGTATGCTGAAATATAAGAAATCGTGATATGTAATAAATCAAACACTTAAAATTACAGATTTCTTTTTGCAGAAAAAACTCTTCTTTGAGTATAGTGTGAATCTCAAATATCATTGAAAACTAGATAACAGCAACTCCGCTGAGTAGCAAATCCCAACGAACAAAATATCAATTAGCGAATTCCAATCAATCATACTCATTACTTTGGTTAAAATTGAAAAAATTAGATTTTAAAATTGCGAATTCCTGCAAAGCAGCCATTTTGAATTTTCTGAGATACAAATCTGAAAAATAATACCATAATTGTGATCTACTCCAAAATTCCTTCAATTTGAGTATAATATAGCCATACTTTGAAGGGATCGAAAAATTATTGCGAAATAGTACATTAGAAGGCCATTTTGAATTTTACAAGGCTCGAATCAGAAAAAAGATACAATATTTGCAATCTACTCTTAATTGCCTTTCATTTGAGTATAATAAAGCTATACTTAAGAAAGATCTAAAAATTAGCGAACATTTTTGTTTTCCTGTCCCCCCATACACAGCCCCTGGGGGTCAGGATGAAAAACACGGAATATATGTGAAATAGACAAATTTGTGAATATACTACCAAAATTTCAAACAATAATATTAATTACTTTGGTTCAGAATGAAAAATTTATGATTTTTGCGAAAAAGTCCCGTCATTTTTAAAGCGGCGGCCACCTTGAAAAATTTTTTTTTGTGTAAAACTATTCACCAATATACATCTTTCCACTAAATATGAAGAAAATCCGTCTACTAGTATTTGAGTTATCTTCCGGACAAACGGACGGACTGACTGACTGACAGACGGACTGACGGATGGGCAGACAGACAGATGGACGGACAGATGGAGGGCTTCACTATATCCCTACCGAACTTCGTTCATTGGGATAATCAACTTTTGAGCTAGGTATGAAAAGTCCACTGGCTTAAAAATGAGATGCAATCATAAGAATAAGAGAAAGAGGTTGGATTTAGGACAACCTTAAAGTAGACTTGGTCCTTCTCAAAATGACTGATGACGGAAATGCAACTACCTAATACAGAACGGCACAGTAATTTTAAATCTATGAGGATGAACAGCTTCAATAAAGGAGGTCTCATAGAGCCTCTGATGACAAAGATGACAGAGATGAAATTATGATTATAATGGTGTGCAATATTACCTGACAGGTGGTAAATGTTGTTCCTCTGTGTCCAGGTACCTAGCCACTGTCAATGCTACCCCTTTGTCCCTGGCCTAGGAAACAAGAGATTCATAATACATCTACCCATAAATCTACTATATGGCCATTGTTAATGCAGTTACTATAGTTATTATGGAACATTATCTCACATCTAGAACACAGACAGATTTTACTCATAAAGTGTCTACTGTTCAATTTGACTCTTTTATGATTGACTGTTTGTAAAGGACTGTGAGTTCTATGTAGAATAAATTGGGAGAGGTTTTTAATGCGTTTGCTTATGATTTTCATCTAAAAAAACATTAAAACACTATAAAATGTTTTATTGACTATAAGATTACACCATATAATCCAAAAGAATATTTCTGATTTTCAAAGGTTATCTATGGATTAACACCCAGGTATTCTTAGTTTTCAAACTTCAGAGGACTGTACTGGGAATCATTGATAATCACTGCTTTTGAAGAAAAATGCTCAATAAAACGTTTTAAGTGTAATGATGTTTTTTAGAAAAAACAAACTCCCCAGGCCAATTCATTCTACATACAACTCGAGGTCTATTCTGATCTTTTCCTTTGTCAAGAATTGGACAAAACTATAAATCTTAATTCTGTGATTACCTGAATGTCAGGGTTATTTTTACCATGAAACAAGCGTTGTAATATTTTAGTAATTTGGTTGAAACATGACTGTGATAAATGAAAACACTGGAACGAAGAAAAATCTTTGAGCTATTGTTTACCTACCAGATCTACTATTTTCTGTAAAGTCTTTTGGTCTCTTGATCTGTCGCCAGTGGGTTTGATCAGTCGAAGGTGTTGAATAGGTGACACTGGGAGACCACAAACTGTTAACCCTGGCAATCTGCAATTTCACATAGACTATGTGTAAGTAATTCATCGTGGTTCATTGTTTGAGATTACAGATGATATGATGTTTGCAATTTCATGTTGTATTGAGCAAGATGTGAATATATATATATATCTAAAACACAACAATATATTTAAATCAGGTCAACTATAAGATTTCCTTGGGATATAAAAAGGTTTTAAAAAGTTGTGACTTTTTTGTTTCTTTTCCTTTTGGCGAATGTAAACAATGGAGGTTCTTTCGCTAAGGTTTTTTAACTCATCTATTCACACTGGTTTACAATTGTTTTCTACACAAGGACACCCAATTCCTAGAGATATAAGAACAGAACTAGCTTTGAAACATTATCTCCATTTCCATAGGGTAAGTTGACTTTTTGGTCGCTAACTCCAATTTTTACAAAACAATTTAATAACGAAAATGTTGTTGAGTAATATATCAGTTATAGCAGTTATTCAACATATACGAGTAACAACCTGCTTTAAGGTCTGAGTTCCATGTATAGTAATTATCAGGAAATACCAAACTACACTGTGTAGTACTATAAATAAGTATAAAACGGCATACCTTTGTAGTTGGTTGTGCATATACTGTGCATTTTGTTGAAGAGACTGGAATATTTGCGGCTTTTCTCGCATGATGTTGAGAGACTGGATGGCAGCAGAGGCAAGCATAGGGGGAAGAGATGCTGAGAAACAATATCCAAGACCTGATAGGCGCTGAAATAAAGTACATAAATGACATTTATGGTAACATAACTTTAATTAAGTGTTTCTCTGTGAACCTGAATAACACAATGTCATAGTAATATGCCTTTTTGGAGACATTACGTTTGCAAATTTTGGTTGCTTCGCAATGTTGATTTTCAGTCTAGCTGAGACAGTTGAGACATTAAGATTGCACCAAGTAGTAAAACCTGTACCGTTGGCTCCTATGTGATCTTTGATCTATAAATAACTAAAAAAGCGACTAGAAAATCAATGTGCTAACTTTCTATATGTTTCTAATTTAAAATTAGCAATAGCTGTTGAATAGCTGTATATGTTATGGTTCAATATAAAATTAATCCAATGGGGAAGAAATGCATGAAATTTCAAGTATGAAGTATTAGCCATATGATCAGTGAAATTTGTGTTAAAGCTGTTGCAGCAGACTAGAGTTTTTTTCCCATTGTGTGTACCAGATTGTTTTGATATGTAATCAGTTGATTGATTTAAGAAAATATGATTTTCGAAGATTTGTTTATGGACATCAATTTACAAACATTTTATGTAGCAGCAAACCACTCACAGCAATTTATATTCCTGTTCCTTGTTTTGTAAGTGTACAAGTTGATGGGTGTTCTGAAGGTTTATTTTGAAGTAAACAAAATTACAGGTCCAAATATACAGGTCAAAGGTGTATCTTAAGGTCTCTAGTTCTCAATTGTTTCTTTACTGTTTACTTCATTTAAACAGTAACTCATCTAAGAACTCATTTTTTTTATTGCACCTTTGTGTCTTCACAAGGATATGACAAGAAATATAAAATGGTTACCTTGCTCTTTATATCAAATTAAAATTCTGACAATTTAAGAAAATTTATACAATTTTAGGTTGAGTGTAGTAGTATCAAGTCCAATATGTAGAAAAAATTAATCTGTTAAAGGTATTTTATACCTGGTGATCCACTACATAAGCTTTCCCACAGCAGAAGCCTCCTATAGACCCCACACTGTTCTCTATGCTGGCTGTTATCAGATCGATCTCACTTACCTACAATATAAAAGTGTGTGATGGGAATTAGATGCAGTATGGGTGCAAAACTCCAGTGATTAATTTGGGCTGAATTTGAAAAATCTTTGATTCTGAACTTTCATCTTATCTGTTATGTATTCAATATACATATGTTATGTTCATAATCATGTTAAATGCATGAGAAATGAGAATCTGAACTTACAGGTATGTTAAAGTGTTCTGTTACTCCTTTACCAGATTTTCCCAGAGTTCCAAATGAGATACTCTCATCTATAAATATTCGCACCTTGTATTTCCACTTGAGATCAATCTGAAAACAAATGTAACAGTAATGCTTATTCACAACTGTAAAGTGTAAATATTTTCAAAATCATATACCATATCAATATGTCATCAGAATATTTTGGCTACATTCTGTTGCAACAGGAGCCAAGACTTGCATAGATTAGCAGTTAACTACTAGGTTGTTCTTCAAATTTGGCCCATTGGTTTGTGTGTAAATATCGCTGTATCAAAACTTCAAATTCACTACACATATCAAATAAATATTATGTTTTCCTTCATCATTATTTACAAATATGTTTTAAGATTCAAAATCAAAAGGTTTTGGATATTTTCAAACACATTTATCTTAGGAGATTTTTGGAGTAATTTTTACATGTTAAAGTATGCTATTTAACCCACTGTATTTTTCGCCATCTATTGACAGTCCTGAAGGCCATTAAAATCATCAGTTGACAATTTTCCAGTATATAAACTTTAATTGTTCCTTGATTTTTAAATTACTCATTTTTGAATGGTCTATATGTTTCAATGATAAATCCAAAGGAAAAATTAGATGAATAAAATGCCCGAAATAAGTGAAAAGATGAACTTTGGCAGCATCTGGAGTGGTACAGTAATTACATGTATATAGTATCTTCTAATATTCTTAAACTCACCAGTTGAGGAAGAGGACAAATATCTCCATGGTTTAGATATAAGCCCTCTACTATCATAAACCTTCGAGTCACTTTGGCCTTTTTGGGATTCTAGAAGATAAAACAGTTGCTTTATAGATCAATCTGTATGCAACAAATTAGCTGGAGGACATGTCATGTCACAAGGGTTTTATTCTATTATCAATTTCTTTTTGTCTAGACTGTCTCTGTTGAAGGATTTATAGCCCAAGTCTCAACGATTTTTGAGTGATTTATAGCACAGGTTTCAAATATGCAGATTAGCAAATTAAACCAAGGCTAACATGAAAAGAAAAGTACATAAAATCAGCCTCAATTTATTAGCATAAAACAACATTTTAAGATATTTGTATTATTGTATACTCATTAAATTATCCAACCAAAAAAAATTGCGGGCATTTATCCAGGGCTCAACCTGGGTACAATTCCTTAAATTAGAAACACATTAGCACATACTTGACTAACACATTTCCTTCAGTTCAAAGACTTTTACCAAACTCACCTTTTTGTCCTCAATGTCCTGTTCTTTCAGTACTCTTTCAAGATCTTGCATGTCATTGTGTTTGAAATAGACAACCTTACTACGAGAGGCCTGAATACCTTTCTGAATAGCAAATGACACCCCATCATCACTGAAACATAGGGACATGAATTGTATATGAAAGCTAACAAGCACTCCTTCACTTAATTAGGCATCCAACAATTTGAGGCTTTTCAACAATGTGGATGAATTAAATGTTAGATAGTGTACAAGCAATCATTTACTCGGAAGCATGCATCCAACAATTGCTAATCAATATTAAATCACTCACTTAACTTATTCTTACCACTTTTATAAATCAAAATATATTTTTCGCCTATTCATATCATGATAAACTATATCGAGATGATAGCCCCTGCTAAAGCTATTGCATGCATGAATATAGTGTACAAGCCAACAAACTTGCAACTTACCAGAATATGACATCACCCCTTTTAGAATAAGCAGGAATGGCACTGGCCACTGTTGCAAATCCATAAGAATAAAGTATGGCCTCTTCACACTGCATGTACTTGGCAAGTTTCTCTTCCAGTTCTAAATGTACATCTATAAAAGAAAGTATCAAAATATTTCACAGATAAAGCATTTCTTTATCAAGCTCACTTTGGAATCATTGTATGGACTAATTCTATTATTGATTTGTTTTACAGTATTAAACTAATCTACCACCAACCCTACATCAGAAAGTATGGAACTGAGCGTCCATCAACCACGACAATAAAAACTAAATATGGGAACATGTACTCACCAACTGTTCCATAGAAACCTCTTGGGCCACATGAACCGACTCCATACTTTCTCAGTGATCTGACTGCCTCTTCCTGAAGATACAGCCACAGAATAAATAGACATATTATGAAACTGACAAAACATGGCATAAATGTGACAATCAATTAGCTTTCATGAGACTACTGAGTAGATTTGCAGTACATTAAGAAAGTAGAAAACTGGAAATCATGACTTTTTATTTCCGTTTCTGTATAATCAATTAAATAAGTGTTTACCTTTATTGAGCAGTTCCCTGCCAGTCCAAGGAAGTTAAATGTTGCCAAGTTGATGCAGGGTTGGCCATTGATGTTCAATAGTTTACCAATAGGCCTATAACATGATGAAAACAAATTGTTAATGGAGTGCGTGCGAACTGTGTAAAAGTGTGAAGATGTCTAGACTGAGCGATGCATAAAGATATAACTTGGAGGTAGAAATTAATCTATAATTGTGCTATTAGGATATACAGATGACTTATTAGAGGAACATATTCTCCTGTTATAACACTGAGCCTAATATTAATAAGTTGGAAAATGAGATCTCATTATTACTTGTTTAACTTCAAAATATTTTTTTATCCCTTATTTAATGCTGTGTGGTAAAAAATACACTGAGACACTTAACATGGGATCTGCCATTTTTGCTACATTTCATGAAATTCATCAATTTTGACATCAAATTTTGACCCAGTGTAATGGAGATATAACATTGAAACGTTGCGGACTTTATAGGGAATAGAATCAAGATACAGATTTATTTACTTTATTGGGATTTCTTTTGTTCCCCGCTTAGAAAACAGTCGTTAAACAAATATGGGGATTAACATGTAAACCTATGAGGTCCTTAACTTTTTTTGAGGAGTATATATCGTCTCCTACATATTCTTAATAATAACATTGCGTCTTGACATCAGAGTCTGATTGAAAATAAGCTCCTTTGAAGAATGAGATCTTCAATATAATGATTCCAGTTGAAGTCTTTGTTTTGCAAAAGGATTAGTTCAGAACAATGCTTAGAGATTCCTTACAAGAGAGTAGGGCTAGTGTATAATTATACTTACCCTGAGACAACATTATCATGCACTAGGGCTAGTAAGGCAGGGTGGTCACTAGGTGTGTCTGGGACTAACGGTTCTGGTGTCCATTCTTCAACCAGCTCTTTCTTCTCCTACAAATGCACATGTTTTTAGTGCACTGAATGTAGTATGTACCTTATATTATGGCCTATGTACTAAACATTTCTTTGCAGTATGCAGTTCAAGTACTTGGTAGATGCTACATGAAGTACTAAAAAGTCTGTCAAATAAAACTATCAAATGAAAATGACAAATTGTTTTATTAAACCACAGGTCCTGGTAAACACGTACATAGTTCTCGCCAGGCCTTAGAAAGACTAGAGACTAGTCATATACAGCACTGTAGTATTAAACTGGAGCCAATGATAAAATAAATCATATATTCCCTTACCTTGTCTGAGAGGTTGTGTTCTGGCTTGTAACTCTGTGTAAAGAACAATCTGATAATCACCACAATCAAGAGACCCTCAAACAACAAGTGGTAGCTTGGGATCTATAAATAAATGACAAGAAATATATTTTTATGAGGTAACAATTAATCACATACCGTATTCTCTCTAATAAATGCACAGTGCATCCCATATTCTCCTGGAAGAGATGTCTCAAATGATGGGTCATACCTTTTGGTGGTCAATTTTTGGATGTAGTATTTTTGGTCTTAGTGTCCGCCTCTCTCATTACTTTATTGAGCCCACCACCAATGGGGACTGGATCTAGCATAATTGGGATCCATGGCAATTTCCACAGGACAGAACATACTATATGAAATGGTAACGGGGGGGAGGGGGGGATTACCAGATGACCTTTGGTATTGGCATGTTTGATAAACAGGCCTCATTTGCCATTGAAATGGATCTTTTAAGGTAATCGCTTTTGTTTTATAAGTATTCTCTACAAGTTTGGATCAATAGTATAATACCATAGCTGATAGCTTTGAAATGATAATGTTGAATTAAAAAAACGCCATTTCCACGATTTCAAAATTTTATTTTGCGTATTTGCGGCACTGAGAGAGCATGTGTTCATGATTGTTCACATGATCACATCCTGCAATTTGATTGGACATCATGTACTGGGGAATCCCCGAATACAATAGAGTATGATAGAAATATGGGAGCTACAGTAGGGAACATAAAGAATTACTATAGCTATGAAAATTACATGCTGCCGCACATGTAATAAATTCTTACCTCAGTGTATTCAGTACTCTATTTTCTCCGTCCTAGTAGTAGGTCCAAATATAGTGGAATTTGTGTCCATGACAAATAAGAACTTAAAAAGTTGAAGTGGATATTCACATGTTAAATCCCTTCAAATGTTAAGGTAATTTTGTAGCCTGATTACGCTACAATGGAGGATTGGCTCCCAGAATGCAACATGACACGTGCCAGCTTTCAAAATGCCGTTCCGCCATTTTGAAACCTGTCACGAGTAAATAAGGTTAACTGATATTGCATTCTGGGAGTCAATCTTCCTTGGATCACAAACATCAGGCAATTCATGAAAACATTCGTTCGATTTGGTAGGGATTTATCCATCATTTGCAGGTATGAAGCTTTGGATTCATTTATTGTGCTACTTAAAGGGAATTATTTTTCTACCGCTTGGGAGAGTTTGAGACACGTAACTTGGAATTTAGCTCATTGTGACAACTTTTGATGGTTGAGTTTTATTTTTGTGCCCCACTTTACTCACTTCTCCTGTTCAGTGGCGTAGGAACAATGTACGCCAAAACACTAGTGCGTACTGCGTAGTGTTGAAAAATGTTCTTTTTTCATATTTTCTCATTGTATTGTGCAAAAGTAATCTCGAGCACACTAGCCTAAAGAAATGTTTTGTGGATACCATATGATATGCTCGATTTTTTCAATAGTACTCTGCATGGTTTTTGTGCCTCTGTTATTTTTCTAACCTGGGCCACAGATAAATGACACTTTTTGAAAAATAAAATATTGACAGTTACCTTGTTTCTACAGTTCTAATACTGTAGAAAATGCAAAGTAATCATTATTGCTATGTTTGGCAAATAATCATTTAACAGATTGAATTCCCTTACCAACATACTTCATGAAAATCGAGCCATTATTGACTATCCAATGGCGTAGCTTCATATACGCAAAAAACGCCATTGCGTACTCTCAAATTTGAGAGAAAAATAGTTTTTTATAATGAATTGCCCCGCACTTTAGAAATACTGGATAGATCTTAAATAGTAAGATAATAGTAACAGTAACAATCATATATGAAAAACAAATAAATGATTTGTTCTAATCCTGTGTTGTTTGTTTTTGGTCCAGATTAAGTCGGAATTTCGTATTTCAAACCGACCCAGGACGCTTCAAAAGCAATCTCATTTTAAAATTTTCTTGGGGGAGAACCCCCCCAAACCCCCCTCGAATTCGTTCGCTTCGCTCACTTGTGGCGTACTCTCACAAAATACCCACGCTACGCCTCTGTATCTTATGGATTTTAAAACTAAAATACAATTTCGCCAAATATTCGTGATTCGCGTTCTCTTCACAAATTTGAGAGAAAATGTTTTTTTCAAAAACTACTTGATTAATACCTTTGCAATTTTTTGCGCATGTTCCGTAATGCTTATGCAAACTGTGGTATCATTTAATTATAATAATGATGAACCTCTTTAAATTAGATGTGTATTTTTTTATTCTCCCCCTACCTGCAATTTTTCAATTTCACTACAGTTTAAAATCGATTTAAAATCACAGACAGAAATTATAGTTAAGTCAGCAATTATCTATTTTCTTACTAAATCACCAATTGTTATTGGTAGTACTTCTTGAAATATGAATTAAAGACAAAAACAACTTGAAAATGTTGATTATTCAATTACGCGTTCCACTGATTTCAGTTCTAGAAAAGCCATTACCTAAATTTTTATTTCATTTGAAAGATAACAGATTATTGTTTTAGGAAATATAACATTTTTGGCACCCCCTAAGTCATGTTGACGTCGATTTGACCTTTGTGGTGGGAGGTTTATTTGGTCTTGCGAATTAGTGTTGTAAAGGTTGCAGACATTAGGGTTAATTGTATCATTGATCACAAATGCGTTTCTTAAAATCAATTGATCAAACTAGATTCTTTAATCTGTACGTATTGTCTTATTGCAGGGTACATAATGGAATCAGACAATACAATTATCTCAATTCAATTATTTGAAAATAATTAAAAATCTCTCATTTTTATTTGGAAATTGGTCGTCTATATCGTTCGAGTCATAAGAAAAGTGAGAATGATTTGTGTCAAGATTTAAAAGATTGGCTTTCCATGGTGATTTTAAATGATGAAAATCATTCGAACATTTTAAGCACATTAAAATGGTATCAGGGAATTTTAAGCTTGCAGATAAAATCGAAACGCCAACCTATACGTATGACCAATCGCCCATTCAAATGCATCGCTAAATATTTCCGTTCACTTCATGGTTCACTTAGGTTGTGAAAACATGGCATGCTAAAATCTCTATTGCCATAAAATGACGTTTTACGAGCATAAAATAGGCGTTTTGATATAGAAGATTTGACACCACTGTTTCATTTTTGTCAGGATTTTTTGGCGTAGTGTTGAATTTACTTCCTTCGCCCCTGCTGGTATATGTCTAGGTGCATTCATTCACCCTCTGGGTCTCTGAGATGCATTTCACACCCGGTGATCGTGAATATGGGACGGAGGGGGGGAGCAGGCAATTTATTTTTTCAAGAAAAAGTTTACTATTGAATTGCTAAATGGATAGGCACACGGTATGGTAGAATATGTTAGGTTTTCTGGGATTTTTTCTGAAACGATACGCATCTAAGGTATGAGATCTATTAAAAAAGGCGCAAGGCCATCAACAGGCACAAATCAACGTTTTTGCTATAAACCAAACAACAATGGTCTGGACGACCTGTAATAAATACTTGTAAGTGATGTTATCATAACTAAATTAATGTCATTGCTGAATTTATAAAATAAGTTTCCATATGTGAAATAAAAAATAATCGAAAATAATGAATTTGGGACGGAGGGGGGGAGGGGACGGAGGGGGGGAGCAATATGTATATAAGACATGATAAGAGATGTTTCGCGACTTTAAGTCCTTTTACTCCAAATGTCCCCATTTTTCAGTCTCCAGGGGTATATCATCCAGTTTCTTACTAAGTTAATGAGTTCATTTTACAAATACAAGAATTCGTGTGAAGTTGTTTCACTTTATAGAATTATTACTCCCCCCCTCAGTCCCCTCCCCCCCTCCGTCCCATTTTAATTATTTTCGATTATTTTTTATTTTGCGTATGGAAACTTATCTTATAAATTCAGCAATGACATTAATTTAGTTATGATAACATCACTTACAAGTATTTATTACAGGTCGTGTAGTCCATTGTTGCTTGATTTATAGCAAAAACTTTGACTTTTGCACGTTGGTTGCGTTGCGCCTTTTTTAATAGATCTTATATCTTAAAAGAGTATCGGTTCAAAAATAATCCTAGAATACCTAACATATTTTATCATACCGTGCCCCTATTCAATTTGCAATTCAATCGTAAACTCTGTCTTGAAAAAATAATTTTACCAGATTTGTTGAATTTTCTAGCGTAAATTGCCTGCTCCCCCCCTCCGTCCCATTTTCACGATCACCGGGTGTGCATTTGCTTCGAAATATTTTAAGATCAGAGTAATGAATAAACCGGATTAAGTTTAACTTGTTAAACTAGGAGAGTTTCTATGATTGCTGGAAACTCATTTAGATCTAGGCCTAATTTTTCTTGAAAAAAAAGTTCAAAAACATTGAAATAAATGGACTTTAGGTCCAAGCCAAAGTTAAGCATTGTAAAAGCTAAATCTATACAGTATTAAGAGATGAATATATTAATGAGAAATCATTTCCATTTGGTGAACACAAAGAGAGATCATTTACCTGTAGTATACTGGAGAATATTTCGTTGAAATTCCAATTTTCGACGGATGCCATGTTGTTTTTTTGATCGTATGGAGGATTTCACTACACCAGCAAGACATTTGGCATTAACAAAATAAACCCCGTAGTAGAGTATATTATTTATGAATAGAAAAATATTATTTATGAACTATTGTGCAATTTTGGAAAATATATGAATTGCTGTAACACGAGATGTAATGATAACTGATTATGTTTCCATTGATTTCGCCTACCATATTTACGCATATAGTTTAAATTGTAGTGTTCATCTACACACGCTTTGATGACGTCAAATTCATGCGACGTCAGCAAAGAACCCATGTCTCTCCAGATTTGATGAAAGTTTGTTCAATATTTACATCTTTTTCATCCCAATGACAGCGGCAATGCAGATAATGGATGTGGTAGATCCACACTTCGCTGTACCGGTTCTGGGAGTGGTCGTGTGTGCTTTGTTGGTATTGGCATTTGGCTTTAAATCGCCTGTTGAGCCACCCAGCTTTGATTTCGTTGATGAAAAAAAGTCGAGATCAAAATCAAAGAAGACGAAACAGGTATGTGTTCCACAGACTTTTCGTTTGGATCAGTGATTCCCCTAAATATTACACATAAATGTGATATAGATTGAAGCACCAAACGTTTTGTCTGATCGGACTTCAATCACAGTAGCCGCCGCGAGATGTAGAGTACTGCTACATGTTAGATCTACACAGTTTATTCTCGGCATGAGGCATTCCCGGACAAATCCTTGGCATCAGGTGAAAAATCTAGGTGTATTTTAGACTCTTTTCAAAATACAACACCACTGTATTGATAAAAATGATGTGTCTTATTTGAAGTTTCAATAAAGAAATCGTATAAAACAAAGAAATATTGAAGATTGTCTGACAATGCCCCATAACGACCTACAGTAATGGGCCCCTCGGGGAGCTGTAGTGTAACAAGCCAGATATTGGACATGAAAGGTAGTGTTCTAAATTCAATGTCTCCTGAGGGAATCAAACCCAGGACTTTCAGCTCCATAGACCTTGTCTACAGCTTTAGCCAATAGGGAGCTAGCCACTATATTTGGGCTGTGCTAGTAACTTCCTTTCAAGAGTCATAGCACCCCCCCCCCCAAACTGTAGGGCAATGCCACGTCATAACCCATCATATGCGTAAATCACTGAAATGAGTCTTCTGATCAAATGTAACCCAAAGGGCCCCTTCTGGGAATTGTAGTGTAACAAGCCAGATACTGGACAAGGGCGTGTTTGACTCAGTATACATCATTCTTCCTAATTTTACAGAAATTTCAGAAGGTTAGAAATAGAAAAATCAGAACTTAATCCCTGGACCAAAAATATTTTAGACCATGTCAAGGTAACCTTACTCTGTGTTTTCAATAATGCTGTCCAAATATTGAAAAAATGCAAAAAAATGTTTGACCCAGAAATAAAAATGAACTGCATATTTTGGAAGCAGACGCAAGTCAAATGCACAAAATCAACTTTGGATGAATGATTTGATAAAGATCTTACCTTCAGTCTCTTTATTTCGTCAGAATCCACTAAGTAATTGAAGGAAAGTTGATTTCTGATCGAAATAGTAAGAGGCATGTGATAGGACAAAGAGTTATCCAAATCTCCATTTACGAGCAGTAATCAGTACGAGTTCTACGATTGGCCGCTAGCTGAAGACCTGATCTAAACCTTAAAAGGGACCTCGCGCCGATTGCTCCTAAAGCAAGATATTTCTGAGCCATCAAAATCAATAGCAAATTGCTTCGAAATACGCAAAGAAAATGTGTGTTGAATGGTTGAATATAAGTTATACCTCACAAGTGATGGTATCTGTATCATTCAATGACATTCTAGACTCGCTTAAATGCTGATTTAGACCAATAAATAGCAAAAACGATACAAAATTTCATCAATTTCATCAACTTTGAATTCCCGGGAATTTTTTACAAGGGACGCAGTCTTTTGAGGGGGACGCATTTTTTGAAAATCAGTATGTCCCAGGGACGCAATCTTGGACAAACCTACTGAAAATATTGCTTACTGTAGTAAAGAAGCGATGAAACATGATTTTCATTAAGATGTTAAAACTCAAAAAATCTCATTTGCTAATGTGGCTACTGAAGATTCACATGTTTCAAGTCTGAAACATGTAATTTGATTGGTTCCGATATATTCCGGAATATGCCGAAATTGAAATTTTTGTTTGTTATGTGCAAACATCAGTTTTAATAAATAAATCAGCACACTTGATTTACTGCTTGTATTCATATTTTACAGCATACTTATAAACCCATGTTTTAACAGTTATGTAGGTACTTCTACATTTTTTGACAATTCAAAATCTCTGGGACTCAGATATTTAATTAGAACACTAATGTACAAAATTCAGTGCCAATGTAGGAATCAAACCCAGGACCTTCCACTCAGCTCCATTGACCGATGCTCTACCGCTCGGCCCAACAAGGGCCAACCCCTAAAATTTCATTAAAAATGAGAATTCAATGAGATCTAAAACCTATAAGTAAATCTATTATTGATCAATTAATCTGAAATCATGTCCCTTACACTACTGAATGGTACTATAAAGGCAATTTAATTTGTGTCAACTAAGTTTTGTAAGAGTGTTACATACCTTTAGATGTAACACTGAAAAATGAGATGTCAAACCCCAAATCCTAATGTTTTTTAATGTTGAATGCCATCAGTTCTTGCTCTGGATATTATTAATTAAATTTTCGTGAATTAAATGTCGACAAAACAAACATGATTCTATTTTTGTAAATGATATATGTTTTTAGAAGACTCCCAGTAATGGGCATATAGTACAAGAGTCTTCAGAGTCAGTTGCTAAGCAACCAAAGCAGTCGCCACGCACAAAGCAGGATGCTAAGGATGCCAAGTTAAGCAAGGTATGCAGATTTTGAAGTGCAATACAGGATATATTCTGCTTGAGAAATTTTGTATTGGAACAAGATGAAGTCGAGTGCCAATACAGAATATCGAGACAGAATCAGAGGGCTTCATTTTACAGATCATACGATAATTAGACATATTTCAAAAAACTCATGAACTTAATTTGAAAAACAAGTTGTGATTAAACTTATGAAACGTGACAGTATTATTTACTTTGAATTCAGATTGGTTTAGAATACCTAAAAAAAAGTAATATAAATTGCATTGAATAATAAATGTGACACAATCATTTATTCATTTTAAATCATGGATAACTAATCCCCATTTGATAGCTTATGTAGGTAATTTCACCATTTGATACTTGATATCAGAGATATCTTAATATGATTAGAATGACAAAGAGCAAGAGTTGGTTATTTGTAAGTGATGCTTGCAATGTTATTACCCCTTTGATTTATACTCATATGGCTGTTAAGTGGTTGACTCTTATAGCATGATAGAAATGTTTTTATTTTTGATTGAAATTGCTCTTATATTAGGTACTCAATTTCATTCAATAATGCGAATGAGGAAGTATTATATGAGTTTATTTTGTAAAACACAGGCCCGTAGCAAGGGTGGGGGGGGGGGTGTTCGCAGGGTTCGGGCGAAACCCCCCCCCCCCCTGGCCAGAAATTCTTTCAAAATCATGCAGTTTTTCACAATTTTGAGCACTTCTTAAATGATTTTAGCCATATTTGGGCCAAAATTGTCAAATGTGAACCCCCCAGGAAATTTTTGAAAACTGAACCCCCCTTGGCAAATCCTGGCTACGGGCCTGAAACATGTCTCTAAAAGTAAACTTTTCTACAAAACTATTCATATAGAAATACTCTAAGCAGCTGTTAGAAGTTCATGTTAAGAAGTGTTAATTGAAAATATTTGTGCTAGTAAAAACTCGCTAAATCTCCACTTTTTTTAATTAAATTAGTGATATTTTATTTCTTTGATCTGTTTCTATATATCCCTAACTACTACCTTTTCTGGCTATAAACCAAATTAACTCATATTCATAATCTGACGAAAGGTTACCTTTATCAACACCAATACTATAAAATCATCTGTAATAGTTCAATTATATATTGGATATTATATAATGGAAAAAAAGTTTGAAAATAGAGATTTCTGATTGTGTATGTTGATGACTTTAGGTAAAGAAGGCAGCCCCAGGCAAGAGTAGCAGGCCTGAAGATGTAGAGCCAGCCAAGGCCAATGAGACAACAGAAGATGCAGGTACTGTAAGCCTAGTCAGCCAAAAGCACATGCGAGCATTTATCATTATCAAAACTTGAATGATAAAATTGTAAATTAAAACCATAAAATTCAGAGTACTCTTATTCATAAGAACTTCAATCTAGCTCCTCTGTAGTAAGCCTCTGTGAAAGTGTTTACATTGATGATTTATGAAGACATGTTAGAATAAAATAAGTCTGGTAACATGAGAGGTAATAAAGGACATCTATATTCTATAGCTGAGAAATATTCATGTATCGAATCATCTCTTTTTGTACATATATAGAAGTTCTAATGCAAATAAATCTACATATTATGTTTGATCATGTTTATCCAACCTTTTGTTGTTTAAGATATCAGCCTTCAAATCTGCCAAAGAGCCTTGAATTTAAATATTTGAACTGTCACAATGATTTATGTCCTTCTTGTGTGAGACTTTCTAATGTAAAATTATGTGACCAGAACAAACCTAAAACACTTTTATCTTGTTTGGATATCTACAATAAGGCATTTCATAAAACATTCTTTTCCCTTGCACAAACATACTAATTTGTTGCTAGGAGCATTAGAAAAAATCTCAAATGTCAAATCAGTTTATGTCATGTATTAATATATTGACATCATATACTAATGCATATATGTATTTATATAAGGCGCCTGAGTGGGTCATACTAACTTCTGGTGAAAATCTACTCAAGAAAAGTTAGTTTTATAATGTTACATATTCCATTATGATGAATGAACTATAAGTGCACTATATTCACTAACAGAATAACAACTGACGCAACTCTCAATTTCCCTATGTGTAATATTATTTTATCATGTACAGCATTATTATTTTTTTATTCAGGAGAGTGGACCACCCACATCTCTAAGAAACGTAAGAAGGTGCTGAAAGAAAACGATGTTGTCGTTAAAGTAGCTGAGAAGGCAGAAAGCCCCCGTGCCCAGACAAAGGAGAAATCTCTTAGTCCAGAGGAGACCCCTGAAGCCCCTGCTGCCCCTGAGCAGGCCCCCCAGGAACAGAGGGTGAAGAAGGAGAAAGGAACTCCAAAGAAACCTAAGAAGGTCAGTAGTGCATAGTTTATGGTTTACTGTTAACTGTCACAGTGTTGAGGATTCACAGAGTTTCCAGTCTGAAACGTGGATTTGATTGATTCCAAAATATGCCAAGATTAAAGTGAATACCTTTGTTGTGGACAAACATCGATTTAAAATAAATCAAAGCACTTTTTACTGATTGTCCTCAGTGTACTGATCACTAAACATTTTAAAGCATACTTATAAATGATGATTAATTGTTTTAACAGTTATGTAGGTACTTCTGCATTTTTTATGAACATTTTTTATTGATAATAAATTTCTTGAATGCTTTCATACATATATTTGCAAATGCAAGAAATATGAAAAAATAGTGGTATTAATAGTTATACAATCTCTTTGATTATCTCATACACTAATTTCCTCATTTCTGCATGGTATATACATCTTGAAATAAATGTTTTCAACAATTTCATCAGAATTCGTCTAAGCACAAACTATTCTGATTTACACCCATTTCTCTTTTTCATTGTAGGAGGCTGTCAAAGAGACCCCTGTGGTACCTGCAGCCCCAGAATTATCACAAGAGGCAACCAAGCCAAAGACTGAAGAAAAGGTAAACAATGATTTATTCATCATTCCATACAGCACATAAGACAATTATTTAGGTAAAATTAATGTTGTGCATAATGCACTGAAGGGCTTGTATCAAACAGAATAGAATTCATAATTTGCTCTTGGCATTAAAAGTGGAAAACTGCAAAAATATATGTTTCAAATTTCATTGGAAATATTTGATCAGATTGATACAAAATCACTAGAAGAAGATATTTTTAATGAAACTTTTTGCAAGGGTCAAGTATTGACAAAGCATAAATTTCAATGTCCTCACCTTGACAACCATACAAAATGATTATTGATTATTTCATGCACTGCTGTCATGTGAAATACTGTGTTCGGATTAGCTGGAATCAGACACACCTTGCCTAGCTATGTGTGAATCTCATTTAATGTTTAATTAATCAATTGTTGAGAAACATTTTCCTTGCATTCTAGGCAGCTCCAGTTGTGGATGCCAAGTCCAGTAAAAAAGCTAGTCCTAAAAAAAGTAAGAAAGGTGCTAAAGTCAGTGAGGAGGCTGTTCAGAAGGTGGATGGGGAGGTCCAAATTGCCCCTACTGAAGCCAAGGCCACTGACAAGCCAGCACAAAGCCCCAAGAAGAAGGCAAATGCTCAGAAATCACAGTCTCCTGTAAGTTTTGTGCTTTTGTTATAATTTCTTTGTTAAGATGTTGGGATATTTGGAATGGTACAGTATTTAGAGAATTTCAAAAAACTGAAATAGTTAATTCTGCATTCATATAGCTAGATTACTATGAAACTTCACTTGTGAAGCCATGCAAGACACATAAAGAGCCAACCAAAATTTTCAAAAAGGCCTTAGTTAAGCGTTAATGTCCTGTTTAAGAACCCCTATTCTTACAGGACATTTGGCTTGGTTTCAGTTGTTGGCTTGTTACAGGACCTTTTGTTTGTTTTTTGTTGGCTCTAATAATGATAAAACATTTATGGAACAGGAAAATGTTACAGTTAGGCCATTCATCCTGGTATTAGAAAAACACCGCTGTATTCACTCTCTACTGAACACAAGTATAAATGAATTCGAAATATACCATTTATAAGATAGTTAATTTTGAACAAGAGACCATCAACCAACACATGAAAGGATAACTCTTGCAATTCTGAATTTGTCATTGATTTCAATCAAATTATAGTCCAATTCATCTAGTGGAGAAATGAAAGGAAAAATTAATGTTATAGGAGAAGGAGGTCTCTAAAAGCATTGTTGAAGCAGATCTCAAGAAAGTAGAAGCACCCATTACAAAGGCTGTTGAATCTGCACCACATGAAGGTAAATCAAATAAATGTATCATTCATGTTGGATGTAAATCATTACACATAGGAGGAGTTTTAGATATAGGGAATTCTAGGAGACATATAATACATAGGGGAAGTGGTCCTAATTATCGCACGGTCCTAATTATCGCACGATTGTCCTAAATAGCTAAAATATGCACCCACCATCTTTTAAACCAGTGTTACGAAAAATAGTTCAACACCATTACTCCCAATCTTCATGATTTATTCATATATTTAGAAATATCTCTTCATTTTTTAAGAATTGTTTACTTCCGCCATTGTCATAAATGCTTTTGCGCAAGAAGTGAAATTCGTCTGACAAATTTTGACCCCCTCCAAATAAAGACAGAAAAGTAGGTATATAATGTATATTTTGTTGATATTTTACACTAAAACTGATAGAAAAATGATTACAGCATATGTATGTATCTGTTATAAACAGAGAAATGTATACAGTATCGTGAAATGACATCTGAAACATAACTGTGCGATAATTAGGACGACTGTGCAATAATTAGGACCACCGCACATGCGAGTCTAAGGGGTCTTAAAGTGTTAGCGTTCGGAGATTGAGAAATGTCAAACACTACTTAGATTTTAGAGGAAAGGTTGATCTTTCGTCTCATATTCTCAAAGTAAGTTGAAGTTATCATATTTGAAATCGTCAGTAGTTTCCCTGAGTACCCGTGCGATGATAGGACGACTTCCCCTATATACACATTATATGAATGGATGGATATAATACAAGGTTTAAATTCAAATCATATTTTGTAAACTAGAATGTAATTTTTTACTAGGATTGAGGAGTCTTAATTACTAGAATACCTAAAATGCATCAAAAGTTTTTAAAATGGATTAATCTAAGATTTTGAAATGTATTTTTTGAAAATGGTGAATTTTCAGTTTATTCATTCTGTATTATTAGGTGCTAAAACTGCCACCAGTGAAGCAGGTAAAGAGTCTTCAGAGCCTCAAGTACCCGTCACATTTGATGAGTTGGGAGGTATGTATTATATACTTGTTTTCATAGTCATCACATGTATCTTTTATTCAGGCATGGGCATTAAATCACCAGGGAATGACCAAAGTTCATTTGGGGTAATTGTTAGGAAACACACATTCCAAACAGAAGTCGATCGTAAAAATTGGAAGTCCCTGTTATGGCACTTAAAAGTCCATCTGGTGAATTATTTGATAATTTGGTCTCTCTGATTAGTGTTTTGTTTTTGGGTTGCTCTGGATGATGCATTCCAAATTCTATATTTGCTGCTTTCAGATTGGCAAGATGCAAAGCCGCAGAAAAAGAAACGAAAACCAAGGAGGGACAACTAGCTCCAAACATGTATCATTAGGAGAAATTGACTGTTATGTGGAAAGGAGCCTCAACTTTATAAACGGTGTAAGCGGTCCAATGGTAACTCAAAATGTGTGCTAGCTGCATTAATATAAGAATACTTTGGAGGAACAATACAAATAACAGTATTGTTTCAAGTCCAAGTCCAGAGCATAGAGTATCATGATTTTTTGGTTTTTCCAGAAAATATTGAAACTATTTTTTTGAAGAATTTCAGATGAATCTGGGTACATTGTTATTGTTTTATTATGTAGATTGTATTGATAACTTACACAAACTGTGTATTTTTGGGAAAACTGCAATAATCATGATTGTTGGGAGTATATGCATGTTGTAGGCATACATGGAGTTGGTATTTTGTGATGTAGCATCAAGGCTATGTTATTCGAGCCATATTTGATCATTTGATAAATTTGGCTAAAATACAACCACTTTGTGGAATATATGGCTGCTTTGAGGAAGGTATGCTCCCAGAGTTCATTTGGGATAAGAATCATGTTGTTCATCAGTGATTTACAATTTAGTGAATAATGTATGATGTACTATCATTATGGTATTTGTCAATGCTGACATGAGCCATGTTGAATTATAAAACCATATGTATAAGTATGTATGGAGTTGAGGTTATGTGATTCTACTTTAGTGTAGAGCATTCAAAAATAGGACAAGTGCAATCAATTTAAAATGTCATAGAATTTTAATAAATTTATACTACTTATACCTCCTTTCTGGATGTTATTCAGTGGAGGTTTTCACTTGTTACTAGCACATGTTAGACACATTTTCCACTACATTCTCTCAGGGGATTTTACTTATGACAAGAAAAATGCCAAGTCTAAATGAATTGAAGATTATTTTTAAAAACAAAGCAAACCATTCCGAAATTGTTCATTTTTTAAACTCCAGTAGTCATATAGGATATGTTACCATGTTCAACCTGTCTCCATTACCAGTAGTTTTTATTTTTATTTTTGAATTTGGCATGTTAAATTAGGTAGCAACGTTCAAGAACCTGTTGATCTGTTAATTAGAAGAACTTATGAGTAATATAATAGAAGTTGCATCAGGAATTGTTTCAAAGTCACTTAGAATTAATAGACAACTGTTCAATCTACACGGGCATGTTTGGTGATTGTGTACATGATAGAGTGAGAGCTAAGTCAACACTCTTAAAACTTATTTCACATATAAAGCTAATTTTACATACACATATACAGTACTTAGTTAAATTGAATTATACAAAACCCTTGCGATATTGCTTATAAATGTGATATAGAATTGTAGAATATGTAGTTAAATTACATAATGAAATTTATTGGAAATGAAGACTTCATGCCTTTCCTCTCAAAATATTAGAGGAAACTCCTGATTATTTTCTGATGGAATAAATGAAATAAAATGAAGGATACTTTTTTGGTTTCTCAGTAATTTGTGAGAAAAGGCATGGGAGCTAGTTTTACCTGTTGTGCCATGAAACTTCCATAAGTGGGGTATGATATGAAAATATGGCATCATTATCAACAATAGCTTGAACTGTTGGAAAGAATCTTAAGACTTTTTTGTGGTAAATACTTCTCAAAGTTTGATCTGTGTTGTATTTGACGAGTCTTCCCAAAAAATAGTCACCTCGGTTAATGTTGTAATCAGTTCATTTCTTTTATATTCTAAACAAGTACTTTTACATGAAAGTACTTGGTCTTGCTGACAAAAGAGTACATGTATGTACCATAATTTAAAATTAGAGATTTCTTCTTTTTTGGCTTACGTGGCTATAATGGGTGAACACGCAGATAACTGAAATATATACAGAGTAGATGATAGTATGCCTGGTGTTTTATATTTAATGAAGGTTGAATCGGGATGATCTCTGATAATTTGCGCAGTTATTTTCTAATGTGGATCAGAAGATCTGTTGCTATGTTTATATGCCTTGCCAATGTAAAACAAGACTTTCTATGTAAATAGAACTAGAGGCAGTGTACTCAATTTATAATCAAATGAAATGTGGAGTGTGTGGGGGATATTTGATGAAGTGTGCAAGTAAGAGATCACCCAAGGTATATATGGTATTTATGTTGTAAATAGGCTGATTCTGTGTAAAGAACTATATATTGTCTTGAATATGTTAATTCATTATTCTTTATATAGGCAATCATATGCTGAATTCTTAATTGTATAGAGTATACTTGTATAAATGAATTGCGATGAAGTTATATACTTTCTAGAAATAACAGAATAGAATGTTTTGATTGAATAGATTAAATCATGCAACAAGGAAATGTCCATTACACCTGATTCCATTGTTTATTCTCTAATACCCTATGACTGACATGTAAAATTAGATGTGAATCACAAGATAACATTTTTCATTTTGGCTGCTATAAAAAAAACCTTTTTAAATAATCAGAATTTTATATAGATGGGCGTCACTTTCTTTTGTTATACAGTTGCAGAATTAGTAAATAGTTCAAGAGGTTCATCGAACAGGGTTGCTTTGTAACTAATGTATTTATTTTTAAGTTCTTGCATATATATCTACATCTATATTGCCATTTGGATAGTAGCAGACAGTATATTATTCAACATATCCATATGTCCTTTATGTTCATATGCATAAAATTTGTATAGAGCAAGTTTCATTTAAAAGTCTAGATTATAAATTGAAATATTTGCTCCAAGACTTATAAGGCCTTTAGGAATTCATTGTCTGTAATGCGCTGTCTACCAGACCATCTGAAAACTTCTCCATGCTAAGCCTTTTTCTTACATTTTGAACAATTTGGGTGTTTTGAACAGTGTGTCTTTGCCAAATATATTTCTGAAAAACAGACAATTAATTATAGGGGCCTTTGACTAAATATTGATCAACTCAAAGGATACGATGGTGTATTCTGTACCTTTGCCTTGTGTTTTGTATAATAGTCTTGGTATATATGTTTCTGCAAATAATAATTCTATTCCTAATCATTCATAATCATTTTTGTTTTGTAAAAAGGCCAGTGCAACTTAGTCTTTTGTTTATTATCAATCCAGATATTGTAATTTACCAGTACATCAAACAAAACTATTGGAAACAGATTTTCTTAATATATATGTTCAGCATTACAATTTGCAGTGTGTAATAATTATAACACAAACATGTTAACATTTTGCAGTGTGTAATAATTATAACACAAACATGTTAACATTTTGCAGTGTGTAATAATTATAACACAAACATGTTAACATTTTGCAGTGTGTAATAATTATAACACAAATATGTTAACATTTTGCAGTGTGTAATAATTATAACACAAACATGTTAACATTTTATTGCAGTGTGTGATAATTATAACACAAACATGTTAACATTTTATTGCGGTGTTTTAATAACATTTATTCAGACCATATATCTTGTGTACAATGACATGAGCTACATGTACTGATGTGATGTACAATGAAATCTGCGAAGAACCATTTGTTCTTGTGCAACTAAAAAAGAATATATATTTTGTATTTCGGTCTTGAAATAACAATGAGTAAATGTACATCCTTTAATGTGCATTATAAATTACCCAATTCAGTAATTGAACTCATCTCCATATGCTAGGAGCCCTTTTATCAAAAATGTCATGCGCTAGAATCCATCACCTGTTTTTGAAAGACAATTGAATTGCAGAATTGATTCCTTGATATTTTATTAATGAAAGACTTCTAGTTTACAGATTCAAAATTCACTGTTTTTAAAAGAACACTTGGTCCACGCATGTACTTTCTTCATGTCGTTCACATGGTAGAACATGTGAAAACAACATTCTTGTTCCCTTGGCAACTGCAAAAGAATGAGATGATTCAGCCACTCCATTGGGGCTGATAAAAAATAAATAATTGATGAGATTATGTTAAACAAAAAATTCAAACAAATTATGTTAACGGTATATTTGGTTTTTTCTTTTTGTTTTGTTAATGCAATGTCTGTTTTCTTTGGAATGGTTTCATGACTTCAAAAAGTCATTTTTTATTATCTTGAAATGTTGTGTGGAAAACTTGTGGAAAGGGTCATAAGGTGATGGTATTTTTGTAAAAAAAAATTGAAAAATATAAAAACAAATGTAAAAAATTTAACTTGTTGGTTGTGTAGTTTGTTTCTTTATCCACATCAAACAGGGTATGATGTTACCATGGTAATCCATATATGGAAATTCCCTTATATTCCCCTCACCAATCCCATTTCCATCCGTTAAGTGAAAATGGAATAAGGTTAATTTTAACAATTGCCTCAGAGGTGTGGATCAATGAAAATATCCCAATGGAAACAATGCATTTGTGTTTCCTTAAATGTGTACTTGGTGTTAAAAATTCAATAGCAACGCCTGCAATTCATGGAGAATTTGGACGTTATACATTAGAAATACGTTTCTAAATCGAGCTAATCAAATATTGGCTCCGTTTACGACCTATCCTCTGAAAACATTCTTTATAAAACATACATATATGACCGTAAAATGATAATTGGTTTTTAGACACATGGTCAAGTAAAATCATTGATATTCTTTAAAAATGGGACTTATTTTCATATACGATTTTTCATTTATTTTCTCATATATGCATCATATCAAGTAATGATCAAAAGTTAACGACCATGCTTGGTGATAATGTGTTAATTCTAGTCTTCACAAAATTGTCAAGCAGTTTTATTCATAGTTTAATTTGGGTGATATTTCTATGTTTCATAAAAAAATATTAGCCCAGGAGTCTAGGAGACTGTTCTCCAAACCGTGACTTGTCCTTTAAGAATGTCTTCGAAAGTGTAATATATTTATATATTCAAAATAAAAACTATAGACACGCTATTTCCAGGCTTAGGCTCAGTTCACACAAGTCAAACATAGAACTAGGCCGTTATTTAAAGCCAATAGATGAACGTCTATGCAATACCTGTAATACTTTGGAAGATGAACAACATTTGCTCATGAGTAAAAACACACAGAAGAAAACTTTTATTCAATACCATTAGGAAATTTGATTTTATAGGCAGGCCTCAGATGTTATGTTTAAACAGCTCATGTGCCACAAAAGTTCTTATGTAATTCATTCAAAGAATTAAGATGAATATTGTTTCAATGATACATCACACTGACATTTTTATATTTTTCCATTTTCTTATGCTGTATATATTTTAAACTGACCTTTATTTTTGCATTTGTCATTCTCGAATATATTTTTTGCAGCTAGTTTAGTTTAAGTTATATTTGAATATTGCAAGAATTAGTAATCTTCAGACTTTCCTCCTTGACCGGTTAGAGTTATTATCCCATCGAACGAAGTTCGGAGGGATATAGGGAACGCCTCCGTCCGTCCGTACGTACGTCCGTCCGTACGTACGTCTGTCCGTACGTACGTCCGTCCGTACGTACGTCCGTCCGTCCGTCCGGGCAATAACTCAAATACCGTTGGACCGATTTTGTTCATATTTTGTACACATATACCCTATGGGGGTAGAAGTTCTGCTCGAAAGCCGATTTTCAAAATGGCCGCTCATTTCAAAATGGCGGCCACTTTAGTGACGATTTTACAGTAATTTAGGTGCAATATGTAAAACTGTAATAGCAATATGTTTTAAATGTAAAAAAATTATAAAGGACATTAATAATGCTACAAATGTAGATATTAAAGAAGCACATGGCAGCCATCTTGAAAAATGGCGGCCTTTACTCGTCATTTTACGATTTTGGCTATAACTCAAAAATAGTGGAGCGATTTTGTTCATATTTGGTATGTGAATACTATAAGCATTGCACACTGTCTAAAGACACTTTTGGTAGAAGGCGCCCATTTTGAAAAATGGCCGCCATTTAAAAAAATGGCCGCCATTTTAACGCATTTTACTATAACTATAAAAGTAGTGGAGCAATTTTGTTCATATTTGGTATGTGAATACTATAAGCATGGCACACTGTCCTATGACACTTTTGGTAGAAGACGGCCATTTTTCAAAATGGCCACCATTTTAACGCATTTTACTATAACTCGAAAAATAGTGGAGCGATTTTGTTCATATTTGGTATGTGAATACTATAAGCATGGCACACTGTCCTATGACACTTTTGGTAGAAGGCGGCCATTTTGAAAAGAATTTTGAAAAATGGCCGCCATTTTAAAATATTTTACTATAACTCGAAAAGTAGTGGAGCGATTTTGTTCATATTTGGTATGTGAATACTATAAGCATGGCACACTGTCTATTTCTAATGACGCTTTTGGTAGAAGGTGGCCATTTTGAAAAATGGCCACCATTTTAACGTATTTTACTATAACTCAAAAAGTAGTGTAGCGATTTTGTTCATATTTGACATGTGAATACTTTAAGCCTGGCACATTGTCTAATAAAACTTTGGGGAGTAGTCCGCCATTTTGAAAAATGGCCACCATTTTTATGTGTGTTATTTTACAAGTACGTGTGCGATTTTTCAAAAATTTTAGAGGTGGCTAATTAAAAGCATATTATTTCTTCTGATGACAACTTGGCTGGTGAGCAACCATTTTGAAAAATGGTGGCCTTTCTGGTGTGTTGTTTTATGATATTTGCGCTTCGTTTGTAAAAATGCCAGCTATTTCTGTTCGATGGGATTCGCTACGCTTTGGCGTTGCCGTTGTTCTGGTTTGGCAGTATCACTTATTCAAATCAAATACTAGTATCTCTAAAACTCGGTCAGATATTTAGCACCGGTGTCTGGAAGACCTCAAATGTCCCACCTTGGAATTGTTATCCGTTAGCTATCCGTACACTACTGGGACCGGCCAAGTGTTCAGATTAGCAGGTGTTCACATTTAAAGATTTGTGGTCTTGACTCTCGAACCACCTTTCTATGTTCTTCTGTTTGCAGGGGGCCTCGCGCTCTTACTACCAAGGGGGCACCTGTGCATTCCATGTAGCACCAAAGGGTACGATAAAATCTATGAATTATAATAAAACAAGTTAGGTACTGTTCTCTGGTTAAAGTTCTGGCTGATATCGTAATTTCTTTTAAATTTTTTAATTCAAGTTTTAGATTTACATTACAGTTAATACAAATATAATTAGGGTCGCTCATTTTTTTATAAGAATTTATATAAGGGGGTTACAGGGGAGGGGAGAGGCTATAATACTAGATCTAAGTATAGTGGGTCAAAAACATCAAAATGTGAGAGTTTGATTTTTCTATTTAGGTCTTCTTTTTACCCCCTTAAAGGGGGGTTATGCATAATTTTCTATCATTGAATTTATTACATTTCATTTTCTGTCATGCAATTCTTCTTGTCCATGTGTTTTTGCAATATCTTTGTCAGTCCTTTTTTCTCTTATTAAGTATCTTTGAAAAGCATTTATGGTAGGTGCTTTTTCTTCCAATTTATTAATGTACATGAATCTTGTTATTAGTAATGTAGCTAGGTTTTGGCTGATAGACAATTTTGGAGATCCTAACATAAAACCTTGGTCATAAGGTATCTCTTTCTTCAGGAGTCTGTAACATTGTTGTTTGAAATCTTCCATCACTTGGCATTTCAGGAAGCCATGTTCTATATCGTCTATTTGGTTGCTATTGCACAGTACGCATGTTTGGGTTTTTACTTTTTTCATTTTGAAAAGTATTTTCCTGAAGTATATTGCCCTATTTAGTATCCTATACTGAAAATATTTCATTCTCGTATCTTTTGTCAGTATGTTTATTAGATCATATATTTTCTTCCATTCTATGTCTTTTTGGAAGTAGTCTCTCCATTTGGTTTGACACGTAGGGGTCTTTTGTTTGTATTTTTTGCTGAGCTTTTGGTAAGTTTTTTATTGTCCCATGTTTTTAACCTCTCAATATTATCTTGGTCATCTTATAAGTTGATGTTTGTCATTAAGGTTTTCCACCTTGGTGGTTTGCATCTTATAACAGTGTGGTAGTTGAGAAAGGTCTGGTTTTGTAAATTATATTTATTTCTTAGTTGATCATAACTTTTCAAGTGACCATTTAGGTATAAGTGCTTAATTCTTGTTATACAGTACCTTTCCTTTCCCATTCTTTATTTTGAAGCGGGTTTTTGTTTTGCTTTATACAGTCATTGTTCCTTATGATTTCATTGGAGGGGTTGTCAATATCCTGTTCTTTTATGTATTTTACCTCGTGCCGTATTTTAAGAACTTCATCCAAGCTTTTCAAATTAGTTGTAATTACTTCAGACTTGTAAGGGTTTTCAATGTTATACTCTAAAATGTTATTGTCTCTGTTTTTATCTAGTTTGCTCATCCAGATTCTTTTCCACTTACTGTTACAATCTTCATCTTTTAGTTTACGCAACCATTTTAGCTTTAGGTTTTTTGCATACGATTCAAGGTGTGTCATATCTAGTCCTCCTTCTTCTGTTGTTCTCCTGAGCGTTGCTCGTAATTTGTGTTTTAACTAAGGATTACAGTTTTGACCATGAATTGCATTGACATTTCAAGCAACCATGGTTATATTGAAGTTTTACATTTTAGTTGACATGAAAACCACAACATTCCAACAAAGGTTAACATAGTACTATCATTTTTATTGAAAAATATTTATTTGCATTAAAACAGTTTCGTGTATTTAAATGAAAATGATTTTAACATTTAAATCTTGTAATACTTAAAGGGGCAATAAGGACTGTAGAGAAATTAGGAAAGTTTTTTCATTTTTTCTGAGCTATCAAGGCATCATTTGGTTTAACATCTTCTTTGACATACCTATTTTCTTAAAATGTATGGATAAATTATCAATTTCAGCATTAAGAAGTGTAAATTCAGTTCAAAGCTTCAAAAAGGGGACTTCCACTTTTATATTTGTAAGATCCACCATGTTTCAAGAGGAATATCAGCTAAAGTAATGTTTATCTAGGGGGTCTCTTTGTAGATAATAAAAATAGATGTTAGTCTTGATGAAATATCCAAACTTAGATATATTTTGACACTGGTCCATGATCGTTGAATGACCCCTCTGCACTAATTATTGCACCTTTAAGCCCTTGCATCAAGTTTTTTGTACTGTCCATCAGAGGCTTGATGCAAGACTCCATCGATACATTGTGAAGCGTCTTTAAAAGATTCTGTCTATGCAGTTGTTACGAGAATCGGCAGGCTAATTGCCTTTAGGATAGCTGTAACCCAATCATGTTACCCTCAGTGTGCAAGTAAATTGGCTAGAGACTCGAGTAACAATCATCACCGAGGGAGCGCAGCGACCGAGTGTCAATATCATATTGCTCAAGGTCAATATCATATTTTCCGAGGAATAAAACCCATATTCAATCCCGACCAGAAATAACCTATTTATTCCATAATACATTCCTCTAAAATGTTACATCTGGATAATGCTTTTATCAATTAGCCAAGGTTAAAAAATAACCGGGAAACCAAAAATAGGTTAATACATTCCAATACGATTTTTTCATGTAATACGATTCAATACGATTTTTATTCCTTCATATTTCCCTGGGAAACCAGTAGTATTATGGTATAATTTACCTTAATTAATGTCAATACATTACATATTAGGCATTGTATTTACAGCAGATATTAGCACAGGGACAGCTACACACGTTTTATGATCCCAATTAGATCAAATATGAGCTGGGACGAAAGATGTAAAAATCCTCAATTTTGGGCTCTCCTGGATCACCAAATCTAGCTCATTATATCATGGCATCTCAGGGCTGAGAAGATATGAGATGTCATGGTTTATCATGACGAGCACTGGCAGAAATATTCTTGTCAATCTCACTCGATATCCATATAATCTATTTTTAAGTTTTGGCACTTTGGAAATGCTTTTGGGTCATAAGCACGATTTGCACGTCATTCATCGTTTGGCTGATGTAACTACAGCTCCTGGCAACTCAATCGGGTGATCTCCACCATCTCGTTTAGATGATTTGGTTGCAATTCGAATTTCTACGGCTCTTACAAAAGCTGGTATAAATTATTTACATGCACATGCATAAAAGTGCAATGAATTGTCCCAATAATGCTACTATAGTTGCCTCCCCTTGTACTCGGTCTACTCCTGAAAGTAAATATAGAATATTATCGTATGATCTGTAAAATGAAGCCCTCTAATTGGTCAGTTCTTGGTCACTCTTGATATTCTGTAATGGCACTCGACTTCGTCTCGTTTCAATACGGAATTTCTCGAGTAGAATATATCCTGTATTGCACTTCAAATCATTCAATAACTTATAGGATTGTCTGAATTGACTAATAGTTATGTGAATTAGCGAGTATGTGCATTCAATTCACATAATTGGTACCTGAGCAGAATTTGGCAATCATTTTTAAAAATCTTGAATGGGGGGATGGAAATTAATTGTGACCTTAACAAAATATTTTGAATGTTAGAAATACTTAAAACTTTATCCTATGCAAATTTTATTGAGAATATCAGGAAAAAGAAGCATGTCTTACTGGTTTAAATAGTAACTACACAATTTTTTATTCGTCGGTACATAGCATGGACAGACTCGTTAGTTCAATATAAGCAATTTTACGTGTCAGTAACAAAGTTTTCTATTCTTTCACAAATGGCGCACGGAGTCGGTTTCAATGTTGTTAGTTTTCAACGAATGAAACTATTTTTTCCATATCTAACTCTAATAGGATAATCAGTCCCCATATCATGAGTGAACGCCAAGATTCAACAATTTATCCTACTATTAATGGTACAGCAACGTGAATTGAACACTACTAATTTCCATAAAGTTACCGTATCACTAAAAATTAGTTTCCATGTCTTCCCGACGAATGCATTATTCACGTTACCACGCCCCAAGCGGAAGAAGATGGATCATGGCGTCAACACGCAATATTGGAACAATGTATCACTTTGCGGAGATTTAATATAAAGCAAGCTTAGGTGAACAAACTATCAGAGCCGAATTTCAACGACTAAGTGGTTTGGTGAGATGAAAATAAAAGCTAATGAAATCAACACTAATCTTTCGTCATCTAAATACTCCCAACCCAGATTTTGGAGCAACACACTTCTTATGAAGCTCATTACGTGCAAACCTGAAGAACGGGACCACAAACCTGAGTTCAAAAATATAGTAGTGGGATTATCTTGTCTCAATATATCTGCAAAAGCATCTCGTGCAACATTGTATTCTGTTTCTGTACATCCCGTCTCGTCAGAACCGTCCGTACAATCTTCAACATTATCACAACGCAGTCCCTCCATGCACGCCCCATTGGAACATTTGATTTGCCCCGTACTACATTCTACAATATTTCATAGTCTAATGTATTTAAAGTTCGTTGTTATCTTTTTAACATATATGTACTTATTCCAGTTAAAATAATATACAAATGTAGTATATCTTTATCTATATAACGACATTGTATTTGGAAAACAAGCTTTTCTTCGAAGATTGCAAACTCAGTCCAACCCAATTTGTCACTGCAGCAGCGTATTCAATTCATGCAGCTTCGGATCTAGTTACCTTGCACCAATGTATACCTCATTAACCACCAAATTATATTCATTATTATATTATATGATGTACTACGACTACAATATATCACAATACAATATTTCCACATTACTCGTTGATGCACTGGTGATAATACCTGTTATGCCACTACATGTGCTAGAGCATTCTTGAGTGCTATACGGATCTGCTGCACAATACACCCCACCACCAAGTGGAATTGGATTATCACAAGTTCTAAATCTGACTTGAACTCCATCTCCACATTGGACCGAGCAGTTTGACCATTCTTGCCAGCCACTCCATCCACCATTAACTAATAAGAGAAATATGTGTACATGTGTTAAAGCAAAGCGAGAAGCAAAGTTATGGACACTGTATGTTACTTCCGTTGTGTAATGTTTATGTGCTTTTTGCCAATCTATGCATGTCCGAAGAAAAACAGATTCAGCTGACATACCAAATGGACATTGATCCTCGTTGCAAGTTGTTATATCATATTTTTCTCCGGAACAATCTTCACCACCATTTGCAGGAGCTGGGGAGTCACAATCTCTAACTCTGTACTGCTTTCCCCCGCCACATTGCCGGTTACACTCAGTCATAGACGACCACGCGCCCCATTTCCCATTCACTACAAGGATACATCATTTTGTTTGACTAGTTTATTGAACTAAGGGCAATTTTTAGGTCTTCGTGAAATCATCGAATCAATCAGATCCATCAAAATTGCTGAATTAATAAGAATAATAATATCCATGATTAATATAAACATAATAACACCATCACTAGAAATTCTCAAAGCACATCAACATTAAACCACCCAGTGCACTTACCCACGCCCTCGGGGTTACCAGAAAATGCCTCCTTCCCATAAACCTTGATATCAGAAAGAGTAATGGTTTCATTCACTACTAGGGTTACTTTCACAAACACATATCTTCCTTCAATTTTTGGTGAGCAAACAATGTCTATGCTGCTTGTAATTATCCCAGAATATTCCCCACAAAGGGTCTCCGCAAAGGATGGTTCGACAGATTCCTCTATGTACACTTCAATATCTACATCTGTATCTGCAACAGAATTCATGGTTTAATAATCGAGGTTCGACGAAATTGATACTTGTTTCAGGGGCAGGGGATTTTCGCATTTTTGAGTCTTATATTTCTCTAAAACAAATCGGACATAGTTTTCAAGTTTGAGCGTCTTGAATTTGATTGCTAGTACTAAGTATATTAACTATTCCACTGACCAATAATAACTTATTATACAAATAATGATTGCCATTGAGGGAAATAGTAAAAAATATTTTTCATTAGAGAACACCTTGTCCACTGACTGTGGCATGTTCTCAAAGATGTATGCCGAGGGAACATGTCAGCTGATAGGATGTTCCTATTTGGAAATTTTTGCACTATTTCCCGAGAAAGTGGCAATCACTATTTGTTTTATTATATACCCTATAAGTACTCTGTAAACGAAAACAAAATAAGAAGTCTTAAATTCCAGCATTTAATGTTTACATGTTGACAACTATTCAATGTAATTTGAAAAATGTGATGTGAAATTAAGACAATAAACTGAAAGTCGGCTCCTCCAATTGCTTCAAAAATAATGATTTAAAATAAATCTGCAATGTTTCTAATTACATTCTTATCTTCTATATTCATCATACAGTCATGCACTATACCTGGATGAGGTGAACAGATCTCAACGTGGTCTACAATGATCACTCCACCCAGATCAATCATAACCCACGTGTCATTGGAATATGTCAATGTGAATGTCGTTGAGTTATCTCCATCTACAAGATTAGATGGAGGATCACCATCTCCTCCGGGGTTACTACTTGTTGCAGTGGATCCATCAGCTCTGTTCACTCCTATATTTGAACAAGTTATTGCAATGGTTATAAAACATTTATTTAGTTGGAAATGAATGTTTTTACATTACAAATGGAAAGATAAAATGAGAATTGGTGAATTGGTAAGTTTTGTAATTTATAGAGGTTCATACTTGTATCACATTGTGTCCCTGTATAACCACTTTCACAAGTGCACGTATAACCATCACCAGTGTTAGAACAGATCCCATATACACAGTTAGCAGACACTGTACATTCATCAACATCTAAATTAAATGAAGTTTAATATGTAGTATCATAAATCAAGTACTTAGGTCAGTCAAAAAGTTGTGTTTATTTATATCTAACTTTGTCATTTTTAGGAATTATTTCTTGATATTTGGTACATCTATAGAACATACATCTGTGCAAATATTGGCTATTTATCGATTGGTTACTGAATAATGATTGTTATAGCAAAAAACGTGGGATATTCGGTTCAACCCATTTTTTGATTTTCATACAATCTTCTATTACAGGAAACAGACTTTTTAAACTGTCTCAATCTTTAAAAACTCCTTTCTAGCTAAGTCGCTGATGCCATATCTGAATAATTTAGTTATTTAGCTTGTTTTCCTGCATCAATGACTTTTCGGTGCCTATATACCCAGTTTCTAAAGACCCCTTTGAATCCTCCAGTCAACAACCAATAAATGAACAGCTGAACAGGTAAAAGATGTGTCTGGGGAGTATGGTGTTCATTTGAATGTCATCTAAGGCAGTCATAGCATTTATTGTATGGGGATGAGCTTGTCCATATGAAAGTGAGCTAAGTATTATGTGACTTACCTTCTGGTGGAGTTGGTTCTTCGCCATATACAGACACCAGTGACAGTGTAATGGATTCGTTTACAGCGAGGATTACTTTTATAAACACATATCTGCCTTCAATGGGGGCATCACACTCTATGTCTTCACTCGTGTCGAGTGTCCCACTGAACTCGGCACAAAGTGTCTCTTCATATGTGGGAGTGTCAGAATCTTCGATATAAATTTGAACGTCAATGTCTGTCCCTATAAACCATAAGAATAATGAAATAAATACCACATCCTCATTATTCAGTTGATAACAGTGTATAATAATTATAATTTGTACTAACCATTAAAGTTCTAGGGTAACATGAGGTTATATTTTATATATGTATATCTACGGAGCAGACTGTGTATTTTCTGTTTGCCCACTCGCTCTGGGACCCAAAAAAACACACCCGTCATGTTCCCACTCCGAAATTAAGCCCATTTTCACTTATGAAAGATCTACATGTATGCTAGAAGTTGTGAATGTGATTTATAGACATAAAGGAAAGATATTATTGTTAAAATTTGTCATATTTAGGTATTCAATAGAAAGCTTTTCACGTATTCGAGCTATTACCTGGAGGATGTGAACTGATCTCAAGGTGGTCTACAATGATCACTTCACCCAAATCAATCATAACCCATGTGTCATTGGAATATGTCAATGTGAATGTTGTTGAGTTATCTCCATCTACAAGGTTAGATGGAGGATCACCATCTCCTCCGGGGTTACTACTTGTTGCAGTGGATCCATCAGCTCTGTTCACATCTAGATGAATTACAAATAGATTTATAGAATCATTTTCCCGCAATATGCTGTATACACTTTTAGATTTAATATCACATTATCTGAATGGCTGATGTCAATTCATTAAAACTCGATAATATTGTTACCTGTATCACATTGTGTCCCTGTATAACCATTTTCACAAGTGCACGTATATCCATCATCAGTGTTAGCGCAGGTCCCATGAACACAGTTAGCAGACACGTTGCATTCATCTACATCTTGAACTGTATAATTTTCGAATTATAAAAAATACAATTTAATTCCCGACAAAAGTACAAAAGCACTGTAAGTGAATTCCGGTTATGAACCAAAATATAAACATGTTTGTTGTAAAGTATTTTAATATTCCTATCGAGCTGGTGTCTTTCTCTTACCTTTATCACAATTAGTTCCAGAATATCCACTGTCGCCACAATCACACGAGAATCCCCCGCCAGTGTTAGTGCAAGTCCCATTTACACAATTAGCTGATACCGTGCATTCGTCGATATCTGTGGAAAAGCATGGATATTTCAAACATTATGAATATAGATTGTTCAACTCTCATAAAAAGATTAATACTATATACAGAATTGGTGATGGGCTAAGAAGGGGTGTTAGACATTATTTTTTCCCCTTAGATCATTGCTTTTGGTTATATAAGGTCTACAGTATAATCTATAATATTCTTACCTGTATCACATTGTGTCCCTGTATAACCATTTTCACAAGTGCACGTATATCCATCATCAGTGTTAGAGCAAGTCCCATGTACACAGTTAGTAGACACGGTGCATTCATCTACATCTTGAACTGTATAATTTTCGAATTATAAACAATGAATATATAAAAATACAATTTAATTCCCGACAAAAGTACAAGAGCACTGCAAGTGAATTTCGGTTATGAACCAAAATATAAACATTGTTGTTGTAAAATAAACTTATATTTCTATCGAGCTGGTATCTTTCTCTTACCTTTATCACAATTAGTTCCAGAATATCCACTGTCGCCACAATCACACGAGAATCCCCCACCAGTGTTAGTGCAAGTCCCATATGCACAATTAGCTGATACCGTGCATTCGTCGATATCTGTGGAAAAGCATGGATATTTCAAACATTATGAATATTGATTGTTCAACTCTCATAAAAAAGATTAATACTCTATATAGAATTGGTGATGGATTGAGAAGGGGTTGTTAGACATTATTTTTTCACCTTAGATCATTGCTTTTGATATATAAGGTCTATATCTATAATGTTCTTACCTGTATCACATTGTGTCCCTGTATAACCATTTTCACAAGTGCACGTATATCCATCATAAGTGTTAGAGCAGGTCCCATGTACACAGTTAGTAGATACTGTGCATTCATCTACTTCTTCCACTGTATAATTAAAACATTATAAAACAATGATAAAAATACAAATCAATTCAAATAAAAACAGTCCAAATGATAACAGTCCTTGTTTTCCAGTCATTTGCTTCTATAAGATGTGGTATAGCACCAATCAGAATAGAAACTGGTCGTTATGAAAGGCTGCCAGTTGATGAAAGGGTGTGTCCTTTTTGTTATAATGTAATTGAAAATGAAAGACATGTAATTTTGAACTGTTCTCGTTATGAAGACATCCGTTTAGACTCGTATGCAAACGTTTCTACTATTGTAACTGGTTTCATGAATTTAGATGAAGAGAGTAAATTTCAGTGTTTAATGTCTAATGACAGAATTTGTCTCTTCACTGCAAAAGCCTGTGACCGGATGCTTAAACGACGGGAACATTTTATTTACAAAACATGATTTATATGTTTTTACAAAAGTGTCTTATAGGCCCATAGGGGGCCTGGGGTGATTTTAACAGTGTACTATTGTTTTATATATGTAATTGTATTTTAACTCATGACGCTATAATAAAATTAAAATAAATAAATAAATAAAAAATATGAAGCAAGCTATAAACAGAGTTGTTCTAAAATATAGTAATATTTCGCTTTAGTTCCCGACTTCCTCTTACCGTCATCACAATTACTTCCAGAATATCCACTGTCGCCACAATCACACGAGAATCCCCCATCAGTGTTAGTACAAGTCCCATGTACACATTTAGCCGATACTGCACATTCGTCGATATCTGTTAAAAATATACAGCATGGATAATTCCAACATTCAAAATATTGATTGTTTAATTCTTATGTCTCTCAAGCTCGTGTCTTTCTTTTACCTTCATCACAATTCGTTCCAGAATATCCACTATCCCCACAATCACACGAGAATCCCCCATCAGTGTTAGAACAAGTTCCATGTACACAATTAGCTGATACAACACATTCGTCGATATCTGTTAAAAATATACTGCATGAATATTTCCAACATTCAAAATATTGATTGTCCAATTCTTATGTATATCAAGCGCATGTTTTTCTCTTATCTTTTTTTAAAAATATATTTTCAGTTTATTTATATTTCCTTGATATTGAAATAGTACAAAAGAATGCCTTTGTTAACTTAATAACATTGGCGGCATAGTAAAATCATCATCATTCTCTTACCTTCATCACAATTAGTTTCAGTATATCCACTGTCCCCACAATCACACGAGAATCCCCCATCAGTGTTAGAACAAGTTCCATGTACACAATTAGCTGATACGGTGCATTCGTCTATATCTTTTAAAAACATAAACAGTACGTAATCGGTTATTTTATATACAATTACGCAAGCTCTTTAACGATAGATACCCCTCTTCCCATGCCAAAAAAGTTTTTGTAAAATACTTTATATTTATATAATAAATTTTATAAAAGCGTATACGTGTTCTTTGGATATAAATCAAGCATCATGAATATTGACTGCTTAAATCTCATAAAATGAATTAATAGACAATTGAAGATGGTCTTGATACACCAATTAAACAATATGTTGACATTTTACTAATGTATAAAAGTAGATCTTTTTCTAATAGAGGGTGACTGAATTTCAATGCAATCCATTAAAGTAAATATGGCCGTAACTTCATTTCACATCGTGAAAACTCGATGAAATATGGCCAAAGAGAACTTAAGTTTGACTTGTAAATATAAACTGTAGAGTATTAAACATTAACGTTTAAACTCAATTTATAAATAAATACCAGATCGCAAGGATCAAATGTAAAGAATGTTGTTTTTAAATATAGTAATAGCCATAGTTTTATGCCACGCTCGTGTCTTCCTTTTACCTTCATCACAATTAGTTCCAGAATATCCGCTGTCGCCACAATCACACAAGAATTCCCCATCAGTGTTAAGTACAAGTATGTATGTATGTATGTATATATGTATGTATTACCTTTATTTTCTCCATAAATGAAGGATTATGTACACAATTAGCTGATACAGCACATTCGTCTATCTTTTAAAAGCATACAATAAGTTGTAATGGGGCATTTTTTATTCGTATTATCTAATTAAGTCGTAGGTGCATGGTTTTATTTGTAATTATATATGTCAGATTCTTATTGACTAGGACCACAACAATCAAAGTCACTAATATATTCATTATTTTTATTTGGCAATGTCTCTGGATATGAGTTTTTTAAATTTAAATGGATTTGGTTCTTCCTGCAAATTTCGTGATGCATTACCTTTTCATTCAGATTGATTTGTGAAAATGTTGAAAAATAGGTATCTGCTCATCCACCTGATTATGTAGTGTACATACTGCAATATTATGTGTATATTTTATCGTTTTTTTAAAAACTTGTTATATAATTTGATATCTCAAATTCTTTTCAGATACTAGCTTTTTTATCTTTAACATTCCTTACTTCTATATAGGTTTTCTTCTCGCTATTGCAAATATGATGTGTAGTGTCGTTTAGAGTCGAAATGCAAACTAAAATAGTACAATTACCTTGATCGCAATGGCTACCATCCCATCCTGCATCACATATGCAAGTATATCCTGCGTCACTGTTGTCATTTTCACACAACCCATTGTTGCAGTTTGTTTCAGCACACAAGTCAATATCTGGAAATATACGGGTTCAATACCATTTTTAAATACTCGCAATATTTGTTCTATAACTTTTCTCTTTTGTATTGTTTGAGGTATAATTAGAATTGACAAATCAGAATAAATATCGCCTATATAAAAGAGCCTCGTTGAGGTAAATAATCTATTTTAAGCTTCACTTCTCACTCAACTAATGAAAATTTGCTATGGCGCAATATTTCCTCGATCAGCATATTTGGTTTGGTAGTCACGTTGCGATGCACTTTTTTACCTGTGTCACAGTTGGGGCCAAACCAGCCAGCATTGCAGGTACATTTGTAATCACCAACTTCATTTGCACATGTTCCATGATCTCCACAAGGTGTTCCCGTAGAGCATTCGTCAACGTCTATAGAGAGATGAAAGTATAGCAATAAGTTACAATCCTACCTTAGAACATTTCAAAAATGAAAGTGAAGGTTTAGAACAAAGTTCTCAAAGTTCATGTCTTCCCAAATGAATATTTTACGAAGGAAATCCTCCAGGAACGTAAATAATCATTAAATAATGGGATATTTCTATCGAATCGTCTGCAAATGCGAATGCCGAAGAATTCCCAACTTGCATCCAGCAGATTTAAATTCAGGGCATTTATACCGAAAATATAAAGAACACTACACAGACATACTTTTCAAGAATTTCTTCATTTTCAGATTGTAAAATTGATTTTTTGTAAATTGTGACATCACAATCAAAACCGTTCACAAGTCTCATAATATTATATCTTATTAAAGCTAAATGAATTACCCATATTTTGGTATATAACTCATGGTTCATCTGTGTGATCCTAAATACGAAAATGATATACTGTGCCATTTTTATTGCCCACCTTGTTGTTACACATTTCAACACAAATAGTAGGAGGTGTCAGTGACATAACCCAGAAAAGTGACACTCACATTATTATATTTACAAAAGGTATGGGTGTCACTTATTAACAGAAAACAAGATGTGTGAAACATTTTATGATTCAATTGAGGTTAGAATTCACCTCGAGCCTACCTTCATCACAGTTGGTCCCAGACCAGGCTGTGGGGCAATTGCAAGTGTATTGATTTACGCCGTCAATGCAGTCTCCAGTACCACAAGGGTTTGGGGCGCAATCATCTATGTCTGCAAACGTAAGATGCATAGTCACACCATAAGCAAAGCATCTATCATGTTAAATTATTTCAATTGACCAACCTTACAGTAGTTTAATATTTTTATGGAATGCGATTTGAGTACTTAGTTTTCAGCTAAAATGATTGGTATCGATATGGCGAACTGAATTCAATATTGTTTTTCTATTGTTTTTAATTATTGAAAACATTCTGGAAAAAGACACGGTTCTTTATATAATGGTCACTGACTGACAACAATTTAATGCAAAATTTATTTATATATATTTTTCATAACTGTTTTTCATAACATTTTTTGTTTTTAGTGCAATTGTTTTTTGTTCCTTTCTACCGATTCTAGAGAATGAAATAAGATATCTTTCCGAACCTTTTTGGAACAAAATAGCATATACAATATCTTCATGGACCTTTCTTTATTATTCTTATACGAAGGAAAATTTGGTTCATTTAACAAAAAGTATTCAAAAAATTAAAACAAAAACCCCCAAAATAGATAAAAATTAAAGCAAACCTTTTATTTCAGTGATATGTTTTCTAAAACAATATAATAAAGAAAGGTCTAAGAAAACTATATTTTTTTCAAATCAAATTGTTACCATTCAAAAGATCATCTTTACAATGTGTTTTTTGATGACTGATTTAAGAGAAACATGTGTTCAATTCAGTTCGTTCATTTCAAACAAATAAAGGCCTCAGGTCCATAGTTTTACAGAAAAAGTACAATACATGTTTAGACATTTAGGAGCTCCTTTCTTAGCAGAAAGTTGCTAAGTTACACAATTCGTATTATACTGTGTAATGTATATAAGAAAAAGACAAGCGTTGCTCAATCATTCGATATTTAAGATTACATTTAAGCTATCATCTCTCAAATAAATTAAAGTTGAGTCAATTCTCTTACTTATTTGGCAATTGTCTCCATTGAATCCTGTGGCACAGGTACACGTATACTCGTCAAGTCCATCGACGCAATTTCCACCGTTAAGGCAAGGCTGAATCGCACAGTCATTCAGATCTAAAAAACGAAAATGCATCACTGAAAAAATATATAATGAATGTGTTTATATTTGAATGTAAAGTATACCAGATTAATCTTCCAACTCAAAGCAATGTTCTGTTCGATCTTGCTTCATTTAAGTAATGATCCAATTGTTGCATATTCACAATTAACTCGTATTCAAACGAGTTTGAAGCTGACTTAGTCGGCTCATGGTTAGCAAAAATCAATTCACACATGTAACACAATTCACAAAATGTAATCTAAGGTTTAGTGTAACACCTATTTGAACTTTTACCCATGCCAACGTGGTTTTTAGCACATTGTTATTATGAGCATATATAAGGGTTATGTACTGGGAGGTTTTGGATATGGGGTTTATCCAGAGGGAGGTATGCATATCTACCTGAGGGACCGTAGGGACCGAAGGTAGATGTGCATATCTCACGAGGGATGAACCCAATATCCAAACCGACCGTACATAACTGCTTTATCCTATACCAGGTAGAGTTTTCTAATTTTCTTTCGATTTTTTTTCACATTTTTCTATTTTTTTTCAATTTTTTCAATTTTTTCAAATTTTAATTTTTTAAATTTTTTTTCACATTTTTTCTTTTTTTCAATTTTTAAAAAAAAACTTTAAATTTTTTTTCGAAGCGGGAAGATATGCGCTGGAGCGGGAGATATGGCGGGAGATATGGAGGTTCAGGATATGGAAACCTCAATACGGGATATATCTTACCAACTTATCTCCCTAAAACTCTACTTGGCATAGGATAAATCAATATATCGACGTATATCAAAACACCATTGCGGTGAAAAGTACATACCTACCTACCTGGTTGACAGATACACTGGAATGCGTCCACAAGATCAACACATGTTCCATCATTCTGACATGGGTCACTTAGACACTCGTCGATTTCTTGAATGGAATTGTGAATATATTAAGAGTATGCAGCATTATACGTATAATGCACGTGTTGAACAACCAGAAATAAAAACAATGTATACTTCAGACTTTGAATATCCAGACAAAGGTATAAATATATGCTTCGCCTAATGATTCGATCCCTGTCGATAATTCGAGTTCTTACCACAAATTGACAAAATGGCGTTTGTCGTATATTTTCTTTTTGAATAAACAAATATGAACGTGTAACCCCCCCCCCCCCTATCATACCAAACTAGTTCTCAATCGTTTTTTCCAGTCATACAAAAAGTCGTAAAACGGGCTAAATCTGGCTGTTGTCGGGAAAGTTTAAAATTATTAGTTACTTCGTTCATTTCCTATAAACATTGTTTTAGTATGTTAACATTTTAAAGATTGTCCCTTGATGAGTTCAACTTGTTTTAGTACTGACCCTTTCTATACAGCCATTGGAAATATTCGCAATACATTGTCTAAATTATGAAGATTTTAACTTACTCTTCCTGCAATAAGCATAGGTAACACCAAAATTATCGGACGAAGACCATATGAACTTTGTGTCTGATTTAATCCCAGAGCCTTGTAAGGGCGCCCAGTATTCGTCCCTACTGCTGATCTCAACCGCATTCGACCCACCACTGAATAAATAACACGATATTGATGACTAGACAGTACGTTTAGCAGAAGTTTAGTACAGACCTACTGTATAGTACAGACCTATTAGTCCATGGTATGACTTCAGAATATGAAGAATCCGAAGCACACTATAGCGCAGCAACATTTGAAGTAATATATATGGAGGTGCATGTACCCAAAGAACACTACAGCCTCATAAATTCATTTTAATAGACAATTAAAAGTTTTGTGAAGTGAGTGTGGAGGGGCCACGTGTTGATGTTGTCTGGGACAGACACATTGTTTATATAATTCAGCCAATCATATGGCTCCTCAATTACACATCATTTGGTACCACCAGGTATCCTATCTCACCATTCTATTCTTTTCTTTGAGAATACACATACATATATATATATATATACTTCTTGTTGCAAGACATTAGACTTTCAATCATGATTATTTTGTATTATTTTCTGTTGCATTGTGTACTCCAAATTGTGAAAAATTGGGATTTTATTTTTTGGCAATTTTCTGACCTCTGTTAATGGCAGGCATAATTCAGCCTTAAAGCCGGGAGTATATTAAACGGTTATAATAAAAATTATTAAGGAACATATATCGGTATGTTAATGTTAGGCCAAATATCGCTGCACTATAGTGTGTTACCAGTTCCTTTATTAGACGTCCTAGAGATTTCATACCATGGACTACTGTATATAGACTGATATATCAAGTAGTGTCATTTATGCAAAGTCATAGCATGTGTAAGAGAAAAGTATCGTAATCAGTATGACCCTACAAAAAGTTCAATCAATGTTCATGTGTTAAGGAGGGGCATTATTCTGTATATATATTAATTGCAAGGTCAATACATTTCACCCTAATGGCAATACAATAACGCAAGGTAGATTTACCTGTCATCAAAATCAGTAAGGTGCCAATTACACGGGTAGTATCTAAAGCCCCGCCATGATTTAGAAATCGCGAGCAAGTTCCCGCTGAAATCACGAGCAAAGTCCTTTTTATTTGTGTCACCTGGAAATATGGACAAAAAAGGTAAGAATACGCATTACTGTTCTTTGAAACTTGAGGTATACTTTCAGAACAGGTATATCTTCACAAACAATGACATGAACGATAAATATTTTTATCGGCATGGAAGAAACTGGCGCAAATATGCACGTTTACATAATTTACTGTAACAAAATTACTTTTGTCGTTAAAATTGAGACAAGAACTACGATATGCATTCCTCATAATGAATATTGGATCAACATTGTATGTATTGATAAGTTAGTTTACAATAACATCTCCTGTGGGGGGTGAAGTACACCATTGGAGGTGTTCCAGTGGCCCCGCTGAAATAATGAGGAAGCCCCGCTGAAAACATGAGGAGGTCCCGCTGAAATCAGGAGCAGATTTCACGAGTACCCGCTTCGATCACGAGGAAAGCTTCATTACTATTCCATTAAATATTTAGGTTCTTCAAATAAACGTACACGAAAGACCAAGTAAAGTATTTCTATTAATTATATATACTGTTTCATTCTTGGGCCACGTTTCAAATGTTTTTATTGCAACTTCAAGTCATCAGAGCAGAACGATTTCGTCAAACATTTTATACAATTTCACCCATCATTTGATTTCAAAATAAACGAACCAAAATATATAGGAGAAAGATGAATGTATCGTGTATTAGACTTCAACATAAATTCAAGACAACTTGATGGAAGCATGAAGTTCAGGGGAATGAGCCTTTTATTAAACAGAGACACCCCAAGTTGCAAGAATAATAGGAAATTTGCAGAGAAATGAGAACCACAAACCATGATAATTCAGAAGACGTTGTAGGTTCTACTTTTATAATTTAACAATAACATTTAACAATAACATTAAAGTTTTTGTTTTTTTAATATTTATTTCAATAATGATTTATACGCCATCTAAAAATAGGTTATTACAATACTTCAAAAAATGTGAGATGTCAGGAAGATTTCGATGGTCATTTGATGTTTCTCCAAGTTACTAATGTCGTATCTAAGTATTCCATACCTGGCTACTGAGGTTCTGTAGCATACCTGCCAACCTACCGTATTTTTACGGGAATCTACCGTAAATTTTTCGTTTTTCCGTAAAAAAATGACAAACTACCGTAAAAAAATACCATTTTTTCCCGTAAAAACGCCCGTAAAAAAATCTACCGTATTTTTTCCGAAATCTTCCGTAAATTTTTTTTGAAAAAAATCGTTTTTTCCATTAGAACGGCCGTAAAATATACCGTAATTTTTTGAAAATTTACCGTAAATTTTTGAAAATCTACCGTATTTCTGCTAAAACCAACAGTATTTCTGTTCAAACTACCGTAAAAATCTCCCGTTATTGTTGGGAAATGCTGAAAAATTGAAGTCTCCCTGTACTGTCCCTGTAACATTCCTTTACCAACCCGAATATAAATAGGCATCGGCAGGTCTGTGGTTATATCAGGTTATTGCGCATTAATCTAAGTAAGCTGGGGTGTAATCAGTCCAAACACCAACTACCACTTGAAGGAATTAGTTCTGCCATGATTTCTGTAGTTAACCAAACCCTTTTGTACACAGATCAGATCTCTATGGACCGAATGCAACAAAAATATGATTTTAGTTGCGCTTCATCTAAATAAATGAGTGGAAATGCTTAAAACTACTTGTTTTAGCGTATGAAATATGCGTAGTTTGGTTTGTTATGATCAGTAATGAACGCCACATATACATTATACATAGTTTTATCAATTTGTTTTCAGTATAATAAAATGTTGTATTTTTCATTTGATCACATCATATCAGTAACAAATACATAATTAAAAAATAAATCACCCCAGATATTGACAACTCACACTTAATCTGTTGAAATGATTATATGGGTTAAAAATGTTTCGTGGCGGTTCAAAAGTTCCACTTATAGAGCTAGAGGTGTTCCACTTAGCAGGTTCAATTGTAGTTATAAAAACACTGAAGTGTTCAAATTGTTGATCTGTTTATGAGAGAGTTCAATGGATCCTGCGTTAACATAATGTTTTATTAATTAGCTTTTAAGAAATCTACCGCAAAAACTACCGCATTTTTTCTAAATCTACCGCAAAACTACCGCATTTTTTCAAATTCTTCTGCAAAACTAGTTTTTAAAAAAATCTACCGCAAAAACTACCCCATTTTTTCAAAATCTACCGTAAAATACAGCATTTTTTGCAAATCTTAAGCAAAAGTACCGTTTTTTTTTAAAAATTACCGTAAAAACTACCGCATTTTTCAAAGTCTACCGTTAAACTACCGCATTTTTTCAAAATCTTCCGCAAAATTACCGGTTTTTCAACAAACTACCGTAAAAACTACCGGATTTTTTCAAAATCTA